ACGGCCCCGGGGAGCAGTCCGCGTGGCCGGCCTCCTGGCCAGTCTGTTCAGTCCTGGCACCATGTTCAAAGGGGAGCCCCAGCCGGCCTGCCAGCCTGGGCTGCCCAAGCTGGGCAGTCGTGTCGGCGGCGGTTGCGGGGGAGCCGGTGAGGCCGGCTGAAGCGGGGCGGGAGGCTCGTCTGAGCATCCCCGAGTGGGCGCTGCAGGCTCAGGCCTGGCCCCCTCGCCTGGGCTCGGGCGGCTCCAGAAGCAGCTCTGGAGGGCGGCGCCGGAGAGCGGGTGGGGATCTCACCACCTGTTTTCATGTGGCCTCAGCAGGGCCTGGGTCAGCCACTCCTGGTCGCAGGGAGACCTGATTGGATGGATCCAAGAGCAAAGGAGCTCTCCAGAGAAAGGCTGCAAATGGGGAGCCCGGCCAAGGGGCCACACGGCTTCAACTGCTTCCCTCCGCAGGGTTTGCAGGCCAGTTTATCAGAGTGACCAAGAGGCGCGTCGTCACCCAAAGCCAGACGCTGTTCAAGAAGGAAGGAAAGATCCTGCCTCTGAGCCTGCCCACAGTGCATGCCTCCACGCACCCACACGCACCCACGCACACACACATACACGCACATACACATCCATGCATCCACACATGCACACGCACCCACATCCACACGCACCCACATCCACATCCACGCATATGCACCCATGCAGCCGCACCAGCATACGCATCCATGCACATGTGCATCCACACACCCCCATGCATGCACACACGTGTACGTGTGTCCACATGTGTATGTGCACATATATGCACACATGCACACAGGTGCATCTATGCACCACTACAAGTATGAGCACACAAACTTATGAATGCGCATGTGCGTGGATACACATCCAGGCACGCGTGCACATCCAAGCACGTGTGCACACGCGCACGCGCACACACCCATCTGGAGGGACCCTCCTGACCCCCACAGTCGCGGACACCGCCTGGGTCATGGAAGCCACCGCGGGCGGGGGCGCTTCCTGGGCCCCAGGCGTCCTGGGGGGAGGGGGCCTGGCCTCATCCTGAAGCTCAGCGGCCCAAGCTCCCCGACCCAGAGAGAGAGGAAGCGGGCAGGGCCACACCCTGGAAGCGCAGGAGGGGATGGGGGGCAGACCGGGCCAAGGCCGCCGCCCGGCGACCACCGCCCTCAGGCCCCGCGGACACAGCTGCCTTCTCCGCGACCCGCTTCTCCACCGGCCGGCCTGGGGTGTGGACTGTGGCGAGACCGGGCCTCACTCACCCCCGCTGCCGACCTGGCCTCTGTGGGGAGGCCTCCGGAAATAGCCATTAAAGTAAAAATAGCGCACTCAGCGCTGGGAGCTGCGCGGCGGGGAGGAGAGGGCAGCGCGGCTGCCCGCCCCACTCTGCGGGGCCAGTTTGTCAAAATTAGCCCGTTCTCCCAGGGGGTCATCGCGCGCCCGGCCAGCACCAGGGAGCCCGGGCCTCCCGACCTCAGGCAGAGCCCCCGGCGCATGGCCTGGGCCTGTCGCCGCTGGGGGCCTCCACGGTGTGGGGCAGGATCAGGGAGCGGCCCTCAAAGCCCGAGGCCTCCCCAGGGTGGACTGGGCACCCCTGACCTCACTGCCTGCCCTGCCCCTCGGCCCTGCTGGCCGGCCCGTCTCCCTGCACAGCCTCCTCAGACAGAAGAGCTGAGTAGCCACCGAGCGGAGTGAGGGGCGTTTCCACCTTCACTGCAAGGCCCAAGGTTAGGGTGTTTCCCTGCTAAACACGCCCTTTTTAATATTGCAGAGAACGTGACCTTTCATGCCAAATTTTTTTCTAAGCTTCTAAGAAAGACTGAAATTCACAAAGTCAGACAAAGCCACGCACTCTCCTGGCCCCCCGAGGCCGCAGCCCCAGGCCAGGGGGGCGGACACTGAGGGAGAGCAGCCTGGAGGGGCTGGAGTCCACCAGTGCTGCCCCAGGGCCAAGGGCCTCAAGGCCCAGCCCACTCTGGTCAGGCCTCAGAGTGGCTCCTGGAGCGTGCCCCGCCGGTGTGCTCCAGGAGCCACTCTGAGGCCTGACCAATCTGTGGCCTGTGCACGCTGGCCAGGAGGGAGGCCGAGCAGGGCCGGAGGGCAGAGTAGCACGCAGGGCACCAGCGACCGACAGCCCTGACCTGCCGCCCACCACTCACCGGCCAGCACGATCCACCCAGCTCTTAACCACATCAAAGTGCCTCCTGCTCCCCGCCCGCCCAGCTCTGACAGGGTGACGGCGCCCTGGTCGCCCGCCCTCACCCGCAGTCCCAAGGCTCGTCTCTAACCCGCCCGTGGCCTCTGCATCCTCAGGGCCCCCGCCCCGCCCCGCCCCGCCTTGGCCAGCCTGCCTGCTGCTCTGCCCTGGGCCCGGGGCCACTCCACGGGGTCCCCAGAACCTGGGGAGGGGGTGGTTAACACAGGAAGAAGGAGGAGGAGATGAGCTGGTTTTAAGGCCTATTAGCCAAGAAAATGGGGGACGCCGCCAGGAAGGGACGCGTGTCACACAGCGCCTCTAGGATGTGAAGATTTGTTTATTTGAGCAAATGAAGGTGATTTGTTCAAGATTATTCGGGGGAAATGCTAATCTCTGCATGGACACAAATCTCTTTAAAAAGATTATCACTGAATTGCTTCCAGGCCATGAGAGCCTGGCACTGCCCGGCCCTGCCCGTGGCCCTCCGGGCGCAGGGCCCCCTGGACCCGAGGACCCCTGGACTCAGCTCTGCACCCCCCCACCCCCCGCGGCTCCCACGGAGTTCTCGAGCTGGAAGCTGCTCTTCATCTGATGTCGCCACGACATTCAGCCGCTTTTGAGGAAAACCCTTTCGCTCCTGTGCTTTTCTGTCAGTCCCCGGAGCCGCTGTCTGCATATTGCTGTCTGCAGAAGCAGGCAAACGCCGCGCAGCCGGCAGTGTCCGGCTTGCTGTGGCAATGACTGGAGCCCCCGCTCTCCGCTCGGGCCCAAGGATGGGAGGCGCCAACAGAGCTCCCTGGCTGTGGCTCCCACTGGAGACCGTCCCGCCCCAGGCGGGCGCCCTCCCACAGGCCCTGCCCGGCAGCTGCGGCCTCCTGGGACACAGGCCCTGGGGGAGGCGGGGAGGCTCCCGGGCCTGCTGCCTCCGAGGGGGGTGGCCAGGCGGAACCCTCCTTCCGGCAGATGGACAGTCATGTGGGAAGAAGTTTCAGGACTAGGGAGGTCCAGACACCCAGGCCAGCGGCGGCGCCAGGAGCTGCAGGGGCCGGGAGACCGCGGGGACCCAGCAGAGACGGGCTGGCTGACGCCAGGCCCAGGCCGGCAAGTTAAGGGCTTTGAACTTTATGTTTAAAGTATTCGAAAGTTGTGAGCTGCCCTTCAGCAGAGAGTGACAGGCTCAGATGCCCAGCTGGGAACAGCCCCGGAGCGGAACACGGGGTCCCAGCCCGCAGAGCCCAGCAGCTCTGGCACCCCTGCCCGCCCGCCACCGCCCTTGCTCGGCTCGGTCCTACAGGATCCTCATCCATGTCTGGATGTGCATGTGTGAGGCAGGAGCAGCCCGCCACACCCACACGGCTAGCACTAGCCGCTCCCGCTCCCACTTATGCAAAGTTCGCTTGTGGAGCCAGAGGAGACAAGAGCAAAGTTCCGGCTCAGACCGCCCCCGCCCCCGCCCCCGCCCCGTGCCCGTGGCAGGTCAACTCGCAGCAGAGCCCAGACGTGGAGGCATTTCACCGCCAGCGCCCAGAGTCTCTCTCCCAAAGACTCTCAGTGTAGCTGCATGATGACCACTCGCACATGACCAGCTAACAAGACACTGCGTCATGGCGTCCATCAATGTCCACGTCTCCAGGCGGCTTGGGGACCTTTCAAGCTGCTTTTTGGCTACGTCTTCTCTGATGCACAGGCCCCGACCCCATCACCCTGCACCTCACGTGCTTGCTGAGCTCCTGGGTCCACGCGAGCAACCAGGTCAGGGGCCGTCCAGCATGCCGTGCAGGCAATGCCCTCTGTGGACTTGGGTGCCCGGGCCAGGCCGGAGCCTGACCACACTTAGGCCTCGCCATGGTGGACTCTGCATGGCACCCTCGCCCTCAAGCATTATTTCCAGGAGCAGCCCCAGGAGGTGGTGGCTGAGCAGCGCCAGGTGCAAAGCCCAGCCGGCTGGTGCTGTGGCATCTCGTTTTCACACACAGGACAGCACAGGTTTGAGGGCAGCTCATCACCCACACTGTGTCCCCTCCTGAGCCTTCCAGAACTTCCGACTGCCCTGGAACCCAGGCACAGGCCGGCGCCGTCACTGGACAGGGCAGTTCCTCAACTCCTCCTCCGCCTTTGCCGCCCAGCTCTGCCCACAGCCCATGCCCCTCCGGCCCCGGGGGTCAGCACCTCTCAACAGGCACCTGTCCTGGCTGCCACTGACTGGCAACAGACCTGAGCCCGGGCCACGTGGGGCCTGCGTGTCCCCCGCTGTGACGTGGGGCTGCAAGGGCCCTGCCTGTGCTACCCCCTGATGGTGGCCGCAATCTGACCCCACACAGAGGTGGACAGAGGCGACTCGTGCTTTGCCATCAGCCAGAAATGACCTACGAGCCGGAGTCAATAATCACTGTCCTGAAGTGGGCGGTGTCCGCCAGCGATAGCCGCGAGGGGCCGCTGAGCTCCCGGTCTCTCCGCAGAGGAGGCTGGCGGCCCTGGCACAGGCGGCTGGAGCAGGACCCGACAGCCCAGAGGCTGGCGCACTTGGGAAGCCGAGGGCCACGTGTGCCGAGGGGGTGCGGCCTGCAATCCACGCCGGCGTCATTCATAATATTTATTTTGGAAAAATATTTTAAAAAGGAATTTCTTCGTTAACAAAACAGTAAAAAACTCAAATAACATTTGCACAATATTCCATAAATACATTTATATACAAAAAATATAGTCACAGACCCGAAGTGCCTTTGTACATATTTACCAAAAATTTAAATTATAAAAAATGAACATCACAAAATACTCAAGCTTTACAGATATCGTGAAAAATATTTTTACAAATCCAAAAAATAACACACATTTTTTTCATCTAGAAAAAACACATTTTCGTATCAAAAGGACGATAAAGGCCGTGTTTGTGATTCTAGCTCGGAGGAGCGGGCGCCGGGGCCCGGCGGCGCTGGCCGCGTCTCCTCCAGCAAGTGTCTTAGTGCAGCGGGCGGCGCCCAGCGGCCGGGCCGGGCCCTCCTTTCAGCAGCATTCGTGGGGGCATAGATCCTTGGAATTTTAGTCATTTCAAGAGAAGCGGGAGTTTCGCCACGTCACCTCCATGTCACACCTGAGGGCCACAAGAGGGAGGTGAGGCCCCGCCCGCGGCCCGGCCGCCCGCCCCGCCCGCACTGACCTCAGTCGCTATGACACACTCGTCCTTCTCAGAGATGACGAACACCGACTGGTACTTGGTGTCCTTCGACGCAGGGTACGCGGGGTCCGGCCTCCTCCTTTCTGACACTTCCCCACTAGGAGGGAGGCAAGGGACCCTGATGACTCTCCAGAAACGCTTCTCAACAGCCCGCGACCGGAGCTCTCAGGGGGACACCGGCTGACCTGCCGCCCACCTCACGGCCCCCAGGGTGTGGGGACACCCTTCCAGTGGGCCTCTGCCCAACCCTGAATGTGGGGGTGCCACGCCCGCAGCCCCTGGGTGCCAGCACGCCCCCCCAGGCCACCCTCTGCGCCCCTCGGCCCTCAGCACACACCCCCTTGTCGTCAGGCTGCCCTTGTCCTCCCCGGCAGAGGCCTGGCTCTGGCACTTGGGGTCCCGCTGGCTGTGGGGGTCCCTGGTGGCCGGGTCCTCGCCCTTGAGGTCCTGCACCAGGTTGTAGTCCACGGATGGGTAGCGCGCCTTGAAGCCGGCCTTGTCGGGGCCGAGGTCGCCGTGCAGGTCGGCCTTCTTGTTGGTGTTCTTGATCTGCGGGGCCCCGATGACGCTGACCGCAAGGTCCTTCTCGCGCTGGCAGTTGGCCAGGTTGTTCATGGTCTCGGCCTCGGCGTGGCCGGGCTCCCCGGGGGGCCGGCGCTTCTGCAGCCGCAGGCGTGCGCAGACCACGGCGGCCGCGCAGCCCAGCAGCAGCAGCAGGACAAGCAGTACGCCCGCCCCGACGGCCGCCCAGGGGAAGGGCCCGGCCTGGCCCTCCGCGTACTTCTCGCTGAGGTCCACCACCACGGGGCCGGGGGGCTCGGGCAGCAGGAACTGGCAGTTGGGGCCACCGTAGCCGCGCGCGCACTCACACAGGTAGCGACCCTGGCGCTCGTGGCAGGTGGCCCCGTTGTGGCAGGGCGCCTGCTCACACCTGCGCACGGGCGCGCTGCAGTTGAGGCCCGTGTACCCGGGCGGGCAGGCGCAGGAGTACGCGTTCACGCCGTCGCGGCAGGTGCCCCCGTGCGCACACGGGGATGAGGCGCAGTCGTCCACGTTGTCGCTGCAGTGCCTCCCGGAGAAGCCGGCCGCGCAGCGGCACAGGTAGGCGTCGCCCAGGTCCACGCACTGCGCACCTGGGACACAGGAGCCACAGTCAGCGCGCTGCCGGCCCAAGCTGGTGCCCAGCCCGCCCCCAGAGTCCAGTCCCGCTGGAGTCCCCGGGCACCGCCCATGCCCTTGGCGGGCACGTGCCCATTGCTCGGCCTCCGTCCCCCCGCAAAGGACCCAGCTCAGAGGAGGCCGTGGCGCTGCCTGGGCTGTGAGGGGGACGAGCAGGGCCCGGAGATGGAGGACAGGAGGGGCGGGGAGGGAGCTTCTCTGTCAAGTCCACTCGCTGCTCTGCCCCTGCCCAGGGCCTGCCCCTTCTGCCCAGAGCATGGAAAGCAGGTGGAAGCGTCCAGAATGGTCTGGCCGGTCCCGGGCCCTGGAGGTGGCGGTGGGGGGGGTGCCCTGCCTGGCCGAGGCCTTGCTCCTGCCCGCCAGACTCGCCCGCCCAGGGCTTCCAGACTCAGGGCCTGATTCCCACAAAGTCTTTGGCCTCCTGCTGCGGGCGGCAGCAAGGCCAGCCATGGCGTTGCCAAGGCCGGCCAGCGGCGCTGTCCCAGGTGCCCTTACCATTGGCGCAAGGGGCAGAGCTACAGGGCCCCATCTTCTTCTCACAGTTGAAGCCCGAGAAGCCCGGGGGGCAGCGGCAGGAGTAGCCCCCCTCTGGGTTGTCCGAGCAGCGGCCGCCATTGAAGCAGGGGCCGTCAGCGCAGGCCATGGCGCTCAGCTCGCACACCCTGCCGTAGAAGCCAGGCGGGCAGGCGCAGGAGTAGCCGTCCTCCAGGTCCTGCAGGGCGGACACGAGGGACAGCTCCGGGAGGCTGGTCGGGGTGCCCGCAACCCCATGCTCCACCGGCAGCTGCCCGCCACTCACCGTGCAGCTCCCCCCGTTCCTGCAGGGGCTGGGGGCACACTCGTCCACCTCGGCCTCGCAGGTGGCACCGGTGAACCCGGGCCGGCAGGAGCAGGTATAGCTGCCCTGCCCCGTGTTGGTGCAGGTGGCCCCGTTCTGGCAGGGCTTGTGGTGCGTGCAGTAGTTGAGGTCTGCGGAGGGAGGGAAGAGCGGGAGAGGGACGCTCAGTGTCACATGCAGGAGACTTTCCCAGAGGAGCAACAGAGGGAAGCCGGGGGTGCCGGGGTGGGGCTTACCCTGGTTGCAGAAAAGGCCCCCCCAGCCCTCCTGGCAGGTGCACTGCCAGGGCTGCTGGCAGGTGCCGTGGAGACAGCCCGGGTAGCGGATGCACTGGTCGCAGTACCGGCCCTGCCAGCCCACCCTGCACCTGGGGAGAGAGCAGGACGGTCAGACTGGCGCCGTGCTGCGGGGTACGGCGGGGCCCCCCTTCCCGCGCTCAGAAAGGATCTTCCGGCCCCACCAACAGCTCAGCTCAAGTGAGGGACGGCAGCGGCTGCAGGTGCTTTCACATGTGGTGCCCGCAGCCCGCCCCGCGCCCGCGCTTCCCGCCCTGTGCCCCATGGCACTGCGGAGATGCCCGGGTGACGCTCAGGGGGCTCAGGGCCCAGCACCCCTGGAACAAATGCCCACTTCTGTGCCACATCTCCTTAACCCGCGGTCCGGGAGGTCCCGCCACGGGAGGGCTCAGGGAGGGACAAGCCCAAGAAGGGCAGCGGCTGCAAACTTACTTGCACTCCCCTGGCTTGTCACAGAACCCATGCTGCTCGTCACACCCCGGCAGACAGATGGCTGCAAGCGGAGAGAACCAGGGTCAAGCCCCGCCCGGGGGCGCCCGCCAGCACGGGCGCTGCTCGGCGTGGACGCGGCCAGGGTCGGGCGGAGTTCACCTCCGGCGGGGCCGCCTGGTAACCTGGCTCCCCTCCGCCAGGACAGCATTCTTCTTAACACAGCGGCCCGGCCCGGACAAAAGGGCGAGGAAGCCCCTGCCCCCACCCACCCCCTTTTCTTCTAAGAGAGGGTCAGAAGTCCTTCCCCGCCTCCTCCCCCACTTCCCAATTCTAAGCACAAAGCTCCACCTCTTAATACCCAGAAAGTGTGTGTGCAGATAAGGGGACAGCTGGTGTGCAGAGGGGCAGGGCAGACAGCTGCCCTATTGTCTGTCCTCTCCCAGCAGCTGCCCCCGTGCGACAATACCAGCCTCCCACCCCGTGCCCCCACCTCCACACGCCCCGGGTGCGCGCGCACTCCCCTCCACCAATGGCAGCGGCGTGTGTCCCTGCCACCTACCCCCAGAGAGAGCTAATCTACGGCACGCGCGAGCAGGGGGCGGGGAGACACTCCAGTGTTTGAATAAGAAGAAAAAAGTTTTAAGTTTATGGCTACCCCATGGCGAAGAAGCAGAGGACAGTGGAGACGAGAGGCAACAGGCCGGGCCCAAGGCCCGGGGCGCGGGCCCTGAGGCTGCGGTCCAGGCAGCTTCCTCGCCTGGTTATGCGACTCATTAACTGGCAGCTCCTGGGTTCTAAGGCCTCAGAGAGCTCAGGCCAGGCGAGCCTCAGGAGGGTACCAGCGGGTGCCGCCCCGAAGCCACTCGCAGGGCGAGAAGCTCTGACCTGAGGGAGAAGAGCAGGCGCTGGCCCTGCTCAGAGCAGACCGACGGTCTCTGGGGCCTGGGGCACTCCTGGGCCAGCCACCGGCCGCAGGACCTCCAGCCAGGTGCCTGCTGGGTGCGGCTGAGCCACCCCGGCAGACCTCTGCCTGAGCGCAGGCGCCGCGCGGGCCGGGGGGGCCTGTGTCACTTCTGTGTAGGTGTTTCCTTCCCAGGCGAGGAGCACGCGAGCACGCAAAGGGGCAGAGGTCCTGGCAGGCCCAGGCCACACCCTCCAGTGTCCGAGACCCACAGGTGGACGTGTCGCCAGCAGAGTCGTCAGGCCGCAAAGGCCCGACCGAAGTGCCAGAGGATCCCCTGCCCAGCTCTGGGGAGGGCTGCCCCTCCACACCCTCTCCGGCCCTCCCTTCCTTCCTCCACCCCCTCCAATGCCCACGCCGGGCAGCGCAGGCCTCCTTCCTGACCCCCGGCCCTGTCTCCAAAATCCTCCCTGAGGAAGAAAAGCAGCTTCCCACAGTGGAAATTGGGGTGTCTCGGCCGCCCCCACACATGCCTGCCACCCGCAGGGAGCCCCCAGGCCTCAGCTTCCCCCCAGGGCGCCCTGGGCTGAGCCCCAGGAAGGCCCGGGCCCAGGCTGGGGCAGGGTGGGACTCACGCTCTGTGCAGTACGGGCCTTTCCAGCCAGGGTTGCAGACTTTCTCGCCACGCTCCCCGCAGGTGAAGTGGCCGAAGGCGTCATCCCGGGGGCGGCAGAAGACGGAGCAGCCCTCCCCGTAGTAGTGCTCGTCACACACGAAGCGGTAGGAGTACTTGAGGTCGGTGCGGCCGCTGCTGTGCAGGTCCTGCGACCACTCCTCGCCCACGGCCAGGTGCCGCTGCGTGGCCAGGCGGCTGATGAGCCGCTCGGGGTTCTCTGCGGGAGAGCTTGGCTGAGGACCTGCGGGCCGGGGCCAGGCCCCTGCTCTCCCCAGGCCCCGAGGCCGGGCTTTCGGGGGAGACACGGAGTCACAGGTGTGTGCGCAGGGCAGGCGGCGGCTGCCTTTACCTGTTGTGAGGTCCTCGGGGGAGTCCGTGTGCAGCGCCTCGATGATCAGAGAGAAGGTGCCCTGGGGGGGGGGGAGCGGACATGAGACCAGCAGAACGTGCCAGAAGGAGCCCAGCCCGGCAGCCCCGTGGCCTGGGCAGGCGGCCCCTCTGCCTGCTTCCACTTTCCCTAAGGAAACAAGAACTTCTGGGAGCAGCTTCCTGGCGTGCTTTCCAGCCTGCAGCACAGGATATCACGTTTTTAAAGGGAAAAAGGCCGCGCCGGCGGGCGGAGGCTTGTCCCAGCCTTCCGGGCCAGGAGGCAGCCGGACCCGGCGGCCCGCCCGGCGCGCGCGCGCGCCCGCCCGCCCGCCCGGCCGCCTGCCCGCCCGGCCCCGGCCCTGCCCGGCCCCCGGCCCTGCCCGGCCCTGCCCGCCCGCCCGCCCGCCCGCCCCGGCCCCGCGGCCCGCCCGCCCGGCCGCCCGCCCGCGGAGGGAGGGGGGCGCGCTCACCGGCCAGGTGAAGCCGAAGGGGAAGCGGATGGGGTTGCTGAAGGCGGGGTCGGCGCCCGCGCCGTCGGGCAGGCTGAAGGAGCCGACGCCCAGCACCGGCGTGACGGCGCTGCCGTAGGTGCAGGGCGGCTCGGGGGACACGCTGGCCTGGTAGTGCTTGAGGCACACGCGGAAGAAGGTCCTGCAGGCGCACGGCGGGCCCGCGCCCCCGCGGCAGCAGTTGCGGTTGCCCAGCAGCCCCTTCTTGTTGACGAACTCCTGCAGCCGCAGCTCGAAGACCCCCGAGCTGCACACCTGCGGGAGGCGGCCGTGGGCGCGGGCGGGCGGGCGGGCGGGCGGCCGGCGGCCCCCGAGCCCGCGCCCGCGCCCGCGCCCCCGCCCGCCCGCCCGCCCGCGCGCCCCGGGCCCCCACTCACCTGGCACAGCAGCGCCGAGACCACGGCCAGGGCCAGGGCGCAGCGCCGGCCCATGGCGCCCCCCGGGCGCGCGCCCGCGCCGCCTCCCGTCCTCGCCGCCGGGCCGCGGGGCGTGCGCAGGGCCGGGGCGCCCCGGAGCGCGGGCAGCGCGGCGCCCCGCGCCGCCCCGGGCCGCGGCGGCCGGGGCCTCTCCGCGCGGCCCGTCTCCGGCGCCCGGGCCCGCCTCCGGCGGCCGCGGCGGGCGCGCGGGGCGACCCGGGCCCGCGGGGCGACTTTCGCTTTCCTCGCCGCGCCCGGGCGGGGGGCGCCGCGCCGGCCGGCGGGTCCTCGGCGCAGCCCCTCGCGCGCGGCCTCGGGGGCGGCGGCCCGGCAAGCCCGCGGCCGGCCCGGCCCGGGAGCGGCGGGGCGCGGCGGCGCCGGGACCGGCCGTGTCAGGCGGCGGCGCCCGGGCCCGGCGGCTCGGCGGTCGCGGCGCGCGTGTCTGCGCCGGGGCCGGCCAGGGCCATGCACGCCGCGGCGGGCGGAGGCGGCGGGCCGCGCGGGCCGGTGTGCGGCGCCGGGGCCGGGAGTCGCGGGTGCGCGCTGGGGCTGCGCTCGCCGGCGCCCGCGCCTTATATCCCGCCGGCCGCCCGCATGGCTAATGAGATGCAAATGCGCAGCCCCCCAATCTGGCGAGCGCTGTCACAAAGGAGCCACTTTTCCAAGCCCTCCTCTCAATGGCTCGCCAAATGGTCAGTGAGCTGTAAAATGTGCAACCCTCTCCCCGCCCCCACGCTCCGCCGGCCCCGCGCCCGCCCCCCCACGCCGAGCGCGCTCATTTACATTCCTGCGAGCGCCGCGGCCGAGCCCCGCCGCCGGCCCGGCCCTGCCCGCCCGCCCGCCCGCGCCCCGCGCCCGCGCCCCGCGCCCGCGCCCGCGCCCCGCGCCCGCGCCCGCGCCCCGCGCCCCGCGCCCACGGACGCGCCCCGGGCCCGCGGGGCGGGGCCGCCGCGAGAGGCCGAGCCCCGGGGCCTCCGCTGTCCGGCCGGCCTCTGGCGCGGGGCGCGGGGCGCGGGGCGGGGGCGCGCTCGGCGGGGGCCGGCCAGGGGCGGCGAGCGCGCGGCGGCGGCCCCGGGAAGTTTGGGGCGGTCGAGCGCCGCGCCCCTCGGGCGCAGGACGGCCCCTCGGCCCGGGCGCGGCGCCCGCCGGACCCCAGGCTGCGCGCGCCTGGCCCGGGCCGCGGGGGCCGGCGAGTCCCCGGGGAGCGCGTCCCCCGCCGCAGCGCGCGAGGCTCCCCGCGCCCCGGGCCCGCGCGCCCCTCCGCGCCCTCCGCGCCGCCGGCCTCGGGGTCCCCGGCCTCCCGCGTCCCCCGCCTCCCGCGCGCCCGGCCTCTGGGTCCCCGGCCTCTGGGTCCCCGGCCTCCCGCGCCCCCGGCCTCCCTCGGCGCCCCCGGCCTCCCTCCGCGCGGCGGGCCGAGCTCGGTGTGCGTCGCGCGCGTGGCTGTCATTACGCGGCCGGCATTGTGCGCGGCTGAATCGCTGGCTCTTTGTGCGCTCAGCTGTATGGTAATGCGCGCAGCACCTGCTCCGGGCACAATGCGCGCAGCAAGCGCTCCCCTCCGCGCGCGGCCGGCCACAATGTCCCGCGCGGGCCCGGCGCGGGCCCCGCGCCCCCGCACGCGCCCCGCCGGCCCGGCCGGCCGGCCCCGCAACTTCTCTTTAAGGGAAGCGAGTTGACGGCGAGGGCCGGGGACACTCGCGTTACGCGGCGCGTTATTGCAACGGCTGCCGGGCCCCGCATTATTGCAACGCCCGCGGGTCGGGTGGGCGGCCTCCCGAGGGCCTGGCTCCGTGGGCGCGCGCCGCACCCCAGGCCCGGGGATGGGGGTGTCGCCAAGGTCCCCGCACTCCGGGCGCGGCCGCAATGGCGCCGCCGGGGGCGTGTCACAGCGCCTCACCGTGGGAACCCACGGCCCTCGGGGGGTCGCCCGCGGCCCGGCCCCAGGCGCAGGGAAGAGGCGCCCGAGAGGAGCGCGGGGCGCCGGCGCCCGCGACGGCACGTCCCGCCCGGGGCCCCGCCCGCCGCCCGCTCTGGCCCCAGGGCCGGACCCCGACTCAGAGGCTCCCGAACGCCTCAAACTTCCAGGGTGGGCGGCACCTGCACCTCAGCTTTCCGCTGCAGCCTGGGCCAGAAGCAAAGAATTCACAGAAAGTAGCGCGCGAGAAGCACGTGAGGCTGGGGCCAGGGCAGGCTTGGCCCCCGGCCCGAGCCCCTGCTGTTTGCTTGAGGACAAATGGAGGCTTCAGAAGAAGCTGCCGCCCCCAGGGTGGGGGCGCCCGGCCGCCTGCGAGGCCTCTGTGAGGGCTCGCTGCATCCCCGGCCCGGCCTGCGAACCCTAATTTAATCTTGCCACCTAGTGTCAGCTCCTTTCTTCACCACGTCCTGCTGCCCTGAAGAGCTGAGGCCTGAGGACTCTGCCCCCCGTCAGGTGGAAGCGGGTGCCTGCGTGGGAAGGGAGGCTGCATGGGGGGCAAGGGCCGGGAGGGGCGAAGGAGGACAGGCGTGGGAGCTTCACAGCCTCCATCCCTCTGTCGCCAGGACGAGCAGATTTCAGAGAGCAGCGACATATCAGGAACCTTTTAATTAGACAACTGGGGTGGGGACCGGCCTTCTGAATGGGAGCGCGAGCTCCACGCGCGGGGCTTAAACCTGGGGGGAAGGCTTGCCCCAAATCTGTAACAACCCCCCTCAGGATCAAGTATTTGTTAAATTGACATGGCACAGATTTCTCGATTACAGCGGCAAAGCGGAACTGAAAGGCGTCGTAAAATCCATCAGAATCCTGCCCAAAGCACTCATTCTTTTCCGACTTAATTTATGCCACGCGATTCTGTGTTGGGGAAATCAAGCAGAAAGCCCTTTCTTCTCCTCCCTGCTCCTCCTGTTCTTCTTTCCTCCGCTTTCTCCCCCCCCCCCATGGCTCCTCTCCCCTCTCCCTTTCAAAGCGCAGCGAACGGGAGACTGTTTAACTTCACTGTTTCTGTAGGGGCTGTTGTAGTTTAACTCCTGCACACCAGTAGCTGGGACGAACAAAGGGGAGACTTGAGGTCCGACTATTCATCCTTTCTTTGCACTTTAATTTTCATTGATTGGGAAGACAAGGGGAGCCCTTGGGGATTCAGGCTGAAGGGGGATGACACGCCTTTAGACGCCATCAGCCCCCTAGCCAGCCATCTGCTCCAAACCAAATGGCGTTTTTTCACTCCCTAACTGCATGTCTCTATACTCCCGCAACCAAGCGCTCTGAACCCCCTAAATGCAGGAGGGACTTAAGCCAGGGCATGTTAAATAGACTTGCCTCCGCCTTGGCCCCAGGAGCCAGATCCCTCCTCTCCACACACCATAAATCCTCACCTTGCTCATTAGGAAAAAGCAGGAAACTTTCTTTTAAATACTTTTTGATGTCTCAGCAAATTTACTGTACAAAGTGGCTGATTAGCGCTCAGAGGCCCGGTGCCCCAGACCAGGAGGGCGCGGGCCCGGCAGCACTGGGTGTTTTCCTTCCGCCTGAACAAGCCCAGCGCTTGGGTTGTAGAATCAGAACCCCGAGCACACGGCCACCCGCAGCGCCCCCGGCTGCCGGCAGGTCCCACTGGGCCTGGGAATAAAGGCCCCAGGCCCCAGCGTGCGCGTCCCGGAGTGAGCGTGGCTGAGTGCCCCCACCCAGGCCCGGCCCCAGGGTGTGGAGTGGGGTGGGCGGTCTGGCCAGGCTGCTGTCAGCAGCGCCCAGACAGGCTCAGGCTCTAAGCCACCGGTTCAGCTCTCCTTGGCAACAAGTCTGGGGACCGAGCGGGGTTGTGTTCCTAGACAGGGTGAAGCTGCATCCCCACCAGAAAAGGGCTCTATTCCCAGGGAGAGTTGGGGTCCTTGTTCAGAGCAGCAAAATGAAAGACTTCCAGGCAACAAATCTGGTGTTGGTCAAACATGCCAGCTCACTTGAAGCAGAGGGGGAGGAGGGAGAGGAGGAGGGAGAGGGAGGGCAGGGGCGGGGAGGAAGGGGCGGGTGCAGAGGGGCGGGGAGGAGCCCGAGGAGCACCGCTCACCGAGAGCGGCCGTGTCGGGGCCTTGACCCCGCGGGCGCAGCTCCTGCTTTCCGCGCGGTGCCCCCGCCGTGGCCACTGCCGCTGCAGGGCGCGCCCAGCCAAAGGCACACACAGACGTGCCCATACTCGACGCGCCGCGCCTGGAGCTCTCTGGCTGAAGACCCACTGGGACCTCGGGCCCTTCACCCATGCCAGGAAAGAGCAGCCCGTGGGCAGCGGAGCTGACTTATATTTAGATGCTGGAGGTTCCCCTCGCTCAAAGGCACAGTCGCCCCGGCACCCCCAGGTGCCCCGCCAGGCCCGCAGTCCAGCTTCTCCCTGCCCAGCAGCCTTTCAAAGTGAGGGGTGGCGCAGGGCTGCGGCTGGGCAGAGGCGATGGGGACAGGACGGAAGAGATGGTCAACCTGGGCACGCCCTGGGCCTCTGCCTCCTAACCCCGCTGCGGCCCAGGTCTCCTGCCGCCCCCCCCCGCCCCCCTGAGGGGCCACAGCTGTCACAGAGCCTTTGCGTTGGTGGTGGGACTGGTGGCCTTGCCAGGAAGGGAGGACGGTGCCCCAGCAGCCCCCGCCTGGCCCTGCTGTTTCGGGGAGCGCTGCACTGGGGACACGCCACCCTCGGGTGTGGAGCGGCGCGGCCGCAGGCCTGCACGAAGTTGCAAAGGCATGTGCTGATTTGCATGAGAAAGGCCGAGTCGCGTGGCTCAGCTGGCGGCCCCAAGCGCAGATGACGGATCGCCCCTCACCCCGGCAGCCCCCCTTCTTGGGCCGCGCCGCGCTTCCCCCCCAAACCGCGCATCATCTGCTCCGGGCTGTCCTGCCCTCATCTCCATGACAAAGCTCTGTTTACCTGGCCCGCCCCGGCGGCCGCCTTTGTCCTGGATCAGATTACCCGGCAGCTGCTCCGCCGCCCCGCGCACCGCCGAGCGGCCCCTCGGAACTTTCCACCGATTGAACGTGCCGGGACCGGGCGGGGGAGGGGCGGGGGGCGCTGGGTGGGGGCCGCTGGCGGGGGGGCGCGACGCGCGTTGCGGGCGCGGGGCCGGAGACGCGGACGGCCCCCGCGGGCTTCCTGGAGGCGGCGGCGCGGGCCGAGCGCCGGCGACGGGGCGGAGCGCGGGGGCCGCGGGCGCGGGCGGCGGGGCCGCGCGGGGGTCAGCCGGCCTCCCCCCGGGCCCGCGCGCGGCCCCGCCAGCTGCGCCCCCTGCCCCGCGAGGGCGCCCGGGCCCCGCGGCGCACCCGCCCAGGTCGGCGAGGCGGGGCCGGGCGCCCCGGGCCTCCGCAGCCGCGCGCGTGCACCTGGGCCCGGCGCCGTCGGGGGCGGGGGACGCGCCGGCCGGCCGGGGGGCGCGGCACCTGTCGCGGGGCGCGCGGGCCCGTCCGTCCGTCCGCGGCCGTGCGCGTGGCGGCGGCTCCGAGCCGGCGGCCCCCGTCACGCGGCGCCGCGCCCCCGGCCGCGCGTGGGGCGCCCCCGCCCCCAGGGCCCGCGGGCCCGCCCGGCCGCGGGGCGCCGTCCGCACCCGGCGGAGCCGCGAGGAGGCCGCGCTCGCTCGCGCCGCCGCCCGCCCCCTCTCTGCGAGCATCTGCCCGGGGAGAACAGATGTGGCACCTGCGGTGACGGGCCGCATATGCTCCGTCCCATTCACGGGCATTCAGACGCGCCACAATGAGCGGCCTTTGTGCGCGGCCACTACATATATTAATCTGCGCTCCCCAGAGCACGGGCTGTTTAATTTTTCACCAGCAATAACATCTGATCTAATCCTTAAACCGGCTCCCAAAGCCTCCCTCCGCCCCCCTCTTTCTCCTTCTGCCCGCCCCGCCCCCGAAAACGTGTGAAGCTATTCAGCCTCCACCTGTTGCCCGCGCTGGGCGTGGGCTCCTGCCACATCTGACGCGGGCGGGCGGGGCCTCGGCCGCTCTCGGGCCACATGGGCACAGCGCGGGCATGTTTGTCAGGAGGAAAATAAACACAGTGCAGAGCGTGGCTCCCCAAATGTTGTGCAAACAAAGAGGGGTAATTATTAAACAGCCTCCAAGCCGCCCAGCACACCCAACCTTCCCTGGGAGAAGCGCCTGGGAGAGCCGGCCGGGCCGTGCCTGCTGTTGGTCGGAGCCCAGGGTGGTTATAAACACGGTCAATAGGCCACACAGCCAAAAGGTGACATAAATCTCAGATGTAAGACTTGGATTTTGTTAGCGATCTTGTGGCACGACTCTTTCAGCGTGGCCCCCCTGATTCTGTTTTGACTTGTTCTCAGCCACAATGCCTCCTTTAGTGCCATTGTGGGCGTCACAATGCAGACGGACATCAGGCTGTGAATGAAGACAGAGGCCGTTTAAACAAACCAAGCTCTTTCTTCCCTTCCCGCCCATTGTAATATGAATGGCCCTCTGCGTTCTGCTGCTAGGAGACCGGCTTTGCAGAGCCCGCTCCAGCAAACGGGCCGGGCCAGAGAGAAAGGGACCCGATAAACAGCCTAAACATTGGAGGAAAGAAGAGGCCAAATGTAGGCAAGTGTTTTTTCACTTTCAAATCAACACGTTTCTTCCTCGCAACCGTCCTCGAGCCCACGTCCCAGCCCTGTCTCGCTTTTCGGCAGCTTCCTTCCCGCTGACGTTTTAATTCCCACTCCATCCCTCCCTCCACCGCCTCCCAGGAATCGCCCCTGAGAAGCAGACAGCCCTGGGTCCCCTGGGTCTGTTTCCAAAGGAAGAGGGGAGGGTTAGGGATGTGGGGATGCACGGTGGGGGCGCTGTGACCAGCCCTGAGACAGACTTGAAGTCCTTTCAAAATGTCAGCTTTGGGCATTTAATGCCAGGTATGCAGGGCAGGTGGGTGAGTCTGGAGTTTTCAGGAATGGTCACTGTGACTTGTTTGGGTCTGAGCTGAACCGTACCTATTAACACCTGGAGGCCGACGGAGGCAAGAGACGTAGCCCCTTCCGGCCGGCCAGGGCCCAGCCAGGCCCCACGCTTCTCTATGGCCACAGCTGAGTCACAGGCCGCCCCTGACCCCACTGTCCAGCTTCTCCACCACGCTCGCCCCCGGCGGCAGCGACAAAGCCCCTCAATTCTCACCACCCACTGGCCCGGGGCTGGAGGCCACAGGGAAGGTGGAAGCGCTTGCCCCGCGTGACGACACCAGAGAGAACGGCCCTTCTCCCTTTTCCTAGAGACTCTGTGTCAGGTCGGTACATCTTCCTTAAATGCTCGACAGACTCCACCAGCGAGGCCATCTGGGCATAACTTTTCTTCGCGGGGACATTTTAATTCCATGTAATAAATAAAGGGCTTAATGTACACCGAGTTACTCAGACTTTTTATTCCTTGGTCAGGTTTGATGATTTGTATGGTTCAAAGGAATATCTTCATCGAGTCTAATGCCCAGACACTCGCTTAACCCTTTTGTGCAGGGAAAGCTGCAACAGCATCGTCCTTGCTAGGGAGGATGCCGGTCTTCTCTCTGGCCCACCACTGCAGGCCCATCAATTCTAGCGATGTGACCACCACGAGCCGGCCATGCTGCTCCCTGCTGCCCGGGGTGGAGACAGGCCCCTCGGCCTCACATGGGCCTTTCTTTCAGGGTTCCCCATGCCCTGCCTGAGTGTCCACTGTCTGAAACAGCCACCTGGTACCTTGTGTCTACTTTTCTAGTTAGAGCGGGAGGACAAAATGCAGGAACATTCCTTCGTGGGCAGGAGCTGAAAGAGCCAGCATCCTTTCGGCTGCAAATAACAGGAAACTGGAATTCGATACTCTTAGCTATGAAGAAGATTCCTTTTCCCATCTTCTCGGTGTGGATTTTTGGCTCACTGCATCATCAAGGTGCAAAGTCCTCCCCCTTTCTTGCCCCCGCTCTTGGCCTATTGGCTTCAAACATGGTGGCAGCCCCAATGGGTTCCAGCAGCACGGGCACCACAGAGGCCAGCAAAGAAGAGGATGTCTCTCCCCATGTGTCTCCTTCCATCACACCACACACCGCAGAGCGGCTGCATGGGCATCTCCCAGGTCAGTCAGCACGTCCTGAGGGTTGAGACGTTCTTGTTCCCCAATCTCTGGATGGTAAGCTGTTCTCACAATCTGAGCGCTTTCAGTTTTTGATCAAAGAAATTCAGCTGAACTCACTAAGTGAAGACCAATTCCAACTAAATCTTGAAAGCTGTTTCAAGGGTCAATCTGTTGCCAAGAGAAACCTGTCCCCACCCTCCCCTTCTCCTGGTCCCTCCTCCCTGTTCTTTCCTTCCTCACAGTCGACGTGGAGTCGAGTCTTCTCCTCAACAATTCACTCTCTCTTCAATGGACTCCCTAACCCTGCAAGGTGAGGCTGGAACTCTTTGCCCGTTTCCCAGACACACGCCCATGGAAGACCCTCATCCTGCGGGAACAGCAGCGCATCCCCGGGGCTGACTGGCGCTGACCCTGCTGAAACGGATCACTATTTATAATGGAGGCGCTGGTGATGAGTGTTCGCTTTTCTGTATAATTCCATTGTCTTTACTGACTCAACAGTTGCTGAAGTTATTGCTTACTGACTTTTTCATTACTTATCACCACATGCTGAAGATGCCCTTTTAAAATATCCACACACGGGGTGTCTTGTGGGTGTCTCTTCTCCAGGATACCTCCTGCTTCCATCTAGATGGTTTCTGCCTGTGTCCTGCATCTCCTCCTTCCTCCTTGCTCGAACTCCCTGCTGTCTCGGCCCTAAATAGTCTCTTTCCTGACTTTCAATTTTGAAGAAAATCCTCCACTCCGTCTCTGAGTTAAAGGACTTGGTAGATAATAGTTTTGAGCTGCACGGCTGAAGGTAGTTTACCCTCAAACTTAACAAACATTTCAATTGAGAGAACTGCATGTCAGAGCCACTGTGCTCAGAATGCCGAAGTTAATTCTCTATGGTAAAGCTCAGCTCCTGGAGGTGCACTGAGAGTTCCCTGCCGTTCAGATTTCCAGCCCCTTAATCTGATATTTCACTCTTGCTCTAAACTACAACGAAACTAGTTTTGTTTCAGAAACTAGTTTCTGTATCAACTTCCAAACCTCTTTTCTTTCTTGCGGAAATCCTGAAACTCGACGGTGCTGCGTGTGGTGGGGCTCCCCCAGGGCTGCGGGCCCTCTCGGGAGGAGGGCGGGCCCGCGGGGTGGGGCGTCTTCCCGAGCTACTGCTCGCGCCTCTTCGCTCCCCCGCGGTCGTTCCTGCCGGCGCCGTTTCTCAGGCGCCCGCCTCCGAGTCTTCTCATTTCCTGGTTTTCTCTTCCCTCGCCCGCCGGGGCTCCGCCGTCCCGGAACGGCTTCCTGGCGTCAGCACCGAGGTCCCCGCTGCGCCCTTCCTGCCTCCGGGGGCGCCGGGGCGCAGGGAGCTCCCGGGAGCCTGCTGGCCGCGCCGCCCGGGCCCGGCCGCCGCCGGGCAGGGCCGGCGGCCCCTCTCCCCGGCCCCGGCGACCCCGACGCTCTGCGTCAGCCCGTCGGCGACGCGTCGCGCCGCCTCGCGCCCCGGGCCGCCGCCGCCGCCGCCGCCCCCCGCGGTCTCCGAGGCAACGGGCGCCGCGCCTGCGCGGACGGGCGCCGGCGCGCGCTCCCCTGCGCCTGCGCGGGCCGGGCCGGGGGCGGGGCGGGGGCGGGGCGGGGCGGGGCGGCGGGCGGAAGCGCGGGCGGAAGCGGGCCCGGCGGCGGCGCGCGGCGGGCAGGGCCGTCTAGGTAGGGCGCGTCGGCGGGGCCGGGGCCGGGGCCGGGGGGCCGGCGCGGGGGGGCGGGGCGGCGGGGGCGGCGGGGCGGGGCCGCGCGCGGGGGCCCCTCGGGGCCGACGCCCCCCCGCGCCCCGCGGCGTCCCCGCCGCGCTGTGGGGCGGCCGCTCCGCGACGGGCGGCTCCGCGGGCACGAAGGGCCCGGGGCCCGCCGGGGGGGCCTGCGCGGGGCGGCCCCGCGGGCGCGCCGGGCCCGGACGTGGCGTCGGAGGTGCCGGCGCCCCCAGCTCGAGGCGGGGCCGGCGGGGTCTGCTGCGGGTTTGCGGCCTCCGGCCGCGGGCGCGGGGGCTCCCCAGGCGCGCGGGGCGGCGCGGGCGCTGCGAGGGGCGGCGGGGGCCGGGAGGTCTGCCGCGCCGTGGGGGTAGCTCCCCGCCGGGCCGAGCCCGCGCTGCAGAGGCCGCGGCCCGCCGCCGCCCCACGAGGGAGCCCGGCCCGCTGTTCTTCCGGCGCCTGTGGGCCGCGGCGCGCCCCGGCGCCTGTCTCCGCGCGGGCTCTGTCGGGGGCGTCCCGGGCGCAGACACGGGGCTTCTCAGGGCGCTGCGGGCGCTCAGGTGGCTCCTGACCGCGGCGCCTGCCCCCGAGGACCCGCCAGTAAACACCAGCCAGAGAGGAGGCGTCGGCCCGCCCGCCCCCCTCCCTGGCCCTGCCCCCCCAGCGCCCCGCGTCCCTGCGTTGCCCGCACACCCGCGGTCTCCGAAAGGGGCCGTCGCGCCACCCGCGTTCCCGGCAGTGCTGCAGCCGCGGGGGCTCACCCCGGTTCCCGGGGAGCTCGGGGGTGTTACAGAGGGGTCGCTGCCAGCCGGGGCGGGGCCGGGGCTCTTCAAGGAGCAGGTTTCTGGACACTTCACCTTTGCTTTTTGCTCATTAAGCACCAAGAGATCCCATTCAGAATGACGGTGTTTCTAAAATACAGTGTTTCTCTGCTTTTTTAGTGGCAACGTGATAGAAACTCTCGCTGCGTGTTTTGAGGAACCGTCCAGGCGCACCCCATGTCTGGCTCATCAAGGCAGGGACAGCCACTGCCCCGTCCCTGGTGGGGTCTCCTGTCTCAGCCTTCCTGCCCAGCTTTGGGGCCTCCCGCCTGTGCCGGCCCTTGGCTCCTCGCTAGACCTGAGGGAGGAGGTCCCTTGTGAACAGGTGCCCTGCCCCAGCTCTCCCTGGTGGCCTTCTGTGTGCCAGGCCTCCCTGCTCCTGCCTCCAGTGGCCAGGACCCTCACTTTGGGCTTCACCAACCTGAACAGGGCCTCTCAGAGCCGTGGGGGTCCGGAGTTCTGGGTCGCTGCTTCTGTCCTGATGCTTTTGTTGGGCCCCTGCGGTGGACGGGCCTCGAAGGAGAGCGTCAGGGTTCAGCATGGGCCCTGGCTCTGCAGTGATGAGGCAGGTCTCAGCGCTGACAAGCGGCCGCCTGTGGGGGAGGGGCCTCGAGAAGGGACCTGGGCTGCGGGGCTGGGGGATGCCAGTGCCGCCTCCCGTCAGGCCTCGCCTGTGGGCCTCAGCGGGCTGGTGCACCTGCAGGAGCTCTCCCTGCCTCCTGGGCTGTCCACAGAGAGAACCAAATTGGAGTGAGCCGTGGACTGGGGGGTATAGGGGAAGGCCAAGTGTGGATGCCCTTTGTCCTGTCTGCAACCCCTTTCTGCCCTGACCGACCCACTCCTTCCTCAGGGTCTGGGTCCTTTAGGGGACTGTGTTTGCTGCTGTGTCCACAGCTGCCTGCATGGGGCCTTTCGCACAGGAATTGCTGGGGGACGCGGCGCCAAGCCTGTCTTTGCAGTGAATTGGACTCCGCACCCTTCCAGTGTTAGGGCTCATCCCCAAGGGACGCTGGGCGGCGGCATCTTTCTCATCTGGCCTGGCTGCAGCAGCCGCCCCTCCTTGCTCTTGTGGCAGCACAGGGCCTTGCTATTCCCTTGTTTGAAGAGCACATTTAAAATAAAGTTGCAGGGCCTCCCTGGGGGCGCAGGGGTTAAGATGCAGCCTGTGAAGCTACTCACAGCCTCTGCAGCACGAATTCAATCCCCGGCCAGGGAGCTACCCCACATGGCACAGGAGACCTCTCCTGTCTCCCTGCTGCTCCCCTTAGCAGTGTACTTCGGTGGATCCGCCTGTTCTGCTCCCTGCTCTGTCTCTGGGGAGTCCTCTCACCCGCACACCTCTGGCCTGCACCCCAGCTCTTGTATGCATAAATAAAGTAAATCTTTAAAATGAATGAAATGAAGCTGCAGGCTAAGATACTTAAGAGCATGGGCAATTTAAGCACCTTAGAAATATCCACTTAATAACAAAGACGCCTCGGACTTGAGGCTGCTGCACTGCTTCCCTTCCCTCTCGTGGGCTGCGCTGCCCGGCTGGACCTTGGCTGGCTGGGGCTCCCGCCGGCAGCCCTGGGAGCATGGCCCTTCCTCCGGCCTGCAGTGGCCGTGGGGCTGCAGTGCAGGCTGAGGAGGAGGCTGGGCTGTGCCATTGTTGGGGAGCCCCAGAGGGACGGGGCACCCTTGCCGCGACTCAGCAGTTTCCTGAGCCGCTCTGGAGCTGGTCAGAGGCGCGCTGGGGGCGCCCCCACGAACTCAGGGCCTGACGACCGCCTGGCAGGGTGCTCAGCACGGGGGATGCGAGAGAGGGCGTGATCCTGGGTTTTAAAAACACGGGGAAGGTTTTCTGCAAAGAACACGGCCGCTTTTTTTTAAGATTTGTTTGCCACGAGAACTGGGGTACAGGCAGGAAGTGTGGGGGGTGAGAGGATTCACCGGCGACAGAGTGGGGAACAACAGGCAGATTGACTGAAATACACTGCTGAGGGGAACAGCGGGGAGACAGGAGAGGTCTGCGCCATGGGGGTGTTACAGGGCAAACCCCGATATAAAATGGGGTTGCCTGACCGTGGGTCCTCACCCACGCGCTTCAAGGGGACTTACGAATGCTAAACTGCAGACACACACAAAAGGTTGATGAAAGGTTTATTTACAAGGGAAGGGGAACTGGGGAAAGGAATAACTCAGGGAGAAAAAGGAGATATGTTCGTCAACGCGAGCGTCCTACCCGTCCCGCTGACCTGGAATCCCAATGACCCGCCAGCCTGGCGAAAACCTAGCACGCCTCATGGCCAAGCCAGCGACCCCCCGGCCATTTGGCCAGTTAAATACTCAAACTGAGAGCCTCGTTGCTTAACTCCGCACTCAGGTCCTGGCAACTTCCCTTTGGTGATCATGGGTTTGTGGTTCCCAGCGTCGTGGGGGTGGCGTCTACAAAGCCTGTATGGAGTTTGCTCAGGACGTCCTGTCCCCCTGTCAGGGGTAGCTCCCTGGCCGGCCAGGATCGAACCAGCACTGCAGAGGCTGCAGACAGCTTCACAGCGTGGCGCTCAACCCGCTGCGCCACTGGGGAGGCCCAACACAGCCGCTTTTGAATCAGAAGAGAATTATTTTACAGTTACGTTGCTAATGTTTAAAGCTAGTTTATAAAACCGTAGAATAGAATCACCTAAGACTTAATGGCTCTTTTATGGCTGTTTTAAATTTTGAGGTACTTAAAAATTTTGGGTTTTTTATATATCTTTAATTTTTTGAATTTTTTAATCTCACCTTTTGGCCACCTTTGTGTTGTTTTTTTTTTAGAGATTTATTTATTTGTGCTACAAGAGCAGGGGTACGGACCAGAGGTGCGGGGGGTGAGAGGACTCACCAGAGACAGTGGGGAACAGAACAGGCAGACGGACTGAAATCCACTGCTGAGGGGAGCAGCGGGAGACAGGAGGGGTCTGCTGTGCTGTGTGGGTTTCTCCCTGGCTGGGGCTTGAACTCGTGCTGCAGAAGCGGTTTGCTTCATAGTGTGGTGCTTAACCCCTTGCGCCGCCAGGGAGGCCCCAACTTGACCACCTTTGTACAGTGATGTTTCTCAGATGCGACCCCACCGCCAGCACCTGCCCCGCCCCCTCCTCCGCGACCACTCGCCTGCTCCTGGCTGCACCCTGCATCTGTGGTTGGCCATGAGCTTGTCCTCCCAGATGGGGACCTGCGCTCCTGGACCGGGAGACCAGGCTGCCCAGCCCTGGGGGCAGCTGCGGGCAGGTGGCCAAGCAGAGCCAGTCAGGAGTCCTGACTCTGGGACCCGTCTCCCCGCCAGTGTCGGTGGGCGCCCCAGGGACACACTCCAGCCGGAGGTCGCCCAGCTCATTGTCTCTTCCTGCCTTCCAGCTCTGCCCTGTGTCCCCGGTCACAGCTGGGACAGGAGGGGCCTCGCCCAGGTTGCCGCACCCCTGCGCTGGCCGGCGTGTTGTTGGTGGAGCGCGGTAGGCCCCCGCCAGCGCGTCCGCTCTTGGCTCTTGGGGCTCCGAACACGATTCTGCCGCCCTCTGACGCCAGCTTCCATCTACCCCTCAGCTCCTGGAGGCGGAGCCAACCTGTGTCCCCCGCCCTTTGCTGCCCCCCACATGCCCAGGGACCCGCGCTCCGCGGTCGAGAGCCCAGGACTGGACTGGCCCCGCTGCCTGGCTCCCGCAGCCCGTCATGCCCTTTCTTCAAGGCTTTCGTCCGGCTGGGCAGATTTTACTAAACCAGGCAGTGAAATGCTTGATGAATAAGTTATAATAAAGTTGGGTCACGACGATCCACGAGGTAAGCCTGTGGAACCTCGCTTTGCGGGTTAGAAAGGCACAGCCCGGACAACGGAGGGACGCAGTGCTGCTCTGTTCTAGACCCTCCTCCTGTCGTGGCGCTGCTGCGGTGTCCCTGGGGCACCCCCAGCTGCCGCGTGCCTGGCCAGTCCCGAGCCTGTCTCACAGGCTCTGGTGGTGGAGGTTGTCCAGGCAGCCTGAGACTGGACGGCTCATCTGTCCCCGGCTCTTTCAGCATCGTCGCAGCTGGCTTTTTGCTCTCATTTGAATAAACGTCTTTGAGGCGGTGGTTTTAAAGAGAAAACCACCTGACACTTGTTGAAACAGTGAGCGGGGCTCTGCTCCAGACAGCTGTGGGCGCCGGCCTGCCGCCTGGAAGGGGCTCAGGTCCACGGGGCGTGTGAGGACAGCGGGGCCTGAGCCTGAGGTGGGTGGGGCTCTGGCTGGCTGGAGGGAGACCCTAGTGGGGGTCTCCTTAAAGCTGGCCCAGCAGGAGCGAATGCAGAGGCCGGAGGCCAGGCCTGGTCGAGAAGCAGGCTCAGGGGTGTCTGGCCAGTTTGGTCAAGGAGCATGTCCAGGGCCCGGGGAGGCGCCTGCGTCCTCAAGACCAGCCTGTCTCAGCACCACCGTTTCCCACCCTGGCGCTTCATGGGCCGTCCTGGAGCCCTGCCGGCTGGACCGGCTGCTACCCTGGGGCTTCCCGTCCCTGCTCTTACCTCACTTTTGGAGCGCCGTGTCTCCATTCTAGGGGCCGCGGGGAGGAGAGGAGATGGCGCTCCGAGCCGGGAGCTGGCCGGGGCCTGGACGTGCTGGCTCCACCCGTGAGCAGGTGACCCAGGAGGCGTCATCCTGGCGGCTGTGCCCCAGGCTCGGTTGCTGGCTCATGTCTGCGCGGGCGTCACGGGTCAGTCGTAGCCGTTTTCCCGTGGGGACAGGTGGTCACTGTTTGGTGAAGAGCAGCCCACAGTGGCGCTCCATGTCTGTAGGACGAACACAGCTTTGCCTCTGACTCAAAAAGCTTGTTTTAGCCAAGTCTGGCCCCAGACGTGTCTGGCCAGTGCCTTCCTGACTGCCCAGCAATCCGCGCTGGCTGGGCAGGTCCCCTCTGCTCTGGGAGCTGCTCTTTGACCTGGGGGCTGGGTGTGCCACGACCCAGCCCTGACTGCCCAGTGAGACTGGAGGCGCCCTGGCTGTGGGGAGGCGTCTGCCAAGACAGGCCGGGCCGTCGCCGTGGGGCCGGGAGGGAGCGCCGCCTCGCCCGCAGCGTCACTGGAGTCTGGCAGGGCCTGCGGGCACAGAGCCCTCCTGGCCGGCCGCTCCATGCTCCTGCTGTGCCAGGGTGTCTGGTGTCTGCAGCATCAGCTCCTGACCTCCCCCCACCCACCTCTGCTGCCTTCACTCCTGACCTCAGTGCTGGTGCCTGGCGCCCACACTAGCACCAGCACCCCCGCCCCCGCCCCCCCACAGCCTGCCCAGTGCGGCTCTGTAAGCAGCAGCAGCCACGCGACAGGCAGGTGGAGCCAGCGACCCTAACGTGTGTCTGTGATCACGGGCCATTTCCTTTGGAAAGTGAGAGGCTTCAGAGTGTGCTCCTCACAGTGGGAAGTGCAGGCGCAGTGAGGAGGAGGGAAACAGGTCCGGCCCCGCACCTGTACCCTTGGACTCCCTGCTGGGCCCAGAGCCCAGGTCTCTGCCGCCCCCAGACGCCACAGGAGAGCGTGGCTGCCAGATGCCCCCAGGGGATCTGTGGTTCAGAAGGCGAGAAATGGCCGTGTGGAGAAGCCACCCGTGTCTCGGCAAGAAATGAGCCGCTGTTGCTGCGGTGAGACAGGCGAAGCCCCGAGCAGAGCACAGTGGTGGCCGAGTGTTACTCGTGGGGAGGCAGAGGACGCCGTCTGGGAGGCCGAGTCTGCAGTTGCAGTTTTAGTAAAAGGCTTGCAGCAAAAATTCCTTTTCCTCGGGGCAGGATGGCAGCCCCCATGCGGCCGCTGCTCAGTGGCCACACTGGTCCTCTGTCCACTGTCCCTACAGCTGTGTGCGTGTGTGTGCACAAGCGCAAGGGTAGGCATCACCGTGTGTGTGTACAGGTGCATGCATGTGTGTGCGCACAGGCACGTGTGCCAGTGTGCATGGGGGAAGGCTTGAGCACCTTGAGCAAGTCCGCCACTAACCCTGGAGATCCCCAGCACTCCATGCTCTCTGGGCCCTCGCACCCTGCACGCAGCCTGGTGAGGGCCATGCCATGCAGAAGGGAGTCAGAGGGCACGGACTGGCCTGTGGCACATGGACGGTGGAGCTGTGTGGCCCACCCTGCCCGGCCGTGGAGCAGACAGCGACTGGGGGCTGTGCTGGGAGGAGCACTATGGAGCTGGGCTGAGGACCATGGGGCCCGTGCTGCCCGCTGATGAACAGGGCTCGCCCAGATTTCAGTGCAGTCTGTTCTCCATCCGCTGGGCCCGCGCGTCTTTGTCAGCCCTGGCAGCTGGGCAGTTAACTCCAGGCTCTCCTGTGGGGCCCGAATGCGGTGTTTTCTTCAGAGGTGGCCCCAAGAGGTGCCCTCCATCTCGAGGCGCAGCTGACAGTTTCCCGCCCTTTTTTTTTTTTTTTTTTTTTTTAAGAGTTATTCATGGGCCTCTCTGGTGGTGCAGGCGGTTGAGCGCCGCACTGTGAAACTGTCCGCAGCCTCTGCAGGGCGGGTTCGATCCCAGCCGGCCAGCAAGAATCCCACATGGCACAGCAGACCTCTCCTGCCTCACCCGCTGCTCCCCTCAGCAGTGCATTTCGTTAAATCTGCCTGTTCTGTTCCCCACTCTGTCTCTGGTGAATCCTCTCACCCTCCCGCACCTCTGACCTGTACCCTAGTTCTTGTATAAAAATAAATAAATCTTTTTTAAAAAAAGGATTTATTCATGCACACAATTTATTCATGGCCCACTTCTGGGCCACCCTCTGGGGTTTGAATCAGCGGCTCTTTGTGTCGCACCTTGTGCGGTTTTGAACATTGAGGGTGGGAAATTTTCTGTTCAAAGTCAGCCATTCACCACCTCAGATGTTGCGTCTAAAGAGTAAATCTCAGGGTGTTTCCTGACTCTCTGAGGGGTGTGGGCTGGAGGGCGCGTCCAGCACAGCAGGTGTGCGCCTCCCGACCCCGCCACAGGCCGCCCAGCCCCGGCCTCGTGTTCACGTCTGTGCAGCCGCGTGCACTTTTGGGCCAACTTCCTCTATTCAGTGACGTTGTTTTGAGAAACATCCAGTTACTAGTATTGATTTCTCTTGGGGTATTAAAAATAACTTCCGTTTGACTTCTAGACGGGAAATACTTCTTTGAAAACCTCACACGTGACTGGAAGTCTTTGGCGTGCTCATAGCCCACGTCCTCCAGGGTCGTGACATCACTGTGTCCTGGAAGTTCAGCTCAGGTGGCTTCGACTGTGCTGCTTCTGGCTGCGGGGCCCCGGGCCAGCCCCAGGGGGATGAGACTGCTCGAGGACAGAGCGCCGGTGCGTCCGTGCCGGCTGTGACGGCGACGACGTGTGGCCGCTTGCTCACTCTCCTCCCCAGGCCCTCCCAGAGCCGTGATGGGCGTCCGAGGATTGCAGGGCTTCATCAGCAGCAGCTGCCCCCAAGTGTGCATGGTCGTGAACCTGAGGGAGCTGGCCGAGCAGCACCGCAGCAGGCACCCCGGCTGCACGCCCACCATCGTGGTGGACGCCATGTGCTGCCTCAGGTACTGGTACACGCCCGAGTCCTGGGTCTGCGGCGGTCAGTGGCGAGAGTACTTCTCTGCCCTGCGGGACTTCGTTAAGGCTTTCACGGCCGTGGGCATCAAGCTGGTGTTCTTCTTCGACGGCATGGTGGAGCCGGGCAAGAGGGAGGAGTGGGTGAAGCGGAGGCTCAAGAACAACAGGGAGATTGCCAGGATCTTCCAGCACATCAAGTCCCGCAGGGAGCAGCCCGGCAGGAACATGTTCTTCATCCCCTCGGGGCTGGCCGTGTTCACGCGCTTCGCCCTGCAGAGCCTGGGCCAGGAGACCCTGTGCTCCCTGCGGGAGGCCGACTACGAAGCAGCCGCCTACGGCCTGCGGGACGGCTGCCTGGGCGTCCTGGGGGAGGACACCGACTACCTGATCTACGACACCTGCCCCTACCTCTCCGTCGGCGGGCTGCGCCTGGAGCGCCTGGAGACGCTCATGCTCTGCAGGGCCCAGCTGTGTGGGGCCCTGCGCCTGCGCCCGGCAGACCTGCCCCTGCTGGCCTGCCTGCTGGGCAACGACGTGGTCCCCGAGGGCCTGTTCGAGAGCTTCCGCTACAAGTGCTTGTCGGCCTACACAGCCGCCCGGGAGGGCCCCGACAAGCGGGGCAGCACCATCCTGGCCGTGGCCGACCACATAGCCAGGGTCCTGCACGCGCAGCAAGGCGAGAAGCGGCTGGAGGAGCTGCTGCCGCTGGGGGCGCACGCGGAGCTCTTCTACAAGGGGGTGGCATCCTACCTCCTGCCAGGACAGCAGTCCCCGTGGTTCCTCCAAGCACCCGCCGTCCCCACCACCCCCACCGCCACCGTGGACCCGCAGGGAGCCCCCGTGTGTGCAGACCCTGGGCCCGCACCGCCCTCGCCTGTGGGGGCAGCACCCCCGTCCGAGCTGGAAGCTCAGGCCGCACAAGAGGAGCCCCAGGACGCGGAGCACGCGGCCCAGCAGCCGGCAGCCATGGTCTCGGACCCCGACATTCTAAAGGTACGTCCGGGGGACTCGCCAGCCCAGCATTTGGGGGTCGCGGCTGCACGCTGACACGTCTGTGGGGAGGGGGTCTCCAAGCGGGGGGTTGCGGTCTGGGCTCGATGTTGCCGCTGTGCCTTCCTGCCATGTGCGCTGCTGCTGGCCGGCATAGAGCCTTTCTTTGTGTTCCATGACCCAGGCCAGAGCCTCGAGCCCAGCGTGGGCGGGAGGGTCTGCGGTTGTCCTCAGGGTGCTGACCAGGGTGGTCACTGGGCCTGTGCCCCGAGGCGCAGAAGGGGGCTGCGTGGCTGCAGCTGGGGCTTGCTGGTGGGTAGACATGGTGGCCACTGAGTGGGGGAGGGGGAGGGGCGGGGTGGGTGGGGGAGGCCCGGGCATTGGGGGGACGGGGCAGGGATGGGGCCTGGGGCTCCCGCAGCTTGGGTGCTTGAGTGGACCCCAACCCCGCGGGCTGCGTTGGGGGCGCACCGTTGTCTGCACCTGACAGGTGGCCCGAGAGCAGCACGTGCGGGGTGAGAGCTACCTGGTGTACAACATCCTGAGCCGCGGGGAGATCGAGTGCAGCAACACCTTGGAGGACGCTCTGGACCAGGCCCTGCCCAGCCAGGCCTTCGTGTTCCGGCCTGTGCGCCAGCGCGTCTACGCGCTCCTGCTGGGCGCCGGCGCGGGTGAGAGCAGGGCGGGCTTCGGGTGACTCAGCTGCGTGTGCGGCGTCCCCGGCCCCGGCCGTGGCCGTGAGAGGCCCCAGACGGGACCTCGCTCCTGGGGCCCTTCGCTGCTGCAAGGCAGTGTTGTTTTCCCTCAGATGCAATTTTCTTGAACTAGCCTCATTAAGTCGAGTAAGTTTCTGTAAAAGCAACCTGGATTCTCCCTCGGCGTCTGCGTCGTGGGGTCTGTCTCCTCAGCTTGTCCCAGTGGCGCAGCAGCACCGGCCAGAGGGAAAGGCGCCTGTGTGGCCGAGGCCAGAGGCTGGAGGCCCTTTGACACCAGTGTCACGAGAGCCAGTCCTGGACCCCTCTCAGGAAGGGCGGACTGGAGCGTGGCGGAGGGCTCCGTGGTGCCGGCCAGCGGTGCCCGCACTTGCCAGCACTCTGGCCTGCCTGGCCGCCACGGGAGCCAGTGAGCAGGCTGCTGTGGGCTTGGGTGCTGACCCGGCCCATGGGGTGTCGGCATGCATTTAAAACAAGCTGAGTGGCCTGTAGAGTACCCCGGGGCCCAGCACCATCGTGTCCTGCCCCAATGCATGCATCCCCCGGGGCCCACCCCAGGACAGCAGAGAAAACAGCGCAGGCGTCTTGGGAGGTATCCTAGGCGGGCAGTTGCTGCAGGCAGTGCCCCGTCTTCCCAGGAGGCGCATGGGAGGAGGCCCTGGGGGGACAGGCCAGCCAACGGGACTGCCCGGTTTCCGTTGGGACCACACGGGGTGGAGAGAGCAAGGCCGGAGGGAGCAAGTCTGCATCTCTGCGCGCTGGGCAGGCAGCACGCAGGTGGTCAGCCTTTCTCCCTGCAAGCTGCAGGCTCAGCTCCTGCTGCGGTTCTTGACGTTCCGGAGGGTAAACTAAGGCGGGCCTCACTGTGCGAGTGTTGTGCTGCTTTCAGAGCTCGTGCAGGGGGAGCCTTTGGAGCTCAAAAAGAACGGTCAGGAGCTCAGGGACCGGCAGCCCCTGGGCAGCCCGGCGAGGTTGTTCGTCCTCATGCCTTGCACGGGCTCGGGTGGGAGAGCAGCGCCTCCATGGGCTGCATCTGCAGGCAGTGGTCGCCCAGACCATCCTTCCAGCCACGGCCTCCCTGGCCCTGGTCCTGAAGGAGGAAGCTAAGGCTGAGTTTCCCGCGACAGCAAAGGACCCAACACACAGAAGCCCCAGAGTCTCAGTGTCCCCCAGTGCTTTCTGGACAGGGGGCCCACGGGGCTGCGCCGCGGGACTGCTCCTCACCTCCCCGGCAGCCCCACTCCGGGGCGCAGGTTCATTTCAACGAGATCAGGAACCCCAGGCTGGGGGCAGCGTTGAGTGGCCGAGGCCCCCTTAGCGACTGGCCTGGACACACTCACTGTGCTGTCCGCCTTGGGGCCCCATGGGCAGGGCTGGGGTGGTGGTGCCGCACCCCGGCCTCGCCCCAGCCCCACTGTCCTCCTCAGATGGCTCCGGCGCCTGCCCCACGGTCAAGGAGTGGTTCGTGTACGCAGGCAACCCGCTGAAGCAGCCGGACCTCGTCAGGCCCCTGCAGGTGAACCTCCCAGGTATGGCGGCCGTGGCTCGGTGGCATCTGGTCCTTGGCTGTGGGGTCGTCTTGGTCATTTCCTCCACGCGGCCCAGCCCGGGCCGGGGCGTCTGGTCCTGCTGAAGGGACCGCCCAGGGCTGAGGCGCGCGCTCGGGCCGGGAGGAGGGTGGGCTGCGGCTGTGACTGGGCAGTGAGTCTTCGTTTTGCTAGAGGTGAGGGCAGGGTCTGGGCAAGGAGGGGCACGGGAACTTCTGTGAGTTTCTGCGTGGAGACAAGACAGGAAGTCGGGGAGTTTCCAGCAGGGGGGGAGACACGGGGCAGGCGAAAGGACAGGGTTACCTCAGTATCGGGAAGGGGGAAGCGAGAGTCCCCCAGGGAGTAGAAAGGCAAAAGCCCTCCGTGGGGACGGGAGCCCCGCCCTCAGCGGCACCCCTGGGCCAGCCGGCTACGGCGCCCAGAGCCTCCTGTGAGGCCGCCCAGGGCCTCCGCCGTTGCGCACCACCCACAGCGCCCCGTGTGCGTCCCTGTGACCGAGCACTCGCTCTGGGCCTGGCCGGCTGTCCCCTGCCCGGCACGCACCCCTGCACAGCCGCGTCCTGTGAGGGGTCTCGGGCTAAGCGGCAGCAGAGCAGGTGACGCGGCTCATCCCCTCGGGACGAAGGATGGTGGGCTCTCTGCTGGGGGTCCTGTCTCAGCAGGCAGCAGCCTGTCCTTGTCGTAACAAGCTGGGGACGCTCGTGGCGTGCGTCGGTGATTGTCCACGGTGCCTTGTGCGGGGCTGCGGGAGTCGGGCAGCCTCGGGGTGACCAGGGCGTGGGGCGTGGGGCTGGGTGGGGATGGACGGCAGGGAGAACCAGCGCTGTGGGGCCGCATAGGGGGCGGGTCCTGGGCCGTGGCGGGCAGGTGGAAGGGCCCGAGGAAGCACCAAGGTCATGGGGGCTGGGGCTGGGGCAACGTTGAGGCTGGTGAGTCCATGCGGGCTCGGGGCTCATCCATCTGCGTGAGCCCACAGTGACCCGCTGGCACGGCGGACACAGCCCGGGACACGGTGCCGGTGACCAGACGCCACGGCTCAGCCTCTCGTACAACCTGGGAGGCATCCCCTCTGCTCCACCTGTGGGCAGGAAGGCTGGGGAGACCCCACGCCCAGCCCGGTGTCTGCGGCCCCTGCTGCGCCTGGTGCGTGGGTGTGACACGCACTTGGTCCTCCCCTCTGGGAAAGCGCCTGGCAGAGCCTGAGTGTTGACCGGGCACGAGGACGGGTTGCGGGCCGGTGACCGAGTGCCGTCTGGGCCACTGCCTGCCCCCGGAGCACGTGGAGATGCTCTGGAAGCCCCTGGTACCCCTGCTTCCTGTGCTCAGGCTGCAGAAACGCCGCCCCCACCCCTGCCCCGGAGAGTACTGGCTGTGGCCCGCGGTGCTGCCTGCAGATACCTGCCCGCACTGCTTCCCGCCCCTCTAGCGCCGGCGCGCTGCCCACGGGCAGCGACAAATGGACACCCCTTTCTGACTAGGGGGGGCACCGGATCTGAAGCTGCTGTGGCTGAGCCAGGAGCCCGAAGTGCAGGCCCAGCGCCTGGATGCCCTGCTGGCCTGCTTCGACCTGTCATCCGCCCGCGAGGAGCTGCAGGCGCTGGAAGGCCCCTTGCAGGCCCTGTGCTGCCTCCTGATCTACCTGTTTGTGCAGGTGAGCTGGCCAGTGGGGGCCTGGGTGGAGCCGACTTGGGCCCATGGCAGGGGCTGTTGGAGCCCCAGAGGCGCCTGCTCGGTAGGTGGGCCTGGCCGCCCCCTCGTGGCATGAGGCACCCAGCACTGCGGCCTGTGCCCAGCTGGGCTGATGCTGCCAGGCACAGGCATCCACACCCCTGTCTGCTGGCCTGGGCAGCTACCTGGGGGCCCAGGGGCTGGCCAGACCCCTGCGCCCCACCCTTGTCTGCTGCGTGAGCGCAGGGCCTTTGGGCACCTGTCATGGGGCTCACACTGGCCTCTGCCTCCCACAGGTGGACACGCTGACCCTGGAGGACCTGCACGCCTTCCTGGCCCAGGCACTGTGCCTGCCAGGGTGGTCTACAGCACAGCTCGCGGACCTAGAGGTAGGCAGCAGCGTGGCTGCGGGCTCGTTGGGGCAGGGCCCATGTCCAGGGGCCAACGTGTGTGCAGTGGTGGCTCTCCCTCAGACAGCAGCCCCGGATCCTGCAAGCTCCAGGGGGCCCCGGCTGGGTGGTTCTGCTTGGACATGGGCACCCATGCAGCAGTGGTGGGCTGGGGGCAGGGCTGGAGGGTGGAGCTCTGTGTTTGCCCAAGGCGGGGGTGGTGCCCAGGCGGCCCGAGGAGGAGTGGGCGGCTGCATGAGACGAGGCAAGGAGGGCCGAGGCGCCAGGTGTCGACCCCGGGATGGCCATGGACACCAGGGAGGGCCGGGGGTCCTTGAGCTTGACCACGGGGGCCTGATGCTGCAGCTCCAAGTGGCGCCCGTGAGGGCCTCGGGCCAGCACTGTCCAGCGTGTTCCCAGGTTGGACCCCCCCATGGCTGTGACACAGTTCCCCGGGTGGTGGCGGGACCTGCATCGGGCCAGCGTGGGGTCGCGTTGCTTAGAAGTTCCCGAGCATGGGCCCGCCGGTGCCCCTAGTGACTGGGCACCCCCAAGTGGATGCATGACCTGAGCTGTCCCCGCTGAGCGCTGACCACGAGAGGCTGGTCTGCGGCCCCTGCTCCTGTGCAGACGCGCCGTGCCTGGCAGGAAGCCCCACGCTCACTGTCCTGGCTCCACAGCCAGGCCCCTGGCTCCTGCTCCAGACGACAGCCATGTTTGTTGGTGGGTTTGTCCCGGTGGATGAGCTGAGGACTCTGCCGCACGGGCGGCCCCTCCGTCCCAGTCTGTGTGCTCAAGGGGCAGGCTCAGGCTGCGGGGGTGAAACCAGTTAAGGGCCGGCCATGTCCCATGGGGTGCTGGTGAGGGCGCTGACCCATGTCCCCATGCTGGCCACCTCGCCCGCCCCTCAGCACCTGGTCCCAAGCGGCGAAGCCCCGCCCCTCATGGCCGCCCAGTCGCCCTCTGGTGCGGAGGGCGGAAGGGCTGCTGGCATCAGGGCTTTCAAGGCAAACGAGCCTCAGAGAAGAGGCCGCTTTGGGGAGGACAGCGGCCGGCTTAGCACTTGACAAGATTCAGCGCCTGCTCACGCGTGGTGAGAATGCTTGTCACGGCCTCACTCAGGTTGCTGGGATGTCTCTGAGGACCCACAGCTGACCCCTCACGGCCGTGGCCAGCCACCCCGCTCTGGGGCGCTCACAGCCCTTTGGCCGCAGCGTGGGCCTGGCCAGGCGGGAAGGCAGGACAGAGGCCGGCAGGTCACGAGCCAGAAGCAGAACTGACTCCTTACAGAGCAAGTCGGGGATGACCCCAGAGCTGCCAGAGCTCGTCACTGTCGGGGGCTAAGAGGCCGACACGCAAAATGGCTTCACTTCCGCTAACAGAGATGCCGAGAGGAATAGCATCAGCTGCCATGTAGACAAACCCCAGGCGTGGGCCCAGCATGTCGGCCAAGAACGGCAGCGTGCTGGCGGGAGGAGCAGTGAGGCCGGTGGGCGGAGAGCGCAGGCTCGCTGCCGGGAGCCCCGGGAAGAGGGTGCGGCGTCCCACGGGTCCACGAGGCCTTTGTGGACGAGATAGGCCCCCGGAGTGTGTGGGGAGGAGAAGGCAGCAGACGGCGAGGACGGCCGGGCCAAGAGCCCCGTGCGCATGCCGCCTCCGGCTCTTGGTGCTGGGGCAGTGGAGCGCTGCAGACAGAGAGGACCCCGACCTTCACCGCGCACCTGCGTGGACGTTAGTGCAGAGAGTACTGGACTGGATGTAGCCTTGGGATCTGGGACCCGCCAAGAATTCTGAGACCGCACAAAAGCATGATCCATAATTGAAAGAAGTGGATGAGCTGGACTTCATGGAGTTCAAGGCCGATCCATTAACAAGGTGCAGGCTGGGAGGACCTAGGTGCGGGGGGCAGGGCCTCACAGGAGTAGCTGCAGGAGGGGGCGTCCCAGCCGCACCAGCCACCGGGCCACGCAAGTGACAGCTGCTCCCAGGCTTCGCTCTTGGTGACGGAGTCAGGAGCGGCGATAGCCACGTGGAAGGTGGGTCGCCAGCCTCCCTGGCTGGGGGTGTGGCTGTCACTGTGTTTGTGACAGCAAAGGCGGGGATGGCCCGGCTGTCGCGGGGGAAGCTTCAGTGCTGTCCACGAGGACCAGACGGCGAGGACGGGCTCGCTGTCCCCCGCAGCTGGGACGGGGTGCAGGGGCGCCGCTGAGTCCTGTCTTTGTGATCTTGTTTATTTTGTGACTGACTTTATTCCCAAAATGGCCATGCTGTGGAGATGAGGAGGATACGCTGGTGCCAGGCTGGGGCAGGTGGGGCGCAGCGGGGAGGCCTGTGTGGTAGCCCCCATGGCCATGGCGCTGCGAGGAGCGCATGGAGCCACAGTGTGTGGCTTGGTGCGGCCAAGGTGTCCTCAGGCAGGCAGGCCCGTGCTGGGTGTCTGTCCCCGTGCAAAGGGGCCGGGGCTGCCCAGGAGACTGCAGCAGCAGAAGCTGTTCGGGTGCAAGCGCCTCTGTTTGCAGACCCTGGCCCTGAGACGGCCTCTGCCCCTGAGCGGGAAACGCGAAGCCAGAGGGCGCACTCCGGAGAGGGCGTGTGGCCTCTGCAGGACGCTCGAGGACCCTGGCCAGTCTCAGGCCCCTTTCTGTTCTGCAGCGTGGAGGGGTGGCAGGGTGGTAGGGAGGGCCCCCGCCGCATATGTGCCCACGCGCCCGCTTGTCTCCACAGCTGGACCACGTGGACTCCAGGGCAGTGCAGCTGGGCGCCCTGCTGATGCGCGGCCTCACCACGCTGGTGCTGGTCAACAGTGCCTGCGGCTCCCCCTGGAGGACGGGCCACTTCATGCCCTGGCACCTGTTCGACGGGAAGCTTTTCCACCAGAAGTACCTGCAGTTGGAAAAGGGCTACACGGCGGAGGAGCTGGTGGAGCAGAACGTGAGTCCCCGGCCTCGTCCAGAAACAGTCAGTCTGGCTCAGGGGCAAGTGCGGCGGGGTCTTGGCCTCGGCTGGAGGTCACAGGTCAGCCATGCTGCCTGCAGAGGCCCTGTCCCAGGGGCCTCCTGTGAGGGCATGAGCCCTGGCCGGGTGGACACAAACCCGTCCCTTCCAGGTGACGGGGCTCCTGGGCCAGGCCGCGCAGCTCCGACGCGGTGGGTGGGACTTGGGACCATAGGCCACAGGGCCTGCCGGCACCCACCGGGTCCAGACCCCGAGGGGTAGGCTGACCGGGGAGGGCACCCCAGCCTCTGCCCCCTCCTTGGATCAAGGCCAGCCCCAGGTGTGGACCCTCCTGCCAGCTACCTACTCTGGCCCATCCTGGCAGGCGTGGCCGGTGTTCAGGGTAGGGCCTGCTGCCCCATGAGGAGGACACGTGAGGCTTTCCCCTGTGTGCAGCGCCCTGAGGTGGGAGCACCACAGGAAGGACAGGGGTGAGCGTGGCCTTTTCCCCTGGTAGAAGGTCTTGACTGCTGCGGCATGACCGGCCCTGTGGGGACAGGGCGGGTGCGGAGCCCACAGTGGGAGCCCAGCCAGGAGCTGGTGCCGCCCGCGGGCCGTGTGGTCAGCACCCAGGGCCAGGAGACCTGGCCGGGAGGCCCTTTTCAGCAGCATGGTGGGGAGGCTGGGCGCTGCTGGGCAAGGCGGGGGCGCGGCTCTGACGCTCGGCTCTGCCCACAGAGGGCTCGGCTCACCCAGTTCCACGCTCTGAAGTCCGCCGTGTGCAAGGCCTGCGCCAAGGAAAACCGGCGCATCGTGAGCGGGCAGCGCTGGCGGGCACACCACACAGGTGGGCGCGGCCTGGGGTGGGGCCTGAGGGGGAGAGGCCTGGGTGGGTCCCCGTCCCTCAAGACTCTTTCCAGGTGGCTTCAGGGCTGCATCCCACACTGGCCCCTGCAGCCCATGGCCTGGCCTTGCTGGCCCACTTGATAGCATTTTGGTTTATTACAATATAAAGAAAATAATTTAAAAGGCACAAGGACCCTTTCCCGCTGTTAGCTAGAGGAGCAGGTGTTGGCGGCTGTGGCTCCGCCGTCTCTGCCCTCTGCCCGCCGGGCACTTGCTGGACCTCACCGAGCGCCCTGCTCTGAGCAGCGAGCAGGCTCCCAACCCCCACCTCCCCCCCCACCCCCACCTCCTCACGCCACCCCCATCTCCTCCCCCTCCCCCACCCTCCTCACCCACTTCCCCGCCCCCTCCTCCCCCCTCCCCACAAGCGGCGCCACCCCGCCAGGATCACCCAGGGCCGTGGGCCTGTGTGGACAGTGGCCAGCTGCTGGTGTCCCAGCTTTGTTCAGTCCTGCCAGCCGGAACGTCAGGCTGTTTTTAAAATCCCCTTTAAATGTGCCACAACCCTCTGGTGTTAAATCCTGGCAGAGGCAGACGGTGGAAGTGCCGGGCAGGGCCTCCAGGAGGGGGTCTTGGACCTGGCCGGTGGCGCCAGGGAGTCTTGCCCACTGGTCTGTGGGCTCCGCGGGGCCAGGACATCCTGCTGGCCAACTGGGGTGGGGGCACCGGCTGCCAGGCAGATGCTCCTGCCGCCCTCCCCGTCCTCGCCCGGCGCAGTCCCGGGCAGCAAGGAGGCAGGGCCCGTTCCCCGCCTGCCCTGGGTCCTGGCCCAGAAACACGCGAGCTCCACGGGTCCTGTGATGGAGAAGGGGGCGGGGCCGCCCGCTGCACCCTCAACGCGCCATCGGGGCCAGCTCTAGAGGCCTGCTGACGTCCTGACCCGTGTCCCCACAGGGCGGTGGGCACGACAGGGGTCCAGTTCCCACCGCACGAGCTCCGGGCACAGCCGGTCCAGCCCAGGACAGCACTGGAGAGACCAGGGGCCAGGTGAGGCGGTGGCCGTGCCGCAGCGGCGCCCCCGGGCATGCTCAGAGATGGCGTGTGGGGCGAAGCAGGAGCCTGCACGAGCCGCCGCGGGAGGAGGCAGGAGTGGGCAGCCCCTGGGCGCTGCCGTCTGCCCCTTCGTCTGCCCAGTCCCCGGCCCTCAGGCAGGGGCTCCTGGTAGCAGCTCTGGGGGCGCCAAGCCTGTGGGGCTTGCTAACCCACGGCGCCTCACACCAGTGAGCCACGTTCCTTAGGGGTTTGAGACCCAAAATGGATGCTTTCAAAGGGCCTAAACTTACTTTTTACTTTGGCGACTTCAGATATGTAGACTTCAGGTATGTAGACTTCAGGAGCCCCCAAGTTGTCGCCTGAAGTCGAGCAGGTCTTTTGCATGAACTAAACCAATGTTTCTGGGTTTACCTCCCTGCGAGTGGCCCCTGCAGGTGACCTGTGCTGCTCCCGAGTGATTGTAGGGGGCCGTGAGTGCGGGGTGGCACGTGGTCCCCTCCCCAGGCTGCACACGCAGGTGTCAGCAGCTCCAGTCACGAGAGCGCGGGCTTGTAGGCCAAGGCCTTTCCAGGACGGAGGCCTGTCCAGAAGGCTCCAGATGTCCGTTCCGACCTGTGGCCTATGGGGGCCCTTGGCTCGGGGGGCTGTGGACGCCTCAGCTGCCTAGCATGAGCTCCTGGGCAGAGGGCCCCCTCCTGTGACCCTGGGACAGCCCTGAACTCCAGGAGCTACTTGGAACTCAGGGTTTTGTTGGCCTGGATACCAGGCCAGGGACCATGTTGTGGCCACTCAGAAGCATAATGTTACAGGACGAGACAGCACCCGGGACCTCCAAAACCTGCCCGCTTTAGTGGGCTCTGCCGCTTGCTGTGTGGAGACAAACATGTTCTGTGCATCAGCCTTTAACAGAAAATGACTTTTAATACAGCGGGTGCACAATGGAGAGAAAAATAGAGTCAGATGGTTTCCCACAGAGCTCCCAAGGTCACCTGTCCCCTGGTGGGCAGATGCCTGGCCAGACAGGTCGGCCCAAACCAGAACATTGAAACCCAAAATCTTGCCCCACCATCTAAGGCCCCTACTGGGGACCCCCCGGACAGGGCAGGAACAGGCAGGGCTGGGAGGGAAGGAGCGAAGTCAAACCCCAGTCAAGGCAAAGGCCACCCTTGCCAGCCTCCCCTAGGGCTCTCGCCGCATCTGTCTCTGCCAAGTGTCCTTTCCGGGCCCCTTGTCCCCCATGCAGGCCCAGGGCCCAGAGGCCAATGCGGCTGCTCCTGCTGGCTCTGCGCCACGCGCCGCGCCTCCTGCTCTCTGCTACCTCTCCCCTCTGCCGGAGCCACCCCTTCCACGGACCTGTTATAATAAAACCAGGATGCCTTTGCAGCTGGAGGCTGGAAACTGCCTGGGGGGGGGCTGCACCCCCCCCCCCCAAGGAAGTCCCCACCCACTGGGGAAGGCCTCAGTGAAGTAGTGGAGGGTGGGGCTGAGAGCTCAGTGTGGGAGATCTCTGATTAAATGCAAACTAATAAATGCTGATTTCTATCAGAATGCCGAATTTGGGGGCGGGGTGGGGGTGGTTTGCCTGCTCCTCTGCAGCAGGTGGGGCCTCCTCGGGCATTTCTGGGAAATGCAGCCCCCTTAGGAGCACAATGCTAGGGTCAGGCTTCTGCTTCTTGTCCCATCACTGCAGCTAACGGCCACCTCTGCCTGCCACCATGGCTCTGAGTGTCCCTTTCAGTACCGGCACCCTTGGGGTAGCAGTGCGGTCTTCTGGCTAGAGTTGTTGCCTTTTCCAGGACCGGAAGGGCAGGGCTCCTTGTGAGTGAAAAAGCTGGAAGCCTCATGGGGAGCCTGGTCAGTTACTGCTAAGGGGTGGGCCAGGGGAGGCCTGGCCCTCCTGGCGGGCACCTCAGCACCTCTGGGCCCTGCTGCCCCACAGCTGACAGGAAGGCAGGTCTCTGTCCCCCGTCGCTGTGGCCCCTGGGAGGCAGCCTGAGCTATGGGCAGCCTCTTCTGGGCACACGGGGGGTTGAGGCTGCCTTCTGGGCAAAAAAGGCCAAAAGGTGGCAGCTGTACTCAGGCGGGAGGGCCCTGGGCTGTGCCTGCAGTTGGGAGGCACGTGCGGGCTGGGCTGGACCTGACTAGGCTGTGGTGGGGCGCAGGAGCCATGCTGAGGAGAGGAAAACCTGCCCTCCAGGACAGCTTAGCCGGCGCATGCTGGGGCAGGACGGGCTCGCCTGTTGGAACGTCTTAGTTTGGTTTTCGTGTGTTGGTGCAGGAGGCAGACCCTACGAGCCCGACCAGTGGAGGAGACACTCGTCCTCGTCCGGGTGAGTCGCCCTATTGTCTCGAGAACAAATTGGGTTTACCAGAAATTGAGGTGAAATATGTCTTTGGCATAACTGGCATACCAAGCACCAAGCTTCGGATGGTATATCCTCCCAAGGAGGCCTAAGGTAGCTTTGTTTTAGGTAAGTTTGCTTCCTCCAGAAAAAGTGATGAGAACAAGATGCAGAGCTTGACCAACAGAGCACCATGGCTGTGGGAGAGCAGCGGCTGAGGCCTTGGGGTGCAGAAGCCCCATCCTGGCGACTCCGTCCTCAGGGCAGCCAAAGCCCGCTCTCCTGTCCTGGCTCCGTTGCCCGGCCCTCGGCGGCCGTCCTCAGCGCCACTGCCCTGTCCCAGGCGTGAGGTGGGCCTCGCCGTGTCCTGCCTGCTGCCGTCAGACACCCCCACTAGGCAGGCGTTAGGAGAGGGACGTCTGGTGGCTTCCCACGCGTTTTCTAGCCACAGAATGTAATGAGTCAAGTTTCCAACTATTTCTGTGCCACTGGCTGCTCTCGCGCGCAGATCTGGCTCTGGGCGAAGACCCAGGCCTGGGGCAGCCGCGGGCCACAAGCAAGGGGTGCAGCTGTGCTCTTAGTCCGCAACCACAGAGGAGCCATTGATTTTAAGAAGCCTTTTTAAAGGAATTCAAATTCCCAGTAATCTTTTTCATGGAAGAATTTTCAGATAACCTGAGAATGGAACTTTGAAGCCCATCATCACGCTGAGCTATTCCTGGGCCCCATAGCTGAGGCATCTTGGTGGAGCGGCACTACTGCCTCGATCCTGGGGTGGCGTGACTGCCAGGTTCTCTCTCGGCCGCACGCTTGGCTGGAGACCCCTGCGCCCTCAGAATGCCCAGGCCTGCGCCCCAGAGTGCAGGACCTGCCCTGACCTGAGGCTGGCAGCAGGCAGGGGCAACAGCCCACGTGTGCAGACTCCAGCCACGGCTCCCCATGAAGCCCCATCCAGGCTGCCCCGAGGAGACACGGACACCGTCGTCCGTGCCACTTGCGCCGGGGCATCAGAGCAGGGCCAGGCTCCTCGAGTGCGTTTGCCTGTCTGGTCCCTTCCCGCGTGAGTCTTCCCACCGGCAGCTTTACCTTCCAGCTTTGGAAACGGGTCTTTCCACCCCACTAAGAGTACGTCCTGCCTGGGTAGTGGCATCCTGTCCCGCCTCGCGTCGGCTGACCTGAGGCCGCAGCTGTGTCTGGGCCTCTTTGTCCTCATGCTGACTTGTGTGACGTCATAATAAACTTGTCATCCCTTAGACTGAAACAGTAGCTCCCTCACTTTCTGCTTCATGATGTTGAAATTCTACCTCGCAATAAAATATTCACGAAAGCAAGCTTGGCACAAACCTTTGCGTTGGAGCATCTTTATTACATTTGAAAGATCCAATGTGGGGAAACTTTCGTGACCCTGACACGGAAGTCACAGCTGCCATCAAGTCTGAAGAAATTTCTACATATTGGCTTAAAAGTTAATATATTGCAAGTAGAATTTCACATTTTTCACTGCTGGAAAACACCGCGTGATACGTAGTGACCTCTGTAGAGAAGAGAAGGTGCTGGGTCTCTGGGAGGTTCTGCTGCTCCTGCTGAGACCTCGTGAGTCGCAGACACTTGCTGACTGGCATGAGTTGAGCCGCCCGCCTGGCAGAGCAGGTGTCACCAATGGGCACGGCAGCCCCTGCTTTGTGCTACGTGCTTGTGTTGCTGTTACGTGTGGCATCTTTGCTCTGGTGTTTATCGGGGAGATTGGCCCGTGTTTTTTTTCTCTCCTAGCGACCTTCTCTGCCTTAGGTAGAGGGGTAATTCTGGCGTTGGAAAGAAGCTCGTAAGTGTTCCTCTGTCTTGCTTTGTTGTGAAGAGTTTGGGGGGGATTGGTGTTATTCTTTGAAGTTTTGGTAGAATTCATCAGTGGCATCAAGTGGTCCTGCACTTCTCTTGGTTGGGAAGCTCTTGCCTACTGAGTTACCTTTATCATTGATCAAGCTGTTCGGCTTTTCTGTTTTTTCATGACTCAGTCTTGGTAGATTGTATGTTTCTAGGAAATCACCCATTTCTTCTGAGTTATCCAATTCATTGGTGTATAATTGTGCATGGTAGTTACTAATGATCCTTTGCATTCCTGTAGTACCAATTAAAACTTTTCTTTCGTGGGGCCTCCCTGGTGGTGCAGCGGGTTGAGCACCGCGCTCTGAAGCTGTCTGCAGCCTCTGCAGCAAGAGTTCGATTCCCAGCCGGCCAGGGAGAAACCCACATGGCAGGCAGACCTCTCCTGCCTCGCCCGCTGCTCCCCTCAGCAGTGTCCTTGGTCCATCTGCCTGTTCTGCTCCCCGCTCTGTCTCTGGTGGATTCTCTCACCCTCCTGCACCTCTGACCTGTACCCCAGTTCTTGTATAAATAAATAAATCTTTAAAAAAATTTTTTTTCTTTCATTGTATTTTTATTTATTTCATGTCCCCTTTTTTCTTGGTTTATTTAGCTAAAGCTTTGTTGATTTTATCATTTTAAAAAAAGAACAAGTCTTTTTAATTGTCTTCCAGTTTTCATTGCATTTGTTTCTACCCTAATATTTATTGTTCCTTCTTTCTGCCAACTTTGGGCTTAACATGTTCTTCTAGTTCCTTGAGGTATAAAGTACATTGTTTGAGAACTTCCTTTTTCTTAGTCACTTCTTACTATAAACATCCCTTTTAGACCTGCCTTTGTTGCATCCCATAAGTTTTAATATGTTGTATTTCCATTTTTGTTTGTCTCAGATACTTTAATTTGCCTTTTGACTTTCTTCCCTTGGCCCATTGGTTGTTCAGTAATGTGTCGTTTAATTTCACAGATTTGTAAATCTTTCGATTTTTCTCATTGCTTATTTCTAGTTTCATATCATGGTGATCAGAAAGGATACTGCATATAATTCCAGTCTTAAATATTCAAGACCTGCCCTGTACCCTACGTGTAATCCAGCCTGGGGAACATTCTGTGTTTGCTTGAGAAGAGTGCGCGGGGCTGGGGCGGGGGTGTTCCTTAGGTCTGTACGTCCAATGTTTATTGATCTGTGTGTCTGTTGTTGAAAGTCGATATTGATGACCTTGTCTGTTTCTATGTAACTGCTCTTATATGTCGCTGTCTATTTCTGCCTTTTGCTCTGTCAATATCCGCTTCATGTAGTTATAAAAATTAACATCCTTTTATGGTAAAAACTCAACAAATCAGGTGTAGAAGGAATGTACCTCAACATAATAAAGGCCACATATGGAGAGACCACAGCGGCCATCATGCACAGCAGGGCATGGTTGGAAACTTTTCCTCTAAGATCAGAAACCAGACAAGTGTGCTCGTGCCCACCGCTTCTGCTCGGTATATATAGTCTCTGCTTCGTGACCTTTGATGACCTTGAGTCTGTAGATAAGCTTGTCATTCAGCAAGACCTACTGTGAATGGCCACAGCTGTGAAGTGGGGAGCCTGGTTAAGTAGAGAGACTTAATATGTCACCTAGCCGGAGAGGCCAGAGTGGTTCTGGAAACTCCAGGTAGGCCTGGAGGTGATGACTTTGGTCGTGGATGAGACGGGGGTGACTGGGTGACTCTGGTGCCAGCTGTGCTGGTGGATGGGGGCGGTGGTGGGGGAGTGGATCTGGTGATGATGGGAACAGTTTTGGAGGTGGTAGGAGTGATAGTGGCAGCCACAGCAGTGGCTGCATGGTCCGTCAAGGCTGCGGGGGCAGTGCGCTGGGTGCGTCCCCACCATGTGCACGGTGGTGACCATGATGGGGTGGTCACCAGGGCTCGGAGGCCCATGTGGGCCTAGTCACCTCGAATGTGTGCGGCTGCTTTGTTGTCAGCCACACCTCAGTGAAACTTGCGGAGGAAGCAGAAGGATCCGAACACACGTGAGAAAGTGCGGACAGCAGACTGGGTATTGCTTTGAGTCGGGGGTGAGGTTACAGAGACTTCATGTTTCTGTTTTGTTTGAGACAAATAATAATCAGAAAAAATAATTGGAGAGGGACACAAAGATGTGGACATGTTCTCTCTACACTGTCGTTAGCCAGGACCCACTGGCCAGGTCAAGGGTGGGGCCTGCTGGGCGCTGCCCATCTCTGAAACGGCCTGTCACTGGCCATTGCCCGCTGGTTCACTGGTCACCTGGTTCTGATGGTACCATCTTTCATCGTCTCAATTTTGACGCGTGTGGTCAAAAAGGGAATTTCATTGACTCCTCTGAATATTAGTGAAACTTCTTTTTCACTCACTCACTGGCCATTTTCATCTCTTGCAATGAACTAGCTCATCCTCAGCCCAGTTTTTCCTGAGTGATTTTTTGATACTGGTTTGTGGGACTCATTTACAAATTGCAGGTATTAACCCTTTGACGGCATGGCTGTTTTTCCTTGTTTTTCGCTTCCTCATCCTGGGAATCTTTCATCTAGAAACCTGGGGGTCCCTGATTGCCCTTCTCCTGGCGTCCCAGCGCTGGGAGGGGGGAAGCACCCTTGGGTGCTGTGCCTCCAGGACCCCGTGAGCAGTGAGGCCCCTCCCTGTGGGTGCCATTCCCTCCTATCTGCAGACCCCACTTATCCGTGTGGTGACGGCTCCTCATCCTGCTTCTGTGCTGACGCGGGTGCTAACAGGGCCTAGTCGCTTTCCCCAGGAACCTCCCCACTGACCCGGGGAGCTCATGGGGCCCTCCCCAGCATGCTGACTGGCAGCTAAAGAACCACACAGGCGCCACGTCGCTTCTGTGGCCTCAGCTTGCAGTCAGGGTGTCACCTGTCACGTCTGCCCTGGTCAAAGGGGCCTGCCACGCTCGGGAGAGGCAGCGGCCTTCTCTTGCTTGCTCAGGGAGGGGAGCGTCGTGGGCCAGAGTGCTGCTGTGGTCATTCTTGGACGACACTGCCTCATCCTTCGGGCTCTCTGATGTTGGGCTCTGACTCTTCCTCCCCACCCCTCCCGGCACAACCCTCTAGCAGCGACCCCAGCGGCAGTTCCTTGACTTCCCTCCGGGGTCTCCCCTTCCCCTGTGGGCTTTGTTGTTACCAACAGCTCAGCCCCTTGGAGTTCGGGTCCCAGACACCACTGTCCAACAGCAGCTTGCTGCCTGCGGGCCTTGGTGACCCCTGACCAGGCACCGCTCCTGCCTGGCCAGCGCCTGTGCTGTGCCTGGCCCACCTGCCCTCCCTGGGCCATGCCACAGCGCTCTTGGCTGCTTTGCCGCTCCCAGCCCCTCACCTTCACGTGGGAAAATCACAGACCTCGGTCCACGCTGACCTCACCTCTGCCCCGGGAGCACACTCAGAGGAAGATCTCAGCCAACCGTGCTTCCCGCGGCTGGCCCAGCGTCCTTGTCTGTGCCCCACCGTTAGGCACTTCTAGCCCTCGCCCCGCTCGGCCTCACCTAGCTCGGTCCTGTGGGCAACGCCTCGCCCAGTCTAAACTCACAAGTGGTGCCAGGAGCAGAGGGCGTTCCCGGTGCACTACCACTCGCTGCCCTGGCCAGCTCGCAGGCTGCGGCCCAGGGACACGGCACAGGCCCCTCCCACCTCAGGCCTCCACCAGCTGTTCTCGCCAGCAATCGCGGCCTTTCTTTGCTTTCCTCTGTAGAAAAGGTAATTTTGAGCCCATAATCCGGTCAGCCACCAAGCCAGCATTCTGGAGGACAAGGAGAGACCGGCACGTTTCCAGGGTCAGGAAACCTTGCCCCATGGATGGCTCCTGGGGGGCAGGGTGGGCTCTGGTGGGATCACGGTCTGGGGGCCTGGACAGCTGGGCCTGGCGCTCCAGGCTAGTCGGCTGTTTGTCTTCCTCGTCCTGAGGCTTCTGATTTCCTGACCCTGAGGTCTGCGGCTGGCGCCTCTGGGCCCACTCCCACCCCCTCTGCTTCCTGGCTGACCTCGCCTTCATCTGAGGGCGTCGCTGTACGGCAGTTTCCATTTTTCTTTAATAGGCCGTTGGCTCCAAGTCTCTTTTTCTGTTTGTTTTTGGTCGTTGATCTTAATTTTCTCCATACATGCCTTCCCTGCTCTGGGGAGGGGGGGACTGCACGTCACAAAGGAGGCTGAGATCCGTCCTGCAGCCACGGCCTGGGCCCTCAGGCAGCTCCAACCCAGCTCCAGTTCCGGGCTCTTGCTCCTGACTTGTCAGGCTCCCCAGAAGCCACCATGCCCCCTCTCTCCCTAGAGAGGAGCTGTGGGGAGGCGGTTCAGGAAGGACAGATGCCCGGAGAGGGGATGGGGAACATAGAGTGGTGACCCCGGGCCTGACTGACCTGGGTATGGAGCTTAGTGCACTGGTGCCCCTGGGCAGGGCCTGTTTGCTGCTGGCTGTCTCCACCCCCGAGGTGGATGGTGACACGGCCTGGTGGTCAGACCACACGCCCCCTCGCCGCAGCCTGGAAGCATCCGCTGGGTAGGGACAGCGTCCCTGTGTGCCCAAGAGCAGCCTCTGGGCCCCAGCACCACAGACCCTCAGAGGGGCAGCCTCAGGAAGCTGCTGGGAGGACTGGGAAGCAGGTGGAGTTCATCGGGAAGGGGTCCACCCCACCAGGCCGCTGTGGTGACAGCCCACACAGCCCGGCGCTGCCCCTGGGGCCCTGCGGCCGGCTCAGGTGAGGTGAACCCGACGACGGATGTGGCCTTTGGCTCCAGCAGTGGGGAGGTGACAGGGCTACAGCCTCATGTAGCGGGGGGGGGGGGGTGGAATCCTGCAGTGGACGGGTACAATCTGTCCAGGGCACCCCTATGGGCCCCAGTCTTCTTCCCACACCCAGACCAGCCGGCCCTTCACTTAGGAGGGAAGACCGCTGCCGTGGGAAGAGTGGGTGCCCATGGCCCCGGGGGCTGCAGGAGACTGACAGCTGTTTGTGTTCCAGGTGGTCCAGCTGAGCCCGCCGGGGCCTACCTTTCCTGCTGGACCGGGTCGCTTCAGGACATGGCCTTGATGGTGAAGTCATGGGTCTTGCTTATTCTGCAGTCAAGACACAGGATGGACGGTGCAGGTCAGGCCTCCACCCGCAGAGCCCACGCCCTGCTGGGGGAGGCCACCAAGTCCAACTGGCTCCTCTCCCGTGGTCTGGTGGTGGGCACGTGTTTCGGGAAGGGAACAGAGGAGGAAGCTGGGTGACCACCACCAAAGCCCCCTGTGGTCAGCGAGGCGGGCAGCGGCCCAGCTCCTGCCAGCTTGCTTCCTGATGGAGGGGGGCGCCTGTGCCGCCTCTTCTGAGGGCAGCCCCTGCGGTAGCCTCATGGCGGCGAAGTCCCTCCCCCTGCAGTGGCCAAGGCCCCCTTGGGCGTCGCTTCCTGGTTTAAACTGGTCTGAAATGCCTCCTCGTCAGCGCCGTGTCCCGGTGCGCCCCCGCACGGACGCGGCGCAGCCGGGGGTGCCCCTCCTGGGGGACGAGCCCCGATGTGCGGAGCCACGGAGAACCCGGGGTCCCCCCCCCCCCCCCCGCCGCCGCGGCCTCCCTCCGCCGCCCGGGCCCTGCCCGGAGGCCGCCGGGCTCCGGGGTAATAAACCAGCGTGGCCCGCGCCCGGGCGTGTCCGTTTCCTGCGGAAGCGCGGCGCGGCCTGCCGGGGCGCGTGGGGGTCGGGCCGGCGGGAGGCGCCGATCCCGGGTCGCGGCCGTGACGTCACTGGCCACGGCGCGCGGGATTCGACGCCGGGGCCGGGTCGGACGTGCGTGGCCGCGGCGCGAGGGGCGGGGCCTCCCGGACGGCCGGGCCGGCGCCGTTGCCCGTGGCCGCGCCGTCGCGGGGTGGACGGGGATCCCCGGCTCGGGCGCCGGCCCGGGTGGCCGCTCGCGGTCCGGCTGGGGGCGGGGGCGCCGGGGACCGGCCGGGCCGGCGAGCAGATGCCCGCGGGGGACACCGGGTCGCGCGGGGCCGCTGCGCGGCGAGTGCCCCCGGCGACGGCGCGCGCCCACGGCCAGGCCCGCGGGTCACCCCCGCCACCCTCCATCTGGCCGCGCGGCCAGGGCGCATCTGCCGCCTGTTGCTCACTGACCATCTGCTCCGCGCCGGGAGCCCCGTCGCCCCGGCAACGCGGCCCCGATGGGCGGCGGCTCCCGAACGTCCCGGCTCGGGTTTCGCTTTCATCGTGCTCTGGAATGGGGCCGGGGCGGGGCGGGGCGGGCCCCGGGGGCGGGGCGGGGCGGGGCGCGGGCCGGCGGGCGGGCGTCCCGCGGGCGAGGGGCTGCTTCCAGGCGCTGACTCCGGCGGGCCTGGGGTTCCAGCCCCAGCGCCCCTGAAGCCCAGCGGGCTAGACTGAGCCGCGGCGCTTTTTTTTTTTAAAGATTGATTGATTGATTGATGCATACAGGAGCCTGGGGTGCAGGCCAGAGGTTGGGGGGTGACAGGACTCTCCAGACAGAGTGGGGAGCAGAACAGGTGGATCCACTGGAACCCACTGCCGAGGGGGCAGCGGGAGGCTGGGGAGGCCCCCTGAGACAGCTTTGCAGTGCTGTCTTTAACCCCTGTGCCCCCAGGTGGCCCCGTGGCGCTCTCTTGGAGCCGAGCCAGGTGAGCCACACCTGACATGGGTCTGGTGGTGTCCCCCGTACAGGTGGGGCTGGGGTGCGGGTGGTACCCGCGGGTGCAGACCGCAGGACGCCTTGGTGGTCGTGGAGCTCCTGCATCCTGGGGCGGTGGCGCCACCCCCCAAGCCAGAGCTGTTGCTCCCTGGGAGGAGGCAGCTGCCTCCCTCCTGGGGATGGGCCCAGCCGGGACCCACCGGAGGTTGCACTGTCTGGGGGGAGGGAAGGGGGGTGCATCAGGCTCTGCTGTGTGAGGACGGTTGCCTAGTGCTTCCGCCATGTCCTGGAGAGTTCCATGGGGACAAGGAGCTGCATGGACAAACTCTCCCAGTCCAGGCCTTTCTGAGCTGCCACCAGCTGTGTGACCCCAAAAGTGACCACACAGTGTCCAGACAGAGCTGCTAGAACCACCCGTGCCTCTTAATCAGTGCCCCCAAGACAGCTGGGGCCTTGCTCAGAGGGCGTCTTGGGGGAGGGTGGCGCCTCTGGGCGCACCGCCTCCGCCCGGGCCTCCTGTCCATGGGTGCCCCTTCCAGCCCGACAGGCTCAGCCGAGCGAGGGACCTGGAGGCGCCCTGGCTGAAGGCCCGGTGCCTGCTGACATCCTGCGGGGCGTGGCTGGAGGGGCAGCATCGTGCGCATCTACGCCCAGAGCCTCCTGCTCTTCACACAGTGGCTTCCCCCGCTTTTCTTCCCCCATCGAGGGCATGAGACACATGTGTGTGGGGTAGGTGTTTGGACCTGTTACAGGGCAACCCTGTTCTAAAATGGGTCGCCTGACTGTGGGTCCTTACCCACGTGCTTAAAAGGGACTCACACTGCAGGCACACACGCAAAGGTAACAGGTTTATTTACAAGGGAAGGGGATGAGGAAATGTACAACTCAGGGAGAAAAGGGAGATAAATTCTTAAATGCGTCTTACCTGTTCTGCTGACCTGGAACCCCAAATGACCCGCCAAGACCAAGAGTGAGAGCGAGAGAGAGAGACACCCCACTAACATGGCTGGTTTTAATTTACAAACAGAGAAAATGGCACTTAATTCCGCCCTTAGGTCCTCGCAACTTCTCTTTGGGAATGCTGGCATTTGTAGTTCCCAGTGTCTTCATGGAGTGGGGGTGCCATCCACGAAGCCTATGGAATTCACTCAGGACATCCTTTCCCCGAACAGACTGAGTTTCTCTGGCCCTTCCTACCCTCCATGCTGCCCATCGGTGTCCTGGCTTGTGGAGTGCCCACAGCCTCTCCCCGCCCCTCCCCTCAGTGGTCCGCCGGACAGGAAGCCCCTGCGCTGGGGTTCAGGCCGAGGGTCCTCACTGGATGCCCCTGCAGGGCAGAGCCATCACAGAGCATGGAAAGCTGGTGGGGGCCACTCAGCGAGGGGAAGCCCCCCCACCCCGCCGCTGTGCCCATGTGGCCTGGCACAATCGGTGCAGAGGGGCCACCTGGGCGCGGGGGACCTCTTGGGCCCCCAGACCCCAAGTGGGGCCAGCCAGGGGCGCCTGGCCTGGTGCTGTGCCCACGCTCCAGGGTCACCTGGGAGGAGACACTTGTCTTCCCGCTGCTGGGCTCCCCTGACTGCGGCCTCTGGCCCCGCGCAGCCCATCTCAGCCAAATGCTAAGCAGAGCACCAGAAGGCAGAGAGGGCCTCAGGCCTCAGTGCAGTCGCCCTACCCCAGAGTGTCCACAGCATCAGGGCGCTCAAACCATAAGCCGCTCCCGCAGGGGGGCGCCATCCTCCCAGAGAGCCAGGCCGCCACTGAGTGTGGAGTGGACGGGACTGCAAAGCGCACGCAGTCCCTGGCAGGAGAGAAGCGCAATCCAGAGAGTGCACACGGGGCTGGCCCCAGGGCCTCTGGAGGGCCTCACCCAGGCCCAGGGCGCAGGAGAGGCCAGAGGGCTCAGAAACTCCATGCAGAGGGACATTGAGGCGCAGGGCCGCCGCCGCGGCACAGTGGACCCTGGTGCTGGCTTCGAGCAAGACTGAAAGGGCGTTGCCATGGGCCCTGGGAGGAGGCTTCACTTTATTTTTAATAAGAGGGGACCTGGCTTTGCTGCTGGTCACTGTTGCCGCCTCTGCAGAGGGGGTGCCCCCCTCACTGCCAGCGCCAGGCAATTTCCCGCAGCCCGAAGGTGGGCCGCGTCTCCTGAAACAGGGAAATACACAGAGCAAAGGAAACCCCCGGCGTGGGGTGAGCAGTGGTCCGTCCACCTGCGGGTCTCCAGGAAGCCGCCTGAACCCCATGGGCACCACCCCCCCCCACACACACACACACAGGCAGCCCCGCTGGGCGCTCCCAGCCCCACCCAGGCTGGTGTCAGGGGCACAGGACAAGATGCGTGAGCCTGTGCACTTGTATGCACACCCACCCGCACACATCCACACATGCACACCCACACACCCCTGGCCACACCTAGACACCCACATCCACACTCTTCTCACACGCACGCTCTCCTCACACACACATTCAGGCCCAGGCGCAGGGCACACACTCCTTCCCTGACCTTAGTGCAGCTGGACCCCGATCACCTTCCAGACCCAAGGGTGCACAGCAGCCCCCCATGGCCCCCCGGGCCAGGCCCGTCACCCCGCGTCCAGGTGCTCGCAGTAGTGGGGTCAAGTGGAGGATGGTGGGTTAGGACAGCTGGGAAGGGGCTCGTGGGGCCGGGTTTTGGGGCAACAGTGAATGACTTGGTTTGGTCAGAGAGCAGTGGACAGGCCCCTATTCTGGGTTTGACCTGCCCAGGTGCCCAGGGCACCTGATTGGAGGCCAGGACCAGGGTGGTGGACACAGTGTGGCTTTGGTCTCAGGAGCCTGTGAAGGGAGGTGTGGAGGGGCGGCCACCAACACCTGGCTGAGAAGTGGGGCCTCCGCACCTCCCCCTCCGCTCACAGATGGAGGCCACAGAGATCAAAGGGGCCAGACCCCCGGGGCAGGAACTCACACCTGCAGGGTGTGGGGCCTGGGGCAGAGTGGCCAGAAGGTCGGCAAGGATGAACTTTGACAAGGGGGACTTCCCAGGATGAAAGGGATGAAGGGATGGCCCCTCCCGGAGGGCGTGCATCCTGAGGCCGTCCTGCCCAGGCCTGTCCGCAGCTGACCCAAGCTCCCAGAGACTCCGAGGCCACCCAGGGCTGGACCCTGGGGTCCTGGACGCCCACTCCCGGGGGCCCTTCTCTGACTTTGCTCCAACAACAACACACGCAGGGATGTGGATGGCTGGGCACTCACTGCAGCCCGCGCAGCCGCCTCTGCCAGGAGCCCAGCCCCTGCCCAGGCCAGGCCCTGCCCAGCCCAGCCAGCCTGCCCACTGGGTCCTGGCTCGCAGAGCAGCCCTGGGCGCTGGCGTCTGCCCCGGCTTTGTTGTCCGTCAGCGCTTTCCCTGGAACAAGCAAACCCCAGCTAAGCAGGCCCCTGAGGCCTAAGGTCCAGATCCTGTAAAAACCTGTTTTAGGAGCAGCATGGCTCGGGTTGTGAGGAAGTGTCCCAGTGACAGCAGCAGGTGCCGGAGCCGTGGACCCAGCTGCGTAGTGACGGGTACGAGCCAGCCCAGGGGAGCAGGCGGCGGCCACAGGTGCCCGCAGCTGTGCGGGGCCGCGTGTCCAGGCCCCTTCTGGCCTGTGGGCTGTGCTCTCAGCTGACCTTGGCCTCCTCCCTGTAGGGGCGGTGCTAGAGGGGGGGGCTTTGCCCAGGGAGCCTCCGTTCTCACCCCGGCTGTGGGGTGGCTGCCCGCCCCCGCGTGGTCAGCAGCTCTGCCCCTGCACCCCATGAGGGGGGTGGCCCCACGCCCAGCTCCCCGCTACCTGAAGCAGAGCCCAACGGGCATCACTTTGGGCATCGCCATGGCAACTCCTCCAGGCGGCTGAGGATGGACCTGGATGGGAAGTGGATCACGCGGCGGGCCCTGCCCCTGCTGGCCCCTGCTGGCCGCCACCTGGTCCAGGCTCCGCCCCTTAGGGGCGCTGGGGCCTGTGCGCACCTGCTGGGCTGCAGCCCTGGGGTCCTGCACTGGCGCCTCCTACCCAGCCTGGGCCAGCGCCTGCCCCTCCCTGCGGGCTGCCAAGGCCCTCCCACCGCAGGCCCAGCACTTCCGACCCCCCTCCGCAAACGGCCCCGCCCCCAGAGGCCTGGAGGCAGTCCTGCTGAGCAAACCCAGGTGAGCACCTGAAACTCCCGAGACTCGGTTTCTTCACATACTTCCCCGGGCACAGGGGGCGCTGAGCCCCGGGATTCTGGAGGGAGCTTGCCCCCCACCTATGCCCCTGCCTCTGCCCCCAAGCTCAGCAGCACTGTCCCTCTTTGCGCCTGGACATCCCCCATGGAGGCAGGCCCCTGCGCCTGCGAGGTCGGGCGCTTTGGGATCTATCCACGGCCAGAAGGGCAGCTGGTCAGGGGGCGATGGGGGCAGAGACACGGCCAGCAGGACCTGGACGGGAGACAGCTGGGCAGAGGGACGGGGCTGCCCGGCCCTGCACCCCTCCCTGATTCCCCTCAGCTCCGCTGCCCTGCGGCCTGCACCTCCAGGAGCTCGCGAGCCGCCTCCCTTCCCGGGAACTTCAGGCCTGCGTGAATCTCAGCGGCGCCCACCCAAGCCTGTCTTCAGCCCAGCGACGCGCCGGTCAAGTCTTCACTCCCCTGCGTGGTCACCAGGCACCTGGGCCCGGGCACTGCAGAGGACGGGGGAGTGGCCCTGCGGCAGCTCAGACGGGCCGGGCTCGTGCCTGCCCAGGACACTGGCTCGGCTCTACAGAGGCTGCCCCGTGGGCGGATGCAGCCTAAGGTGGGCGGGTGGGCCGCCCCGGCTCACAGAGAACCGCCGCCGCCAGGCTCGAGATGGGCACCGGCCTCTCCCTGGGCGGCTGTGGTCTGGGACCGCTCAGATGTAGAGGACGTTGCGGACAGTGGGGCCCCTCCCAGCCCACCCCACGCCCAAAGGGCAGCCCTCAGAGCCAGGCCTCATGTGGGGTGCCCCTAGTCACGTCCCTGGGTCACGTGCATCCCCACAGGCCCATGTGGGGCGGGCAGGGGCCCTGGGTCCTCACGTCCTGTGTCAGGGACATTCTTTGGCCTCCCCGAAGCCTTCTGTGGGGGTCCGTCCAGTGCCCCCCATGACCAGACGGGGTTGTGGCTGGGGAAGAATGGGATGCACCCCACTCACCAGCTGGGGTCTCCTGCCCTTCCTGGAGGGGTACCCCCGGACCTCCCTCTGTGGGACCCTTTTACATGCCGCTCCTGGGGGGGCTACATGTATTCTTTGGGGTGCAGAGGCCTTTGGCTGCCCCAGCTCAGACCATTCCCCAGGGAGAATCTGTGGGGCTCTGGCTGCCCCTGAGCTCAGGACTGCCTCCCGGGCCCCGCCAGCTGCTACTTCCCAGCTAGAGAGCACGAGACCCCGCAGCCGTCAGCGTGGGTTGCCGGTGAGGGGCCAAATTGCACCAGCAGAGGGTGGGCATGAGTCCCTTGCCCCCAACACCATGCCACAGGGTTCACCCACATCCTACCTCATCAGCAGCCCCCACAAGAGGGCCCTCTCCGGACCCTCAGCCCCCCAGAAAGCAGCGGGGCTGGCGGGCTCCACGTGTAAATGCTTTCTCCTGGACACACCATTTCCTGCTCTTCAGCTTTCCGCCAAGAAATTGCAAATTCATAAATGTAGAACCCAGGAAGGCGGAGCAAGGACGTTGCACCTGCACCTGGCTGAGCATGCACCTGCTGCTCCAGCACCTGCTGCAACTAGACCTGCACCTGCTGCACCCACTGCACCCACACCTGCTGCTCCTGCACCTGCTGCTCCTACACCTGCATCTGCTGCGCCTACACCTGCTACGCCTGAGCCTCTGCATTTACACGTGGAATTTGCCCATGAACGCTGGCTCCAGGGAATCGCTGTCTGGCTTGTCCTAAGGAAGAGCGAGGGGAATCAGCACAGGGCGTGCTGCTTGGAGGGTTCCAGGGTTCCAGGAGGAAACCCAAGGGCAGGGATCCTGCCCACAGGCCCCCTTGGTCCAGAGCCGGGGGGCTGCAGGTGAGTGCCGGGGCGGGCAGCAGGCCAGGACCTCTGAGACAGCCCTCGGTTTGGATCCACTCGCATCAGCGTGAGTGTCTAACTTCTCAGTTGCGTCGGTTCTCAGTTCAGAAACCGGCCTTGACGGCGGGGCTGTTTGGGGAGCTGAAAACGGGCACCACCTTGTGCCAGGTCATTGACAAGATTTTGCAAATGCAGAATTTTAACTGCAAAACCACAGCAGAGGGTGAGAAGAGTGGACCCACCTCTCAGGCCTGTTTGCGCACGAGCCCAGGCTTTCCAGCGGGGCGGGTGGGCAGCTGGAGGCCCCTCAGCCAGAAGCCACTGCCCTGCCCGTTCCTGTGCCCTAGGATGGTGCTGGGGTGGGGGCGCCGCCCTGGGGCTGTCAGACTCCGCTGGAGTTCTTCTCTTTGCCACCCTCCCCGCTGAGCCGCCCTGTGTTTGGAAGGTTTTCCCTAGAAAACTGGGCTTAGTGACAACAAACTCTTTAAGAATCAGTCATTTCTAAGTGCCAGTGGTGCCAGTCCCCAAAAAAGTGACTGACTTTTTGAACAAATAATTGGTGCGCCCCCCACCCCCGCTGGAGCGGGACGTGAGGGAAGGCCTTGCCCCAGGGAGCAGCCTGAGGGGAGAGGGAGGAGCCGGATTGGGGGGCGGGAGGGGACGCAGCGGCCTTGGGAGCGGCGCCCCCCCCCACGCGGGGTGGCCGGGGTGCTGGGGGCCCCCAGGGCCGGCGCTGGCCGGGCAGCGGAGCAGGGCCGGGAGGGAAGAAGCTGTGGCTTTAGGGACGAGCTGCCGGGTGGGGTGCCCGCGGGGCACCCCCGGGCGGTCCCCGCGGCCGCCGCTGCCCGAGCGCCCATCCCGCCGCCCAAGGACGGGCCGGAGACGCCGCGGGGGCGCAGGGGCCGGCCTGGCCTTCGGGGTTCCGGCCTCGAGGGACAAGACAAAGGCCGACGCGGCCGCAGGTGACCGGCTGCGCTCCGGCTCCGGCTCCGGCTCCCGCGGCCGCGGCGCCCCCTGGCGGCCGGGGCGGGGGGTGCCCGCGGCTCCCGCCCGCGCCCCCGAGCCCCGCGCCGGGGCGGGGGCTTCTCCCGGGGCGCCCGGCCCTTTTCCTGCGAGGCGGCCGGTCCCCCGCGGGCGGGCGCCGTGGGCCGGGGCTGCCGTCGGGCGCGGGAGCCCCGAGGCGGCGCCGGCTGAAAGGCCTCGCGGGGGCCACGCCCGGCCGCACCAGCCCTCGCCGCCCCGACGCGCGGCGGCGGCGCCCACTCGTGGTCTCCCTGGGGCCGTGGGGCCTCGGAGAAAGTTTTAGACACACACTGCGGTGACTTCAGGGAAGAACTGGACCCCACCACGGGGAAATCCTTGAGGCAAAACCCGCCAGCACCGCCCCCCTCCAGGCCCGGCCGCGCCCCCGGCCGAGCGGCACTTCGCGGCGTCCCGAACAGCCCCGGGCGAGCCCGGCCCGCCCCCCACCCTTCCCAGACTTGAGGTCCGCAGTGGAAGGGCGGACAGAGCAGCCACCCGCCCACCCGGGCCTGAAGGGAAGAGGCAGCGCGGGGGGGGGGGGGGGGGGAATTCTCTCTTCAGCCCACACTCCCCTCCCCCAGAAGACCCCCCCCAACTCCTCTGGGTCTCACGTGCACCGCGTAGATCTGGCTCACCTCCCTGTCCCTCGTCCATCTCCCCACCCATCCGGCCTGCCCTCCCCTCCGGTGGTTTCTGGGGCGACCCTGGCGCTCTCAGAATGAAAATGTTTTGCAACTGCCTGTCCAGGTCTGAGTTGTGACACCGAGAAACGTGAGCCCTCACCGCTGCCCCGCAGAGCCGATGATGCAGTATTTGGCGGTTTGCAGAACACGTTTCAAAGTATGTACCTAGTCGGGCTTTTCCTAATTTGAATTAAATTCTTAATAGGCCAACAGTAAACTTCCACTAAACCACAGGCTGCAGAGCTCTCTAGGTTATGCTGGAAAGTGGAACTTGCTCAACAGCAAGTAAATTAAAGCCCCACATTGTATGTAACGGGGTTAAAATGGATTTAATGTCTCTAAAAGAAAAACCACTTCAGCGCTATCAAAATTTAGGTCTCAACTTTTACATTCCTAAACTGCAAAACTTCCCACAGATTTTTGTCTAAGACCCACTTAAAGGGCTATTTGCTTCTACAGTTTTCTTCCGAATGATGTGTTTTCTAGACGGCCCTGCAATTCCAGCAACGCAAGGTCCCAACAATATCCATTTGGAACCAGAGAAACCCTGAAAGTCAGAGACGGCTGAAAGGCAGAACCCGCAGGCTCAGGACGTCCCAAGAACCCTCCCCGCAACGGGCTGAGCCACCCCGAGTTCATCAGAAACATCGACTTTTCCAGTAAGATTTTTCCTCACACATGTCAGGAAAAACTGATATGCCCACTTAGTTTTTCACCTTAAAATACAAAAATAGCTCTGGAAGAAAAGCATGAGAGAAGAGCCAAGGGGAAGGACACGCATGCGGGCTCAGCACACAGACAGCGAGGGAGGGACAGGCCCAGTGGCTACTTTTAATGAAACTGCCCGCACAGGGCCTGCCCAGCCAGGCCGCCGCCCCCTGCAGGTTAGTCCTTCCGCAGGGGAACGGTCTCCTCCCGGATGCCCTCCTTGGTCACGATGCAGATCCTGAGTGCGTCCCCGGTATACACGTCCCTCTCGGCCGCAGAGGTGAAGACGTCCTTCACGAGCCGCAGGGCCCGGTCCAAGGACAGCGGGACGTGCTCCACGTTCTGCATGTTCTTAAAGCCGACCTGCAGGACAGCAGGATGGTCACTCACAGGCCCGCACACGCCCAACACGTCCCACGGCTGAGACGCCCTTGAAGGAGACGCTTGCACTCGGTGAGCCCCACACATGGCGCTGCAGAGGCCGGCCAGGAAGGGCATGGGCGGAGAGTGGAGCAGAGGCGAGGTGTGGCCACAGGCCAGGTGGCCCAGATGGGTGGCAAGCAGAGGGGACTGCACAGAACGAGCTTCAGAAGAGCCGCGCGGCCCACCTGGGAAGCAGGCTGAGGCAGGACACGCTAAGGAAGGCTGGAGCCAGGCAGTTCGGGAATGGAAAAGCGGGAGGGGACAGACAGGGGAGCGAGGTGGGGGAGCAGGAGGCCGTGGTCGCCACTTGGCTGTCAAGAGGACCCAACGCCCGGACCCGGGGTGCTGCAGACCTCAGGCCAGGAACGTGCGGGCCCCAGGAGGCTCGGGGTGGGAGCAGGGTGTGTGCAGTGCAGCAGGAGGCTGCATGGGGCAGGCCAGTGAGCCCACGCACAATGAAGCTGCCATTCCTCCTGGTACCCTTCCTGGGCCGCTGCCCAGCCCTCCCAGGCCCCACAGTTGTGCCTGTTGTAGCCCCGTACCTGGTTGTCCAGCAGAGGCTGCAGCATGGCGCTGGCAGAGCCCCCAGCCTTGAAGGAGTCTCTCTGGTAGGACCCCACGGGGTCGAAGCTATACACAGCTCCCTTCCCTGAAGAAAAAAAGTTTCCATGAGAGTCCCGCCAACCACAACCCCAAATCACAGTGGAAATCAATCCAGCCAAAGCGCAGCTCAAACGAGACAGACCATCAGCGTGGCTGAGCACTCAGCCACAGGCCCCATCCTGTCTCCAGGACTGGCCATCAGGCGCCCGCCGCGCTCCTCACATGGACGGTCTCAGGGAGGCCCAGGTGAGCAGAGACCCATTTCCCTAAGGAGCCCGTGGGGCACTCCTGTACACCGAAAGTTAAATCTTCCCAGTGCCAAGTGACGCCGCCGGCCCCAATACCCACGCGGGAGCCACGAAGGGGCCTGGAGAAACCCCAGTGTCCCTCCAGGGTCATTAGCTTTCAATCGAGAACAGGGAGATGTTGGGAGCAAGACTGATTTTCCTAGACCCTGTGGCCTGACTCTAGCAGAAACGCCAAGTGAAGGTGGCGGAAGCGCACCCATATCTCCTAAGGCTCCCGACGTCTTTAAAGACGTGACGAGACCAGTGATGCCTGCTTCTAAGTCACCGCTACTTAAACAGACTCAGGTTAAGCTTCTCCAAATCACATTTCTTTCCATTGTGCTAAAATGCTAAATATGCACCACTGAGAGGTGAAGACCTTAGGATAAAACGATGACGTCGCCACCCGCCCTACACCCACCGCAGGGGCTTGTCCCTGGACACGCACTCACCTCCCTACAGGCGTGGGAAAAGGAAGCTGTGGGACAAGTGGTGTCGATGTTCTTTCAAATACCAGATGGAAACGTACCCAGTGAGAACTGTCCCCCCCATTTTCCAGAAAGAAAGAACTCGACCTTCTTCATCCAGTCCCCCGATGATGTTGTAGACGTAGTAGGGGAAGAAGCGCCTGGAGTAGAGGATCGTGGAGAGCATGGCCGCGATGGCCCCGGTGGTCATGGCCTTGTTGTTGGAGTGCTTGTACATCTGCAACACAACAGAGGTGGCGTGGAGGGAGGGCAGGTGCAGCGGGGCGCTCTGACTCTGTCATCTACTCACTAAGCCCTTGGGAATTCTAGGCCATTGGCCTGAGTGAAAAATTCTACAACACAAGCAAATAAAATGTCACTGAGAAAGTCCCACGAGAAAGCCCCTCGTTCACACATAGCAGCGAGGTCACCTGCCCACAGGACCCTCCCGTTCCACCCTGTGCTGTTCAAGGTCAACTGTCCTCCCAGCCGTGCTCCTGGGAAGGATGCGAAGCAAACCCCGCTGGTCCCCTCAGGACCCGCCCCCGCAGCCGGCTCTTCCCCGTCCCTGCACCCAGTACCTCTTCACACGACCCCTTCCTGGCTCCCGCCCGCGCTGCCTCCTGCAATCGTCTTCCTCAGCCAGGCCTGAGCCACTGCCCCTGCCCCACCCCTTCCGACGCCTGACGGTGTGTCCCGTCTACCACGCGCCAGCACAGCAGCGCCCGGAGCCTGAGCAAACCTGCCTGTAACCTTCCCACAGCCGGGAAAGTGGCTGCCTTGCTTCTGCTGTTAAAGTATCTCCAGAAGACCCCCCCTCTGGGCCACCCCATGAGGCAGCGGACCCTCGGGCAGGGACCCAGAGGGACTGGCTCGAGCTTTCTACACGATGCTGATGCTGCGCCGATGGCACGGCTTCGCGTCGGGTAGTTCGTCTTCGCCCGCTGGCCAGGGCCCCGCCAGCTGCTCCGCTACTCACCCCCATGCTCCAGGGACGCCACGGTGAGCGTCTCTGCAGTGAGACAGCTATAAAAGCCTCTACCTTCAGTCGTGCTTCAATGATCTTCGTCAGGGTGAGACAGTCTCCGTGGAAACCGCTGCATCCGATGACCGTCCTGTCTGTCCTGCAGAGCGCACAGTGCAAACCGAGCTGGTCAGAGGCGCAAACGCGCCCAGGACAACTTTGATTTCGAACTCCTGTCCCCACTATTCACTCGATGACAGTGTGTGACTAATCCACTCCTGGGTGGGGTGGGGAGCCCCTTGCACCCCCACATCTCATTCCTTGTGCCCAATGGTTACAAGGTGATCAGAGACTGAAAGGAAAACAAAAACTTTGAATGGACTAAAGGTACCACCCAATGTCCACCTTGAAATGTTTTACAAATCTGACTACATAAAAGATTAAACCTTCCACTGAGCAAAGCACGACGAACAAAGCTGGGGAAGCCCTAGGAGATCGGCAGGCATGGCGGCCCATGTCTGACTTCAACGTCCTTCTCCACGAAGGCCCCGACAGACAGGAAGAGCCCAGCAAAAAACACAACAGGTGAGCGAGATTCTGGGACAGTCTCAGGGCAGACAGACAAGGCGTCAGGGGGACGGCAGAGCCCCAGGCCGTCAAGGTCCAAGCACAGGGGAGTGAGCATGTCGGCCCAGCCCGCAGACACGCCAGAGCTGCCGATGGGTCTCACTCCTCAAAGGGCTGCTCAGCGACATCTAGTGAAAATTTAAGGGCATGCCCCTCACCCAAGCCTTCTACTGCTGGAGCCCCGTGCTGCCAACAGGCTCACACAGGCTTGCAGGTGCACGCCCCAGGCCACTGTGCAGCTCACCGGCACGTAATGGTTCTTCTTGACAAAACAAGCAAATACAGCACCCAAATGCCCGCTGCAGAGGAACAGGTTCAACCCTGATGCAGAAACGGGTCCCCAGACCTTGGTATCGGGCTGTTAGGTACCTGGACCAAGCTCAGCTAAGCGAGCAGAGGCCACATGGCCAGCCCTGCACCACAGCCAGCCCTGTACTCAGAAACGTACAGGGCTGACTTGGCCTGGAGGCTGCCACCGTAGGCATGGCCCGCGTGTCCTGCCCCATCTCTAGAGAGAGCAGAACCAACTCAAGACCTCTACCCTCCACAGCCCCACCGCAGGATGGGGTGACAGCACGCCACAGGGCAGGAAAGGACCCGAGGCCTTAAGTCTGACCCAGGTATGTCAAAGGAAGGCCATGTACACACTCAGAAGTAAACGCGGGCTCCTGGGGGAGGGCGAGGGAGGGACGTGGGCCCGCGGTCAGCTCCAAAGGCAGGCAGCTTCAGCCGCACGCACCACTGCGAGCCATGATGGCCGGAACGCGCCCCTCGCCTGTGTACCCTCGCACCCACAGACAGGACCCAGACGAGCAGCCAGCGCGGGGCTGTGATGCGGCGTCGCATGAAATCTCTAGATTTATGTTCACGGCTGTAAAATTACAGAAGTCACACTGAGAAGGAGACAAGAGACAAAGGAGCATCATAGGACATGAAGGGGAGATGCAGACACATGCCGGGTGCCTGAGGCAAGGGCGGGCTCCTGTGCAGGAGGAAATGGGGGGTGAAGCTCGGTCCCATGGGGCCCGGCCTGGGACCAGGCTCACCCCCATTCCTGTTCCTTTCCTGGCACTGCAGGTACTGACCTCGTTTCTGTCTCCAATAACACGCAACAGAAACCACAAATATGAGGGACGCGTGCAAGTGTTTCATGCAGACGTTTTCTTTCAAAAAACCATTCTTAGTCCATTAAAACTGTGAGCTATGCATCTAAGTTGTTAGGAAACGCCTAAAGTGGACATTTCAGGTTTAAAAAAAAAAAAGGACAAAACATTTAAGGAATTAATGGAAAGACAAGAGGATGGAATGACAGGTGATAAAGCACCGCTGGTCCCTTCACTTCAGAACTAAATAACTGAACATTCTACTATTAAGGAGCCCTCCTTTAAAAAACGTTTTCTAACAAAAGATGCAAAGAAAGTTCCAAACAGCCTACAACCCCAAGAGATGAACCATACAGAAGCTGACTCAGGTTGGGAAATGTGTCATTAGAAACAGTTACTTACAATTTGTAGCATTTGGGGCTGTCCCGGGTGTGAATTGAAAACCCTTCACTCAATCGAGTGTCAGAAGCAACAATTGAAAAATCTTCTCCAGCAATTGCCAGGACAGTACTGAGGAAAAGAGAGAAAAAAAAAAAAAGGAATGAATCCTGGAAGGTAAGGACCCCTCCACCCCTGCCCGCCCGCCTGCCCCTGCGGCCTCGGGACAGTCCTGGGCTGTCAGCAGTTCACACCTAACCCTGACTCCAGGACACCACCCAGCAGACAGCAGGGACCACGTCTGCTGCGAGCTGCACTACACGCCTGTGCTCAGAACCAGGCAGAGCAGAGGAGATAAGGTGCTGGGAATGTGGAGACGCTTAGCCCACACGGCTCCTGAACAGCCCACGCTTATGGCGTCTGCCGACAAGAAAGCCGCACATGAGAGGGCTGGACTGTTCAAGGGTCAGGTGCACTGGCAAAACCCTTCCGAGTGAGCGAGGACAGGGCTCAGGCGCAGGAGGAAAGACCAGAGAGGACCCCTGGCTACAAGTCATCGGCTACAACAGTAAGTACTTCCAAAGAAACATGAAGCCTCACTAAGCCAGAGCAGGTTCTTAGGCGGTAACAGAAAAGACTGATTATCACCAACGTCATTATCCTCCTCCAATAATCTGTGCAAGGCATTGATATTACAGAACAGGCCGGGACTCCCGTGGGGGCAGTTGGGGGTGGAGGCTCTGTGCTCAGAGAAGAGCTTGGTGGTTTTTCTTTTTCTTTTTTTTAAAGATTTATTTATTTATGCATACAAGAACTGGGGTACAGACCAGAAATACGGGGGTTGAGAGGATTCACCAGAGACAAAGTGGGGAGCAGAACAGGTGGATCAACTGAAATACACTGCTGAGGGGAGCAGCAGGAGAGGCAGGAGAGATTTGCCCGCTATGTGGGTTTCTCCTTGGCCATCAGGGGATCGAGCTCCTGCTGCAGTGGCCGCGGACAGCTTCACAGGTTGCATCTTAACCCCTTGCCCTACCAGGGAGGCCCTGGCTTTTCTTTTCTTTATACCCAACCCTTACACAATGTCTAGTGCTCAGCAGACACCCAAATAGCTCCCTGGTGGCCAAGGGGTTAAGCACCGCACTGTGAAGCAATCGCAGCCTCCCAGCAGAGTTCAATCCCCCGCCACCCCAGGAGCAACCCACATGGCGCGGCAGACCTGTCCTGTCTCCCCGCTGCTCCCCTCAGCAGTGTATTTCAGTCAATCTGCCTGTTCTGTTCCCTGCTCTGTCTCTGGTGAATCCTCTCATCCTCCCGCACCTCTGGCCTGTACCCCAGCTCTTCTGTGCATAAACTAAATCTTAAAAAAAAAAAAAAAAACGAAAACCGCAGGTAAGTGGAATATTGTACTTTAAAACAAAGCTGGTAACAAAAAAACTTGACTGTAAAATGCAAGAGCGTACCTGTCAAAAAGCTCCCCTTGAGTTATATGCCTAAATTTAAGCTAGAAAAATAAAAAGCACTGGTCGATCTTTGAAACTACGTCTGCCAAGTAATTTAAAAATAACAGGAAATCAAGTCCTCCGACCAGGCGTTTGCGCTGCAGACACAGGCACCTCTAGCCGCGCCCGCCTCTCCAAGGCCTCTGCCCGGCTTCCCGGAGGAGCAGACCGAGAGTCAGGCGCGTTTTTCTAGCTCTGCCGCGTTCCGGTTTCTCTCCGCGGTCGTCCCGGGGCCCAAATGCCGGCTCCGGGAAGCCCCCAAGACCAGGGTGACCAGAGGAGGGGCGGGTGGACGCGGCAGCGCGGCCCCGCGGACTTACCCTCCGTTGAAGGCGTAGGGGGAAAAGCGCATCTGCAGCGGCCCCGCGGCGCAGCGCGGCTCCATGGCCAGGCAGCTGCCGGGGCCCGCGGTCGGGGCGACGGACGAGAGCATCGCGCTGCCTGCTGTCTCACGGCGAGATGGCGGCCGGCGGAAGCGCGTCACTTCCGGCCCCGCGGCGCGGCCGCTCTGGCCCGCGCGTCGATGGGCGTGGAGGTCCGCGCGGCGGGCGGGGCGGGGCGGGGGGCGGAGACGCGGCGGGCTGCGGGCTCGGCTCCCGAGGGTCGCGCCCCCTCCTGACCGGCAGGAGACTCAGCGTCTGGCCGCCCGGCAGCGGCGCAACTGGGGAGCAGCGGGCGGAGGCGGCCGCTCGACGGCGGGAAGGGAGCCCGCCGGCCGCGCCCCGGCCCCGGCGCCGCGTCGCGCGGGAAACGCGTCCGACTCGGGCGCCCGGACGGGTCCCGCCCGGCCCGGGGGGCGGCGCGCGGGCGACCCCGAGCGGCTGGGGAAGGACGCTCGCCCGCGGGTCGCCGCGGAGGACGCGGGCGGGGGAAGCGCTGGCCGGGCGGCCCGGGCCCCGCGGGGCGTGGGCGCGGCTCGGGCGAGGGCTGGGGGCCCGACGCCCGCCTCCGCGCGCACCGTTCTCCCGTCGGAGAGACGCGCGCCCCGGGCCGACGGCGGCGGGAGGCCGGGCCGCGCGTCAGAGGCCGCACAGCGGCCGTTTAAAAGAGCCGCGTTTAAAAATCACTGTCTCGAGGACCTGCGCGGCGGCCAATCAGAGGCCGCGCTGCCGCGGTGGCCCCGCCCCGGAGCTGCGGCAGCGCTCTGCCCCGCCCCTCGTTTCTGCTCCCTCAGTACCCGAGGAAGCACAGGAAGTGACGCAGAGCCCACAGTTCCCATGGCCGCCGCTCCAGCTTGGGGAGCTCGTTGAAGCCAAGGGCGGAATTGGCGGAAGTGACATTATCAACGCGCGCGGGGAGTCAGTAGGGCCGGGAAGGTGGCCGTGCGGGCGCTCGGCTGCCTGCGGCCGACTCGGTTCTCTCAGGCGCCGTCGCTGCGGTGACTCCAGGTAACAGCCTTCGGGTCTTCCTCTCCTCTGCGGACATGGGCAGCGGCGACTGCGCTCGCGAGACTCTGGACGATGGCGCGAGGGGGCGCGCAGGCCGCGCGGGGACCCGGTACCGGCCGCTACCGGCCGGCTCCCGCCCGGCGACCGCTCGGCTGCGGCCCGCTCGCGGCTTCGCGGAGTCGGGCGTGGGGCGGGGCGGGGCGGGCGGCGGGCGCCGCGGCCGGTCGCTCTCCCGGGGCGGGCCCGCCCGGCCCGCGCCGGCCGTTTGGTCCGGTGACACAGTTGCGCGCCGCCTTTGTGACGACCGGCCCGCGGCCCGGCGGACCCGGAGGCTGTCGGGCGCGGACTCCAGGTGGGCGTCTGGAGGCGCCGAGGCTTGTGTTGGCGGAGCCCGGAGGCCTGGGCGGCGCTCGGACCCCCCTTCCTGGACAATGGCCGTCTTCGCGAAAGGCCGCGTCTCGGGCTTCAGCTTCCAAAAGAGGAGCCGTTGCGCGGACGGCTCCGCCGCCTCTGCGGGAGCTCGTGCGGGGAGTGCGGCTCGCCGCCGCGGGCCGGGGGAGAAGGTCCCCGGGTCCCTGGGCGGAGAGATGCCCCGAGAGCTCCTCAGAGTCGCCGGCTGACTTTGGTTGCCGAACCCCCTTTCTGGGGTTGAAACCCACCCTCGCGAGCCCCGGCCTCGAGCCTAGCAGTGCCTGCCTCGAACCAAGCGTCCGCTGCCAGTTGAGCCCTGGAGTCGGCCGCACTCCTGGCAACGTACACCTCACCCTGCACTGCAGAACCGTGTCCTGGCCGTGCGGCCCGAGAGGCCCGATGCGTGGCTTCTGCTTGCTGTCGCATCCCTGCAGGGACCCTCGCACAGCCCTGCTACCCAGGCTTCTCTCGGGCTTAGCCTCTTGGTTGATCTTATACTTGCCCATTTCGTTGATCTCTGCTCACTCAGCTACCTCCAAGTGAGCCGGTCCCTGCTTTGTCAACACTCCTTTGGAGCCCTTGGCAAGTTAGTTTTTAGTGGCTTTTCTTCTGTAGCATGTGTGCATTCAGGCGTGGCCACATGCTCTGTGCCAGGAACTGTGGAGGACGGGCAGACACCCTGCTGCTTTCTGCACCCAGGGGAGTTAGCTGGTGTGTCCCTGCCACCGATGACACTGATGCCGAGGACTGTGTCCTCTTTTACATTGGCAGCACTTCTGTCGTTATTAAGAACGCCTTCTGAAAAGTACAGTTTTCTTATATATCTGATACTTGTTTTCTGAAGTAGTGTTCTTTTATTTCTTTTTGGTCTGTTCTGCGGTAAGTCTGTAGGATGTATAGTCTTTGGGGTCCTTTGTCCTCTCAAAGCAATGGTCAGATTCTTTTTTTCATTCAGCAAATATCTCAGTGTTTCAAGCATAGGTGTGGCTTTGACATGTAACTTGTAACTTGATACCTGTAAGTTCCCTATGAGACTATCTTTTTAAATGATAATGACAATGTTAAAACTGAAACGCTATAACAGCTAGCATTTATGCTATGCTTACCAGTGGTATCCTGGCGTTGGTCTTGATTTTCAGTCAGTCAGTCCTGTGTTGATTCAGTAAGTTCTCACAGCAGCCTGAACAAGTTGGGCATCCGTCTGAAGTAAACTGGACCCAACATCTGCAATTGTTTGCTGCTTTTGTCTAACAGTCATTCCAGACGTTTAGCCAATAAAGAGATGGTGATATGAGTAGAGCCAGATACAGGTAGAGTTTGTATTTCTATGTTCCTGAGGTGGTAATGTTATTACGTATGTAGAAACATGGTGTTTTGTTTACTTTTGTGTCTCTATTGCTTCTATCACAATGTTAAGTTAGTGGCTCAATAAGTGATCACACTAATACATATTGGATTTGATTCAATATTTATTGAATTTAATGCCTAAGGCATAGATTGTAGATAATGTAAACTTGAACAGAATCTTTAAAAACCTGAATTTGGCCCACCTATACTTCGTATACAGTACTTAATAAGTATTCCTGTTCAGATAAGACAGTTTGCTTAGGAATTCATTTTCTCTAGGTGTTTTGCCTCCCCCCCCAATTTTTTTTTTAAAGATTTATTTTGTTTATACAAGAACTGGGGTACAGACCAGATGCACCGGAGGGTGAGAGGATTCACCAGAGACAGAGCGGGGAACAGAACTGGCAGACTGATGAAAAACACTGCTGAGGGGAGCAGCAGGCGAAGCAGGAGAGGTCTGCTCGCCATGTGGGTTGCTCCGAGGCGGGCGGGGAGCAAACTGGCACTGCAGAGGCCGTGGACAGCTCCACAGAGCTACGCTCAACCTCCTGAGCCACCAGGGAGGCCCTGCCCCCCAAAATTTTTAATGTTGATTATGACACCTTTATTGTGAACATTATGAGAATATTTAAATCAAGCATGTAACAGAACAATTTTTGTTCCTTTGGCAATTTTGCATGCAATCACAGGACGTGGAAGGAGTAAGATTTCACCATTGTAAGGTAAAAAGAAATATGTTCCAAATGGCTTCACTGGGGTCTATTGCCTGGGGGCGGGACGCGGTGGAATGGGATGTGCTGTTTTGTTTTGCATGTAACCATGAAACTGGCCTGTGAGACTGCAGCTTACCTGTATTCTTACATTAAGCTTCAGACTTTTTCCATGAGCATCATACTTTCATGGTGTGTGTGAAGATAACCCAGAGCGTTGAGGAAGTTGCCGAGGAGAGTGTGCTGGAGATGCTCTAGGAAAAGCTGAGCGCCGAGAGCTCCACTGCAGAGAGTTGTGACTTACCAAGAAGAAAGTGAGCGCCATGGATCAGAACAACAGCCTGCCACCGTACGCTCAGGGCCTGGCCTCCCCTCAGGTAACACAGCTGGAGGATGGAATCTGCATTGTTGGGTAACAGTGTATAGGGGAAGAAAGGAGTTTGACCATCTATTCTTGATAGTGGATTTATGTTTTCCTAGGCTTCCCTTATTTTGTTGAGAACTTCTGTTAGGCTTTGGTAGACATATAGTGTTTTATTTGGGGGGATTAATGGAAGTTAAACTATGTGTCTGTCTATTAAAACATCATCTTTTTTTTTTTTTTTTTTTTTTTTTAAAGATTTATTTATTTATTTATACAAGCACTGGGTATAGTCAGAAGCATGGGAGGGTGAGAGAATTCACCAGAGCAGGGAGCAGAGCAGGCAGAAGGACCCAAGTACACTGCTGAGGGGAGCAGCGGGCGGCAGGAGAGGTCTGCGCGACATGTGGGACCCTCCTCTGGTGGCCGGGGAGCAGCCTGGGATTGAACCGGCGCTGCAGAGCCTGCGGGCAGCTTCGCAACCCAGCGCTCTACCGCTGCGCCACCAGGGAGGCCCTAAAACATCATCTTTTGATTAACACTTATGAAACTCTCCCAAGTGATGATAGGATATTTGATTATGAAGGTAACTCTCCCCAAATTGTTTTCTACTTTAATCTTTCCTTTTTATATTTAAGGTTCCAAATTACATATTTACTTTTTTTTAAAGATTTATTTATTTATGCATACAAGAACTGGGGTACAGGCCAGAGGTGCAGAGAGTGAGAGGATTCACCAGAGACAGAGTGGGGAGCAGAACAGGCAGACTGACTGAAATACACTGCTGTGGGGAGCAGCAGGCGAGACAGGAGAGGTCTGCGGTGCCATGTGGGTAGCTCCCTGGCTGGCGGGGGTTGGAACTTGTGCTGCAGAGGGTACGGACAGGTTCACAGTGCTGTGCTTAACCCCTTGCACCACCAGGGAGGCCCTACATACCTAATTCTAAAAAAATGAAAATAATCTCTGTTGGGGTATAACCTATGTACAGTAAAAGTACCGCTGTAAGTGCGTTTTCAGAGGTGTATGCACTTGTGTCAGTGGTGGAACATTTCAGTTACCTAGAAAATTCCATCTTGCCCCTTGCAGTCCTGCCCCTAGTCCCAAGCACCTGCTGATCTGCTTTCCAGCGCTAAAGAGAATTTTGCCTCATCTAGTGTGTTATACAATCAGTCATCCACTACGTGCTCTTTTTGTGTTTCTTCTCTTTGCCAAACATGTTTGTAAGTTCCTTTTGCTGCCAATGAGTTCTTCCTCATTCAGCTGCTCCACAGTCTAACACAGTCAGACTGTTGCTGACATTAGGCTTGTTTCTACCTTGGAACTCTTATGCATGAGAGTGCTGTAGATATTAGGGTTTGGGCTCTGTGTGAACAGCTTTTATTTTTCCAATTTTTAGGAGTGGGATTGCTGGGTCATATGGTGAGCGTAGGTCTGACTTTACAAAAACGACAGACTGTATTCTCGAGTTCCATAGCAACGTGAGAGTTCTCATTACTCCCGACCTGCACCGGCACTTGGGGTTTCCGTCTTTACTTTTAACCGTTCTGGTGGTTGCACAGTAATGCTTTGTGGTTTTAATTTGCAGTACTTATTGGCCATGCATTATTCATTTGTCAAATGTCCTTGTCATCATCTGTCCATCTATTAATTGGTTTATTTGTTCATCTTTTATTGAATTGTAACCCTTTATGTATTCTGGACATGAGTCTTTTCTTAGATGTTTATATTGTAGATGTTTTCTCCCAGTTTTCTGGCTTACTTTTTAATTTTCTTTTTCTTTTTCTTTTTTTTTTTTAAGATTTATTTATTTATTTATACAAGCACTGGGTACAGTCAGAAGCGTGGGAGGGTGAGAGAATTTACCAGAGCCGGAGCGGAGAGAACAGGCAGACTTGACGAAGGACACTGCTGAGGGGAGCAGTGGGCGGCAGGAGAGGTCTGCGGCCATGTGGGACCCTCTCCCGGTGGCCGGGACTTGAACTGGTGCTGCAGAGGCTGCGGGCAGCTTCGCAACCCGGCGTTCAACCACTGTGCCACCGGGGAGGCCCCACTTTTTAATTTTCTTAATGGTGTCTTTCAAGTAGTAGAAGTTTTTTTTTTTTTTTGAAATCGTTTTGTAAGTTTTTCCCGTGGTTAATATTTTTGTGTCCTGTGTAATCTTTGCCTTCCAGTGTGTTTGGGATTTCCTCCTTGTGGTTTTAGTTTTTACGTGGATGCCTGTGATCCATTTTGAGTTCATCTTTATGTATAACATAAAAGAAGACATTGCAAAACTGTTGTCTTAGTCTTTTAAGTTAATGTAACCTGAATTTTTTTCTAACCAGAATTTTTGTAGAAATAAGTGATAGATGCAGTAGAAAACTGGTGCTGTAGGACTTTAGTGTGTGTACCAATTTAACATAAATATCTTAGACATTTTAGTTTATGTTTTCTGCCAGATAAAGTGATAGAAGTGGGAAAGATTGTTTTGGGGTGGGGGGGCAGGTCTTGCACAAAGTTGAGGACTACAGAAAATTATCCTTCCACCCAGAAATGGTGGTTTTGAGAGGTTTACAGAGGCATCACAAGCTCTGCTGACTCTGTAGGCTCCTTGGTCGTGGTGTCAGGGGAAGATTGGACTGGGTCTCAGGGAAGCTTGGTTGTGATCATGGTTCATCTACTAATAAGATCTGTGGGCTTGTTCTAGTCATTAACTCCTGCTAATATCAGTTTTCCTATCTTCGCTGTGGCAAGAATAGCATCTGTTTTCCCTTTTCCAAGGGCTGCTGTGAACAATATCTGGGAAAGATTAGAAACATGGGAAGGTAAACTGATGCTGTTCTGATAGATGCATTGGGCTTGTTGATTTAAATTCCTGATGGACCTTTGTGAATAGTATTTCATAACTGTCATGATCATTGCTAGCACTTCAGTGCTTTCTGTGTGCCCATCATCCTGCTGAGTGCTTTAAGTGGGTATCTCTAGCATGACCATCCAAATTGGGACAGAGGTTTTGAGGGTGAAATGGGGCGCTACCCAGACATTAAGCTAGGGTAGTAGTTTCAGCTGGGTGCGCTGACTCTGTTGTCTCCTTTATTCTTTCTAACAACCCTAGAGTATTATTATCATACAGATAAGCCTGAAGGATTAAGCAACTTTCTCAAGCTCACATATGTAATAAGGGTCTAACACCAGCAACTTTCTCAAGCTCACATATGGGTCTAACACCAGCCCTAAGCTCTTAAACCTCCTGTGTCACAGTGAAGGAGAAGGTGATCTGCACAAGCAGGTGCATCCCTGGTGATGCCCAGTAACCCATTTGTACCTGGAAGGTACCTGTCTTTGCATATCACACCCGTGTGTCACACACCTGCGACGCACACACACTCACCTCCAGCCAGTCTAACACTGTCCCCCTGGCTTTCCACAGGGCGCCATGACTCCTGGAATCCCTATCTTTAGTCCAATGATGCCTTATGGCACGGGACTGACTCCTCAGCCTATTCAGAACACCAACAGTCTGTCCATTTTGGAGGAGCAGCAAAGACAGCAGCAGCAGCAGCAGCAACAACAGCAGCAGCAGCAGCAGCAGCAGACAGTGACGGCGGTTCAGCAGGCAACAGCCCAGCAGGCGACACAGGGGCCGTCGGGCCAGACGCCACAGCTCTTCCACTCACAGACTCTTACCACTGCCCCCTTGCCAGGCACCACTCCCCTGTACCCCTCTCCCATGACCCCCATGACCCCTATCACCCCTGCCACACCAGCCTCGGAGAGCTCTGGGATCGTGCCACAGCTGCAGTGAGTACTCTGCGTCCTGTGCTCGCCCTTGGGCCCTGGGCCTGTGATGCTGTCCTCTATGTCTGGATAGATGGTTCATTTATGGGAGCAGCACAAATGGTGCTTGTGTATCAAAGTTTGCTTTCTCATTTGCGAAAGGGAAGCAGAGCTGTCTTACTGAGCCTGTGCCCGCAGTAAAACTCTCATAACACCTTCAGAAATTTGGAAGCGTGTATGCATGCACTTGAGCCAGTGAAATCCAGTAGATTTCATTGTCATTAAGGACATTTCCCTGTAAGGACATGTCCCTTGATTTGCTACGTCAAGCCTTACATAGTTGGGAAGATTGTTCAGTCACAGAATCCGTGCAGTTCGTTTGTGGTCTTTGTCTTTCCTCATTGGTTATTATGAAGGATGCATGTAAATCTTTAAAGCACTGTGTTTATCTCATAAGCTCAGGATGGCTGTGCTTGCCCTGAATGGACTTTTCTAGCTAAATGAAGTGAATTCTCTAAGTAATAAGTTGGAGGGGGGCAGGAAAAATTTCTCCTTTAAACACATAAAAAAATATTATCTCTGTCAAGGAGAAATATATAGCTTTTGCTTTTAGGTTAACACTCACTTGAAGGCTTATTTGTAATGGTTCCACTGCCACTTTCCCTGTAAGCTATCTCTGATCATTTCTAGAACTAAGTAATGTGTATCCACAGGTCCTGAATGCTCCCCCAAGACCTTCGTCTTGCTTTGGGTGTTTGTTTGATCTGACACAAATTTAGAAACAAAATAATTTAATGTTAATGGTTTTAGAGAGATTGCACTTGTTAGTTCACCTTTACCAGGACCATTCCCCACTGTCTTCTACCCTTGCCTGGCTTCTCTGGGCATTTAAGGTTATCCCTCTGGTTTAAATCTCTTATAACCGGTCCAGGTAGCTGTTTGTCTCTCGCCAGCACCTATAGTCCTGTTACTCCGTGAAGATGTCAGTCAGCAGTCACTCATTTTCCACTGTCAGTTACTGAGAGCCCTGCTGGGTGAGAAGTCAGTGGCCTCAAAATCTTACAGGCTTATGAAGAACTAAGGTAAATAAGAAAAATACATTAAATAAATTTAAAGAGGATTCTGGGAAGATGGCAGAGTAGGAAGCACCGGAAGTCTATCTCCCCTGACAGCAATTGCTCTGTGAAGTCTCTCTGATGTAACTATTCTGGAACTGGAGTCTGCTGAAAACTTGTAACTACCAGAGGAAAGGCTTGAATGGTAAATAGCTGTCCATCTTAGTCCATGTCAGCTCTTAGCACAGCAGTGGTGGCCCAGCTCCCAACCATGGCAGTCAGCTGTGCCTGTCTTCCTGGAGTAGCCGCCACACGGATTGTGGAAGCCAGGGGGTGAGGGAGGACCCTGTCCTCCAAGTATCAGGATCTCTGCTCTGGTCACAGATTGCTGCTTCTCGTCACAAGAGCAGACGCAGAGGAAGGCGGCCATTATTGAAAGCCCCTTTGGCTGAAATGACTTTCCAAGAATTTAAAAAGTTGGTGCCCTGTTTTTTCCCCTGCCCCCTCCTTTTTTCTTTTTCCCCTTTTGGGAGCCAGACATTAAAGACATTCAAAACAAGTACATATATGAGGGAAAAGTATCAGTGGAAATGACTGAAAGATAAGAGAAGTTGAATTCACACCTGAATTGCCATGTTAGTCCATGGGACAGAGATAGCCTACAACCACTGAAACAAACCAACAAAAACCTTAGAGAAGGGGGAGAATCTGATTTCTGGAGGTAGAGCATTATTAGATTCAAATGTCCAATGGCCAAAAAAAATACAAGGTGTACAGGAAAACAGAATAAAGATTTGCATTTGCTGCATGTAAATTTTCATTAAGTTGTTTTTCACTATGTGTTCTTTCTTCTGTAAGTTCATAAAGTGGTATCAGAATACTGAAAAATGAAAAGACCATCTGAGCAGATACTAAATTAAAAATGTCTTTTTCTTGATTTATTAAGGATTAATTGGAAGAAAAGCAGGTTTCCTTTGTCAAAGATACTGCATTCTTGTTCTTTTAAAACATACTTATTTTGAGAGAACCGAGAAAGTCATGCCTGCCTGTTCTCTTGATAGTGCCTTGGGGTCTGGTGCTCTCAGCTCTTTGAGCCAGTGCACATGAGAGGCTAAGGCTCTGGAGAGAGACAAGCCCAAGCCCTGACTTCCCCATGCAGGCGCCAAATGTACCCCGAGCAAACCCCCCCCCACCCCCCACCCCCTGTTGAAGCCTCAGCTTCATCTGAAAACAGGGTAATGGTGCTATCACTTCCTAGTATATTGTGGCTATCAAGTCAGCTGTCTGTATAATGTTCATTGTGGCATGTGCTACTTATTAATAAAAGTCAGCATTTTTTCCTCTAATTTAAAAATTAGTTTGTTAAACTTAGTTCTAATGAAAGGGTCACATTTCTAGGTAAGCATCTAACACCTCATCCTGTAAAAGTTAAGTCAATAATCATGTTTTCTTTTTATATTTCTTGCAGAAATATTGTATCCACGGTGAACCTTGGTTGTAAACTTGACCTAAAGACCATTGCGCTTCGAGCCCGAAATGCTGAATATAACCCCAAGGTCAGAACAGCTTTAATGTCTTTGCCATATATAATTACAGTCCCCGTATCAGGAAGTTTTGTGTCCTGTTTGTTTGTTGATACCAACAAAATGAGGATTTAAAGCTAAATGTGTATCATTTCTGACTGACTACCACCTAAAGAATCTAGGAACTCAGCCATCTCTAAGATAAACTACATTTTTGGAGACCATGTAAAGCCAGAGAACAGAATATATAGTGTTTTGAAAACTACGTGAAATAGAATGACATACTGCCCGGACTCTACCTCAGAATCATCCAGTGGGAGACCTGGGAAAGGAGCGTATGGATCAGACAGTTGTCCAGGAGCGTATCAGTGCAGGGAAGTTTATTGTCGTCTTCTACCTTGTATAACTTAAATTTTTCTTTATGTAAAAAGATCGGAGAGTGGGAATGAAACTGTTTTGGGTTTGAGTAGCAGCTTGAGTACACGTTAAGAGTTTATCCCTGCAGGAGTGGGAAAGGAACTTTTTTTTCAGGGTAGTAAAACGTTACCTTCAAAGAGGAGTAGACATTCGGAGAGGCCCACTGAGAAACGGGCCCCTGCGCGCAGATGTCAGGTTGGGGCGCTCCAGGCCGGACCCTGGAAAGACAGAGTGACTCAGTAATCAGACACAGGCCGTTGCTTATGGCAACTTCCCTGCGCACCATGAAGCCAGCAGCACATTGGCTTCCTCTCATCAAAGGAAAGTCGGTGTAGGGTAAGGAAAGGAAAGGAAAGGAAAGGCAGGAACCGTGGGAATGGCTGAATTCCCTGCCAGCGGCCTTTGTTTGGGGATGTCCCTGTGAGCCCTTGTGGAGGGGCTGTTCTCTGGGTAATGTCTTGGAGTCTGGTGCTCTCAGCTCACTTCCTGTACCTCTCCCAGTGCCGCCTCAGGTCAGCCGGGCCCGTTGGCCTCTGAGGGCGTCGCTCTTCTCTCATGTCCTGGGTGGGTGGCCCGGGTTAGGGCAGAGCAGCACCTCAGCGCTTGGTGTTAGCAAGGAGGGGGACAGTGAGGATCCGCTGAATCTCATAAGAAACACAAGCTCACTTGACACCCAGTTTCTTAGTTTGCTTAAGCCTCACTAGGGGAATCAACTCTCAGAGTCAGCTTGGCCAGTTTTAGGAACCGACTTTTTTCAGTTGATTGTTCTGCCCACCCTCCTCCCTTTAAACTATTTATCCATGTGTTTAAAAATGTCTAAGCAATTGTACAGGTGCTGGGTAACTGGCCAAAAAGGAGCTGAGAACAGCTTTATTATCTGGACTTTATTTAACCAGTGAATGGATGGAAGTTTGCTGGATGAGCGGTTTCATTTGTTTTTTTTGAGGCACAGCCCAGGTCACATGAGTTAGTCCAGGCATTAGCCAGGGTGGGAGTCAATCTAAAGAGACAACCAGACGCTTGCGCCTCTTATAATCCACGTGTATGTCAGGGTCTTAGTCAGATGTGTCACTGAGGTTTCTGTGTCAAACACTGGGGGAGTCAGACAGCCGGTTTGCCGTGGAGTAAGCACAGAGGACTAGTGTGGGCGAGAAGGGGCAGCGGGTGTTCAAGCTAGGTCTGATTAGAAGTCTTGGAAATCTCAGCTCTGGAGGCCTTGCAGGCAGAACCCGCTCCAGCAGATTCTGGTACAGCCTGTGGGGTCCGGAGTTGCGGCCTAGCCCTAACCCTAACCCTTCCTTGCAGGGGGATCAAGGCGAGTGTGTCTCCAGGGCGGTCCACTGGCCCCCGGGACACCAGAGAACTGTGCTCACGTGCTCCTTTGAGTTTAGAAGAAGAATCTAAGGAAGAAAAAGATTAGTCAGAACTATTGTTTTTTTTTTCTTATCATTTAAAGCAATTTACCTTTGACTTTAAAAAATACATCAGCACATTAAATATGAAAATGTGTATCTTTGTTAAATTTAATACATCAGCACATTAAATATGAAAATGTGTATCTTTGTTAAATTTATGATGATAAACTGTAGCAAATCCTTAATAAGGAAATAACTAATATAATCATATTAACAATTACACTTGGTATGTTGGCTCCACTAATTCTGCTACCTACAATCCAGACATAAGGAGAAATAGAAAGTCAGTCTCAGGAAGTGCCGCGCTGGCTGTCCATCAGGTGGACGGGCCGCTGGTGGTGGCTGTCTTGAATTGGAGCAATGAAAATGTATATCGAAATCATCCTTTCATTGATTAAGTGGATGGTCACTACATGGCATGCAAAAATGAGAACCAATGGTAAATGGAAACTATTTAATAACTGGTGTTTTTATCTTAGGACATTATCTAAGCATTAAAAAACATGTATGATTGTCTAAGATTTTAGGTAAGGTCTAGAAGTCACCCTTTAACAGTCTGAATGATGCATAGCTTTGCAATTAGTCTTTGATCTATCATAACTTAATTGCACGGTTTTGTAGTCTTTAATGAAATATTCATTATTTGACACTGGTAGGACCAGCAGAGGGAATTTAGGAGCACAAAATAATTGGGCTTTTCCTGAGACTTGTGTAAAATCAGAGCAAACACACAGAACAAATTTTAAATTCTTAAAGCAATCTAGTTTGTCAGTGAGTCATCTCAGTTAGAAATATTGTTTGAATTTTTCTTAGGTAATTAAAATCCGATATTAAAATTATTTTGAAAGTAATATTTGGCTTTTTATCATGCTATCTAGTAACTGAGGTCATTAATTCAACCTACAGTCTAAATCCTTTTCACTTGAGTTACAATTTTAGCAAGAAAAGCATGTTTAAAGCATAATCAGTAGAAATTAAAAAAAAAAACTTTTCTTTACATTTATATAAGTGATCATAAAATAATACTTTCTAAAAGCCGGTTGGAAGCAGGAGCTTACTTTACTGTGTACTGATCAGCTTGTGATCGAATTTATTGATTCCTTTTTATTAGTTTATTTGTCCCCCAAATCATTAATAAGACAAAATTTTTAGTTATAGCGCGCATCACGTTAAGCAGCACAGCATGCCCGAGCTAGGAAGGGCGATGCTGGCGCTGCGTGAGGCTGTAGCTGCGAGGCATCTAGCAGACACACCGGGTTCGCCGCACGCACACATCAGCCCCGGCACTCAGTCTGCGCCTGCTGCGTGGCGGGAGGGCCCTGCGGGTGGGACCGGGCTTCGGTAGCCCTGCGAGCCACGCCCTTAGCTGTGAGCTCTTGGGCGGCTGCTCGTCCTCTGGACCGGAGTGGGCCGGCCGCGCGGCCTGGTTAACGCTGCCTCTCCTTTCAGCGGTTTGCTGCTGTGATCATGAGAATCAGGGAGCCGCGCACCACGGCGCTCATCTTCAGCTCGGGGAAGATGGTGTGCACCGGCGCCAAGAGGTGGGTTGCGGGAGTTCAGCCCCTGGCCTGTGAGCTCCCAGAGGAGGTGCGTCTCGCGGTCTCAGGGACTAGTCTAGCGCTTGAATAACATGGTGTGTGGTCGCTGCGGCCACCAGTGCTTGGTTACATTTTCTTAAAACCAGGTGAGTCTGGACATACCTACCACGTTTTTTCCATACAGTTCAGTTGCATTTTCTGTGCACTTGATTATATGTGACGTCAAGACTTACTGAGCATTCCTTTATGTAAACAAATTATTATGTAAACAAATCGAATTTATAACACAGATTCATCCCCGAGGTAAATAAAAGATTGTTCAGGAATCAAGTGTCAGTGGGTGCTGGCATGGCACACCTGGCATGGGACGTTCCAGTGTGCATGGACACGGATGCCACCACCCTGCAAGACAGTAGCTGTGGCCAAGTGCCCCTCTGCCAGGCTGTCTGGCTTCATTAGACCCAAGTAAATGAGCTAAACTCCCACTTGGGTATGTGTGCGTAGAGGCAGGGCTATGGGTGCTGTTGCTTATTCTGAGCTTTTTCTTTTCATTTACTTATGTTTTTCATGATTATTTTTCTGTTGAAGAGCTGGGGTGTAGGCCAGAGGTACAGGGTGGGGTGTGTGTGTGTGTGTGTGTGTGTGAGAGGACTCCCCAGAGACAGAGTGGGGAACAGAACAGGCGGATCTGCTGAGGGGAGCACCATGGAGCCAGGAGAGGTCTGTTGTGCCGTTTGGGTAGCTCCCTAGCCGGGGATGGACTCAGGCTGTGGTGGTGACAGCCTAAGACTGACCCCCGAGCCACAGGGAGGCCCTCTTTTTATTAAAGACAGTTCTCAAGGTATTTTTTAATTTCTGCTTTGATTTCCTCTTTCATCCAATTGTTATTAAGCAGCATGTGGATGAGCCTCCATGTGTCCATATCTATCCTTATAGTCAGTGTCTCGTTTTATTGGCACAGAGGTGGTTCTGGGTGTTGTTTCAGTCTTTGTGGCTTTATCAACTTGGGTCCTAAGATCAGATCTGTTCTTGAAGGTGCTCCGTGTGCACTTGAGAAGCGTGTGTGGCAGTGTTGGGGGGAATGTTGGCACCTATGGGCCCCCTTGTAGAGCGTCGTTTCCATACGTATGTCCTGTTTCAGTCTGTCCACTGTTGTGAGAGGGCTACTAAGGGCCCCTGGTCTCGCTGTGGTGTTACCACCTCTTTAAATTCTGTTACTGTCTTCTGTTTCTCCGTGATCTGGTGCAGACATATTTATGGGTGTTCTTTCTTCTCGCTGACACGATGTCCTCTCTCGCCGCCTCTCTTCAGGCTGTTGTTTGGATGTAAGTATAGCTGTTCCTGACTCGTTTGCTGCCATTTGCTCGCCTTCCAGCCCATAACTCTTAAGTCCGTGCTTGTTTCTGTTGGTGAGTTTCTTGTAAACAGCAGAAGGTTGGATTTTGTTTTGAAATCCATTCACCACTCAGCCACTCTACACCTTTTCATTGCAAAGTTCAGGCCATTTACAGTTTAGGTGGTTATTGAGACATAAATACTCATTGTCCATTTTGTCATGTATTTTTTGAGGGCTTCCTGTCATGTTCCAGTTCCATTGTCTTCCATGTTACCTCTGTGGTTTTTTGTTTGAGGTTCGACTGAGGTTAGTACATGAGGGCTATTGAGCGACCCATTGGGCAGGCTGGTCTCGGGCTGGTTCTGACGGGCCTTGCGCTCACTCCCCACCTCCTCCTCCTCCACGTTGAGTGATTTAGGTGTCTTTGGCCTTGATACCCATTTTCTCATTTTATGATAATCCCTTTGGGATTTCTTTCACGTGCCGCTTGGTGTTAAGTTCCTTTAGTTTTTCTTTTTCTGTAGAACTCCTTTCTCTTCTGTCTTGTTAATCCTACTGGCTAAAGGATTCTGGGATGGAAGGCTTTTCCTTTAAGTACCTGGGATAGCTCTTTCCAGTCCCTTCATGCTTGTCCTATTTCTGTTCCGCTTCTGCGCGCAGTCTGACGAGGGTTTCCTTACAGGTGCCCCTTTCTTTTCTTGGTGTTCGTGGCATCTTGCCCTGTCATCGGTTCCCCAGAGCTTTGCTACTGTGTGTCTCCTTGTGTGCCTGTCTGGATTTATTTTGCTTGGGACTCTCTGGGCCTCACTCGGATCACAACTTCTGGCTCATTTCCCAGATTGAGATGGTTTTCAGTGATTCGTTTTGTTGTTGTTGTTGTTGTTTTTAAAGATTTACCTAGGGCCTCCCCTGGTGGCGTAGGCAGTTGAGCGTCGCACTGTGAAGCTGTCCACAGCCTCTGCAGCGCCAGTTCGATCCCAGCCAGCGAGGGTCCCACATGGCGCGGCAGACCTCTCCTGCCTGAGTTGTCCTAGGGAGCTCTTACGCTGTTTTTGCCTTTTAAATTACTGTTACTCTTTTTTCTCTACCTGGTTCATTGTTGTGTTCTCCTGCATTGTTTTCTCAGTCTAGTTAATTCACTCCATGTCTGCTGTGGAGGCCCTCAATCTATTTTTTAAATCAGCCAGAGTCTCTCTTAGCTCTATTATTTCTTTTTGCAACTGCCTCATATTTTCCTTCTCTCTGTTTTGTTGTTGCTTGATGCCCACTGTGTTTCACGCGTCCGTTGCTGTTGCCGGGCTGCTGCCCGGGTCCCTCGGCTCTGGCATTGTGTCCTCCTGTCTCCTCATTTTCAGTTTGTTAACGGATTTCATTCTTTTTCCTTTTGTGCTCTCCCAATGAAGCTCTTTCCAAAACAAGACCCTCGGGTCAAGTATGTCTGTGGGCTTGGTCCGCTGCACCTTTCTTCCTCCACCAACATTAAACCCCGAGGTGAGACGAGAGGGAGCAGGACGGCCCTCCGTGGCGTGAGCCCTTTGCTCATTTCGGAGGCCAGTGTGGAAGAGGACACACAAGAACTTTTTCTTGGAACTGGGTTTTGATGAGAGGTGCCTGCAGTAGGTAAAAAGAGGGAGGTCAGTGGCCTCCAAGGGGTCACCTCCAGCAGACTCAGGGAGCTGAACTGCCAGGGGGTTGCTGGAGCTGTGTGGTGGGGTCCACAGTGACCCCCGGGGCCAACTCCTGGTGTGGGTGGTGCCTCCGGTCTTGTGCCCACGCCCGCTCCAGACTTTTGAAGCACGTGCTGCAGGATTGGGCTCCAGCTGACATGGGGGTCTGCTCCCATTGTAGACAGCAGCTCAAGGTCTTGTTGCGCAGGGGTTTCTTTGTGAGAGTAGCAGGTGCTTTGGACACCTTGGTCCGGGTCAGTAACCTCTCCTGTGGGGAGGTCAAGGTGCTCTGGCCTGCTTTGGCCCCAGGTGTTCTGTTCTAAGCCTCAGACTCAAGCCACGGCCCTCATGCTGCGCTCGCCTGTGCCCCTCCCACCAGCACTGCACCCTCACCCTGGTGCCTGTTCACGGCCCCCACCCAGAGCAGTGCTGGGTCTCGGCCTCCGGCTGGTGCAGCAGGTTCTCCGCACCACAGACTTGTCTGTCTCGCATCGGGGGCCATCTGACGCCTGCAACCGTCTGGGCTCTTTGGTTTTGTTTTAAGGCAGTCATGGTGTGGCCGGAGTATCGCGCCTGGCTTCGGCTGTCTGTGGGCTCCCTGTTGGGCCTGGCGAGGGCTGTTTCATCCATCCAGCAGCCCCCGCCTGGCCTGCCTGGGAGGGCGCCCTGCTCGGGTCGAAAGCTGGACACTCTGTGGTGCCGCTGATGCTTCCACAGCAAGGGCGTGAGCTGTGTGTCCCTGTGTTCCAGTGCTCAGGCAACAGCATTCGTGGCTGATTTTTACATAAGTAATTTGAATGGTAATTTTTCAGTTTTTTCCCACCACCATCCCTTACACCCTCTGGCCCTTCCTGGCCCCCCGCTTCCCCCCAGTCTCAGAGCCATCTTCGTCTGTTGATGACCACTGGGTCTCGGGCATTTGACTTGCCTTAGCGTACGACCCACCCCCACGGTAGGTGGCAGTGGTTGTCTTTCCTGGCAGCTGAGAGGGGCTCGGGCATGGCAGACGGGCTGCCTCCTGCCCTGCGTTGTCAGCCGCGCTGCGGGAAGTCACTCCTCATGCAGGGAAGGACAGTGGTGGGGCGCGCTCTGGCTCTTGGGCGTCGACTTTTCCTCAGGCGGCCCAGGCGTCTGTCCCCAGGGGCAGCTCTTCCCTAGGGGTCCTCCAGTTTTGCTTGGGCTCCCTGTGTAGAACGTTGAAAGCTTTAGTCTCCCCAGGACCCAGCTTTCGTGCCTTTCCTGCATGGGGTTTCGTGCAGTGTAAGGCCCTCGCTGTCTGGAGCATTTGTGGATAGACGAGTCACTTTGTCAAGAGAAGAAAACACAAATTTACTTTTCTCCCAAAAAAAAAAAAAGCACCATGCGCACGTGTCAGCCCGTGGCCTGGCCCTGCCCTGGCCTGCGGCCTGTACTTTTCCCATAAGCTCTGTGTTGTTCATCATGACTTTATCCAACAAATGGGTTGCAGGAAAGGATATAAACAGGACAGAATTCTTGTCAGTATTTTCCTATTAAAATGAAGCTTGTGGGGCCTCCCTGGTGGCGCAGGCAGTTGAGCGCCGCTCTGAGGCTGTCCACGGTCTCTGCAGCGCGGTTTCGATCCCAGCCGGCTGGTGAGGGTCCCACATGGCACGGCAGACCTCTCCTGTCTCGCCCGCTGCTCCCCTCAGCAGTGTATTTCGTTGGTCTGCCTATTCTGTTCCTGCTCTGTCTCTGGTGAATCCTCTCACCCTTCCCCGCATCTGGCCTGTACCCCGGTTCTTGTATAAAATAAATAAATCTTTAAAAAAAAAAAAAGAAAATTAAGCTTGTGGGCCTCCCTGGTGGCATAGCAGGTTGAGCACAGGGCTGTGAAGCTGTCCGCAGCTTTTGCAGCGTGGGTTCGATTCCCGGCCAGCCAGGGAGATCCCCACATGGCACGGCAGACCTCTCCTGTCTCCCCGCTGCTCCCCTCAGCTGTGTTTTTGGTCAGTCTGCCTGTTCTGTTCCCCGCTCTGTCTCTGGTGAATCCTCTCAGTCCCCACACCTCTGGCCTCTACCCCAGCTCTTGTATAAAAAAAAAAAAAAAAAAAGAGTTAAAAAAAAAAATGAAGCTTGTTAGTTTTCTTCTCAGAAATTTGTGGGCTAAAATACACGGTATTGGGGCCTCCCTGGTGGCACAGGGGTTAAGTGCAGCGCTGTGAAGCTATCTGCAGCCTCTGCAGAACAAGTTCAATCCCCGGCCAGGGAGCTGACCCACATGGCGCCACAGACCTCTCCTGTCTCCCGGCTGCTCCCCTCAGGAGTGTATTTCAGTAGATCCGCCTGTTCTGTTCCCCACTCTGTATCTGAGGAATCCTCTGACCACCTGCGCTTATGGTCTACACTAATTCTTCTACAAACTATTTTTTTTTTAAAAGAATGTTCCCAATTTAGGCTTTTTATAGGTGATTCATCAAAATAATTGCTTTAGCTGGCTTTGTGTATCGATATCTCACTTTTTCCTTCCCTAGTGAGGAACAGTCTAGACTAGCAGCAAGAAAATATGCCAGAGTTGTACAGAAGTTGGGTTTCCCAGCCAAGTTCTTGGACTTCAAGATCCAGAACATGGTGGGAAGCTGTGACGTGAAGTTCCCGATAAGGCTGGAAGGCCTCGTGCTCACCCACCAGCAGTTCAGCAGGTGAGTCTCGGCACGGTCTGTTCAGTACTGTCTGTGATCCAACAGCAGAATATTCCGTGGGTAGGAACAGGCGATGTGGTGATCAGTGTGGTCATTAAGTTTCTTCCTCATGTCTCTGGTGATACCTGTTCTTACCTGCCTCCCGCTTCCCATTTCCCTGGGTGACCTCCAGAACTCCCCTAGCTGCGATGACTTTGGCTCTCCTGTCGGAGGCCAGTGCACACATCCTCAGCCACTCATGTCCGTTACTCCCCTTGCTGGACTGTCCTCATGGCCGAGGAGTGCTGCCTTTGCGGACGGACCACGGGTCTGACTGTTGGGACTTCCTCCCACCTGCTTTCCCTGCTGCTTCCTGGTGGAGCAGGACAGCCCCTGCTCACCTCTGCAGCCCCTGCGTTCTGTCCCCTGGATGCCACTACCTTGCTCGGGGCCTGCTGCACACCTCCTTGCACCTGGGACAGTCTCCTTTCACCTCCCCTGGGAACGCCCACTCCCACTTCAGACACCCCCAGGTCTCTTCCATAGAAGCTAGCCTGAATTCCCCACTGGGTTCGACACATACGCCCTGGTTTAATTTCAGAACTAACAAAAAGGAGGCTGCTACACTTTGGATAAGACTCACGACGCACCCAGTCTGCAGTCAGGGGCATTCTTCAGCGAGCGTCTCTTCCATCGCTCTGGTTATGGCCCCTGACCATAGTTAACATTTCAGCTTCAGGAGATGAGCTGGGAATGATTTTAAAAATTGACGCACCTAAATTTGTCCAAAATGAAAATTGATCAGAGAAACTGCACAATGTCAGTAAAAATCTCTTTCTTATGCCAGAAAACGCATTTGGTAGGAATGGGCTGGCAGGCCCTCGAGTGCTCTGTGTCAGCGCACGGGGCCTGTGGTGCCGCTTGGGCAGCTGGCTTCGCTCACCGGCCAGTTTGTGCCTTGGCCTCCCTGGTCCAAGCTCTCATTTTGTGTAAAAGCACAGACACAACTCTTCGTTTCTGAACCATTTTTGTCTTTTTCCTTCTAGTTATGAACCCGAGTTATTTCCTGGTTTAATCTATCGAATGATCAAACCCAGAATTGTTCTCCTTATTTTTGTTTCTGGAAAAGTTGTATTAACAGGTAAGTCAAGGGGCCTCCCCGGGGGCGCAGCGGTTGAGCGCTGGGTTGCGAGGCTGCCTGCAGCCTCTGCGGCGCCGGTTCGATCCCCGGCTGCTCCCCGGCCACCAGAGGAGGGTCCCACATGGCTCGCAGACCTCTCCTGCCGCCCGCTGCTCCCCTCAGCAGTGTCCTTCGGTCCTTCTGCCTGCTCTGCTCCCCGCTCTGGCTCTGGTGAATTCTCTCACCCTCCCGCGCTTCTTACTATACCCAGTGCATGTATAAACAAACAAATAAATAAGTAAAAACATGCCTCTAAAAAAAAAAAAAAACAAAACAGGTAAGTCAAACAGGTAGTGTCCTGTGTTTCAAGAGCAGCCTTTTCTCTCCATGTTAAGACTAAGGAGCACGGCTGGCCTGTGGAGGGAGGGGCACGGCACCTGGCGTGTTCTGCCAGAATCAGGGCCTTGAGGCTTTGGGTGACAGTGTCGGCTTCTAGACAATAAAGGCAGCGGTGGGGAGAGCGAGGCAGGGCCCTTCCCACAGCGCCAGTTGGGCTCCAGGCCGGTGGAGGACCAGCAGAGGGTGCTGGGGCCACCGCAGAGGGGGCTGGTGTCAGCCCGGACATTGCTTTTGTTCAGAAAACGGGCTGGGGCAGGTGATGCTGCCGCCAGTGTTCCAGGGCCTGCGTCCACTATCCTGCAGGGCATGGAGAGAACTCAGCTTGCGGTTTTGTTGTGATCACTGTCAGCGTGTGAGAAGCCATGCTAGACTCTCACCCTCCTCTAACTGGTCTTCACAGGTGCTAAAGTCAGAGCAGAAATCTACGAAGCATTTGAGAACATCTACCCCATTCTAAAAGGCTTCCGGAAGACGACGTAGTGGCGGTCTGATGCTGGCCTCCCACCTGCTTGGTTTTTAAAACAAATCCGTTTGGTACCTTCAAGTGGCAGAGTTTCAGGGCCGCGTGTGGCCAGCGGCCTCGGGCAGTGTCCCGTGCAGTGGGAGCTGAGGGCGCGGCCCGGAGCCTGGTTGCTCCAAGTTGCTCGCGCTGTGCTGCTACTTGGGTGGCGCTGCCCGTTTATTTATATGTAGGTTTTAAATACTCTGCTGTTGACAAGTTGGTTTAAGGGGCAAAGCTTTTAAGTGTTAAAGCCACTTCTACAATTGATTGTACTTTTTATTTTGTTTAATTTCTGCCCCATAAACCAGTTTTTATATTTCTACCAGAAAAGTAAAAATCTTTTTTAAAAGTGTTGTTTTTCTAATTTGTAATCCTAGGGGTCATTTTTGTGCCAGACACATTCCGCCTGTTCAGTGTTGCAGGACAGAGTAGATGTCAGCGGGATGGACGTATGTACAGTTTTTTTCAGAGCGCTCTGTACAATAAATGCTATTCATAAAAGTGTCAGATTCATGTGCTAAATGAGGCCTTGTCAGGTTCACGTGATCCTCCCGCTAGCCCTGACTTTTACATAGAAACTGTGTTGGTCGGCGCTGGTATCAGTCCTTTCTTTTCCTTCTGAGAAAACGGGTGAGATGTGAACGGCTCAGGTCCACTCACACGGCAGGCCCGCCGCATCCCGAATACTGAGACGCCTCCTGTTTCCCAGGCCATCGCCTGCTTTGCACAGCCCACAGGTGGGTTGGTGCTTCCACAGATGGGCACTGACACCCAACCATGACCAGAGCAGGCGCTCATCCTGACGGAGCAGCGTTTTCCTCAGGAGTTATCAGGTAACAATGAATCCTTAGGTTTTGGCATTTGGGTTTATTTCTTTTTCATTGTGAAAACTGTCCAGTTGAGAGGCATGTCACCAGAATCAGAAAGGGAAGGTTCTTTGCCCTCTCCTGCTGTTTCCCCAAGTTGACTACTACATTCCTAGTATCCTAAGAGCCTGCGTGTGTGCAAATTCTTCCCTCCGAGGATGCTTTGGTCCATTTCGGAAAAAAAAATACTAAAGCATCCATCTGTTATCACCACCCAGAACCCTCAGCCATCCCAGAAGTCCCTCCTTATGTTCAGCCACAGCCTTGCAGTACTATTCCAAGTCTCAATTTTCCCCCATCACTTCCTTATGGTGGTGGGACGGTAACGTTGTGTACTGTTGCTAGTGTCAGGGTGTTTCTCTCTTATTTCCTGCAAGTTGGTGGCCACGTCCAGAGGCCTCACCCCTCTGTAAAGACCAGTTGTCAAAGCACGGGGAGTGGTGGGTTTGAGCGTCTGGTGATCACCCATATACTCTGCCCCACAGTTGGCGTTGGCTACTTTATGGTGTTTTTAAATGTCTTGACATTTCTAGAGGGAACTGAGTTCCCTGCTGTATTTATTTTGCTTTATTATTTTTATCACCAGCTGCAGGTTGACACTGGGACATTTTCTGTATGGTGGTTTAGTCTGTCTGCAAGTGGGCAGGCCCAGCGAGCCTCGCGTGGTGGGGCCACACATCTGAGGACAGCTTGGCTGGCAACTCCCAACACGCCCACAAGTGTTGTCCGGTGAGATCTCCAAGTAGACCCTCCTGAGTTTGCTTAAAAAGTGCTCAGCAGTCAGGACACTGCTCTACACTGTAAAGCTTCCTAGAACACACCTGACTGTAAAAAATTATTCATAGTCTGAGACAGGGAAGGCCCCACTCCTCCAGTTTTCCAGAAGCCATGGCGTCTTACCACGACTCCCACCCTCTCTTGTCTCAACTTTTAATGTAGCCACCGAGATTCTTACTGAGCCCCCCAGCTTCAAGACTGCGCTTTACCTCAAGAGCGTCGGCCTAACAAATGCTGTTTCCCCAATGAAGACTATTTTATGTGCATATCTCTTTGAGTGTACACATGGGACACACTCACCTGGTGGACTAACAGGCCCCGATTTTGACCGAAAAAGTGAAACAGCCAGTGGCAGCACCACACAGGCAGCATATGCGAATTAGCAGGGATACGAGGCTGAACCAACGACGTCTAAGAGAAGCAGCACGAGAAAGTTTTAAGAAGTGCTTTTAGGCACTCATCAGCAATAGCATCTCTCCAGGCCCCCTTGGCCCGGTGGGGGGGGGGGGCGCACATGTACCCCACACCTGAAAGCTGCCCCCAGGGTAGCTTTGTGTATGAACACAATGGATGAGAAGTGGGAAAAGCACTGCTCCCACCCCGGCCTGTCTGTCCGCAGGGCCACTGCTGACCAAGGCCAGCGGTGATCAGAGCTTCTAATCCAGTTTCTGGTTCCAAATCTTTTTCCCCCTGGGCCTACCACCAACTCCGCTGCTGCTTCAGCATTACTGGGTATCCCCCTTGCGATACTCACCGGCCTCGTGCCCAGCACGCCCCTCTCCTGCCCTGGCCTCCGTGACAAGAGCACCGTGACAAGCTGCTGGTCGTCAGGCAAGTCTCAGGCTTTACAGATGTCTCTGTAGGTTTTGACTTTGTAAACGGTGGGGGGAAGGATGCAAATAACCCCCTTTTTTTTTAACAAAGCGATCATCACACATTGTAGTTCCACCGCACACAGGTGACCATTTCACGCTGACTGGCTCTGCGTCGTCCCGGGTTTATTTCCGCACACATACACGTATACAAGTCTTTTTTTACCAAAACAGTCTACCAAGAGCAGCGTCTGGTGCTAGCGGTGATGCTGAGGCTGCCCTCTTTTCCTGGTGTGCTGGCTGAGCTACACCGTTAGGCTCGGGGACGGACACTCCTGGACACCCATCTCGCTCACATCTACACACTGAATAACACCCGAGCCCTCACTGGGCCTGTACCTCCAGTGTACTGAGCGGGACAAGTCCCAGACCCAGGACCGCAAGGCCCTGCCTCACGCTGGCCTGTCCCTACGGTGCAGCTGTCACATCTTGCTTCCACACAAACTCCTCCGCATAGCCAGTACCCAGTCTGCAGCTTTCCGCACAGGTGAAGATGGCCAGGACACCCCAGTCCACGCTCCTGCCCAGTCTGTCAGCCTTCAGGTAGTAGAGCAGTTGGGGCATGACCTGGGAAAAGGATGGCGGGGTCAGAGTATGCCCTGGGCCAGGTGCACCCACCACTCTGGGCGGCCCTTCCCTCCCACACAGGCAGCGGCTGGAGCCAGGCATTACGCGACTAACACGTTAACCCAACTCCGTGCCTCTGGGAAGGAAGTTCCCGAGAATAAGAGCAGCTGATCCACCTGGCCTAGCTGTTAAAACCAATTATTTTTATTAGTAATGATCACCAGGTAGGGCTGAGACTTCTACTTGGGCAACTTCCACTTTGGGTCACTGACAACTGAATAGCAGATGCATCACTATGACTGGAGAAACACTAACCGGTAGGAATGACACCAAGTGATAACTCTGGAGATGAGGAGGAGCTCAGAAGTCACACGGTCCAATGGAGCAGCACTGAGGCCTGTCTGCCCACCTGAGGAATTGCTTTATGCCAACAGGGCCAGCTCAGCCTGGGCGTCTGCTCTGAAAGCAGTAGCTGCGAGCAGGTTTGATAGCCCCAGCACTGACTCTGCCCAGGAAACAGGCTGCCAAGCCCACAGTCCAGAAGCAATTCCACCAAAGCCAATGGGTTTTGATGCTAAAAAATCTCTCTAGAGAAATTTTTTTTTTTTTTTTAAGATTTATTTATTCATGGGCCTTCCCTGTGGCACAGCGGGTTGAGCGCAGCGCTGTGAAGCTGTCCACAGCCTCTGCAGCACGGGTTCCATCCCGGTCGGCGAGAATCCCACATGGCATGGCAGACCTCTCCTGTCCTGCCTGCTGCTCCCCTCAGCAGTGTATTTCGGTCCTTCTGCCTGTTCTGCTCCCCGCTCTGTCTCTGGTGAATCCTCTCACCCTCCCACGCCTCTGGCCTGTACCCCAGTGCTTGGATACAGAAATCTAAAAAAAAAAGATTTATTTACTCTTGCATACAAGAACCGGGGTACAGGCCAGAGGTGCGGGAGGGTGAAAGGATTCACCAGAGACAGAGCGGGGAACAGAACAGGCAGAATGTCTGAAATACACTGCTGAGAGGAGCAGTGGGTGAGGCAGGAGAGTTCTGCCACGCCATGTGGGATTCTCGCGCCTCTACAGCGCTGCACTCAACCGCCTGCGCCACCAGGGGAGGGCTAAGAAATTATTTCTTAATGATTACATTTATTTGTTTTCTCATAAATCCACAAACTAAGAATAAACTTGAGGGTTCTGAGACACTCCTTCCTTACAAAGTACCCAGGCAAAAAAGGACCAAGAAGAGCTGTTATTTAAATGGCAAAGGTAACAACAGAGGCAGTAATAAGCGTCACTGCGGTGGGAGGGAGTCTGGGTGGTGTCACTACATTTAAAACCTCACTGCAGTCAACAAATGTAACAACCCTGTCAACAAGCAGTACCAGGGAGAGCAGGCTACTCAGAAGGCAGCAACAACTGGATGAGGCAGCAAAGGACAATTCCACTCTGGGAAAGGAGAGGCGAAAAGAGATTCTCACTGCAGGGCACCCTTGGAGACACCACACTGACCCCCTGCATACACTTGCTGTCCCTGGCGCCCATAGGACTGGTTCTGGGACCTTTTGAGAACACCAAGACCCTCAGATGAGGATCAGCGAGCTCCTTACAGGGTGTGATGTATTTGTGTGTGACCTAAACACACCTTCCCATTCACTTTAAATGATGGACAAGTGACTTGGTGGCACGCCGCGTCCTTATGGGAACAGATGGGGCAGAAGATGCACCTCAGTGGCCTAAATGCAGAGCATGCGCTCCTGAGCCCTGGCTGGTGGGCTGCCTGTGGCCGTTGTGGAGAGGAAGGGCTAGAACGCATTTCTTCGGTGTTTTTTTAATGTTTAAAAACACAAACCAGGGTGATTCTACATGAACCACGGTTCTTACTTCAGGTCCTACCTGAAATTCAAATATTCTCTTGGCACCACAGGGGCAATCAGGAATGTCCTTTTCTTGAGGGATATTCTCGCCAGAAATCCAGATGGGGGCAATCCCTCTGCCGTACCTGAGGATCTAAAATCAAGCAGGACCACGTTTACACCAGCAGCTTCTCACGAGCCGTGTCCGGTGGCGCATGTGCCTGACCGGCACGCGGAGGTGCTATCTGGAGGAGCTAATCAGAAGGGCAGTTCGGTGAGTGCGTCTCAACTTCATCAGCGGGGCTGACCTGGGCTCCGAGCTGTTAACTAAAGCTGGAACCTGAATCCTGTGGGGAGTGTGAGGGGACTAAGAAGAACCCTTTTGCCCAGCCGCCAGGCTCTGAATCTAAGGTGCTGCCAGACTCTGCTCACCTTTGCGCGGGTAGAAGGAAACGTCGGTCTAAAAACCGTGAAACAAAGTGAGGCTTCTGGGCTTGGGGGGTAGGGAGGAGGGCTGAAGTGGCACAAGGAAGGGGCGGTGGTGGGAAAAGAAGGAAAGCAGCACGACGGCCTCTCCTTGCGCCAGGCCTGCTGCCTGGCTGTGCCCTTCCCTGGGGCTGGGCGAACCCTGCTGATGTCTGGGTCCTGTCCCGCAGGCCTCTTGTCCAATCTAGGTGCCAGCAAAAAATTAAAAGAAGTACCAACCCAGCAAAGTCATTCAACAAAACAAGCAAGAACAAGACAAAGCAAACTTTTTCAGGCAAACAAAAGCTGGATTCATCACCAGTCCTACAAAAATTAGTGAAAGTTACTCACACAGAAGGAAAGTGGTAGATGGGAGACCCTGGCCCACCAGAAAAATCTCCCAAGTGTTGATGTTTCCTTCTATCTTTAAAAGAAAAACTAATGTTTAGAGCAAAAATACATGTCACCGGGTCTTGGGACACAGGTACGCAGCGGTAAAACACCAGATCCCCACCGTGGGGGTGAGACACGGGCGCCCAAGGGGGTGCGGGAAGGCAGGCTGATGAGCTGGCGCCGGAACCCCTAAAACCCTCGATGACTTTTAAAACTCTCATTAAGAGGCAAATAAAAGCTTATGCAGCAACCATATGCCTTCCCTCTATTGGTTCAACGGCACAGGCGCCTCAAACCCACCTCTCACCGTGCAGGCCTACCTGGCTTCCTCCCAAGCCCCCAGATATTTATCTGACCCAAGGTAGTTTATGGGGCATTACTGAGCTGTGTTGTGTGAGTGATGTCTGCCGTCATGGAGGACGAAGAACACTTGGAATCCCCCTGACCCTTTGCCACCCCCCGGACTCTTCATGCTGCTGATGAAACTGCAATGCAGAAGTCCCTCACGTGACTCAAGGGTTAAAAAAACCTGAATCATCCTGGCAGCAAAGCCCAAAAGACACTTTTCACAGAAAGTATCTTTGTGTTATTATGTCATGTTGACTTTCTGAGTTGAAGATCCTTGCTGGGAAAATGGGTGAAAGTATCTTTTTATTGCCATTGGTCCCTAAACTTCCCTGCCACAGGCAATGGCTTCCCTCACCGCCTATCACTGATGCGCTCTTTAGAAGGTGAACCCACTAGGGTGACAACGTGGCCCTCGTGCCCCTGCCGTGGCTGCTGTGAGGGTAAACGCCTTTCCATGGAGACAACCTGTGTGAAGGGCCGCGACCAGAGTCACCTCTTCTCAGGAATCACACCCTCAGAACACCGTCTCAAAGAGCCCAAGAAGGAGCTATGAGTTCTGACTTACCTGTTCTGGCACAAGGTCTATTTTAGTTTTGAACTTCTGGAAAATCTTATCTTCCTTGGATTCATGTTTTGCCAGGGAATCCAATTCTTCTTCAGGAGTTTCATCTGAAAAGTCATCAACGCAACTATTATGGCAGCAGGAACAACCCAACGCCACAATCACACACGTGGGGAAGCCAGTTTCGGCAGTCAGCTGAGGAGGAGCTGCGGGGAGGCCCGTGGCTTTCCCCTCACTCACTTAGGTAAGTGCTCTCCACCTCTACTGGGAAGCGTTACCCACCGCTGGCTCCTGGGGCACACCTTCCCTCCAAGCTTCAGACTCACGAGCGAACCCAGGTGCTGAGGGCAAAACTGCACGTGCTTCTCCTCACTCCTGTTCTCAGGGCATCTGTCTTGTGTCTTCCTACCTCTTCCTGTCTCCTCCGTTTCTCCAAATGGCCACTGGCTCAGCCCTCACCTGCACACTGAGGACCTGGCCCCAGGTCACTACAGGGACTCCCCTCACCCTGGCACTGCAGACCCCAACACAATCCTCTCCGTAACATGGACCCAAAGACGACTGTGATATCCTCTGAGTATGAACTATGAACCAGGAAGTTGACCTCGTCCAAAATTTGATTCTGACACTATAGTTATAGTTTTGTGTGGGTTAAGAGCTCATGTTCTACAGTCAATGAGCTGTAAGCTCAAACTCTGGCTCTGAAATTTAAGAACTCTGGTCATTTGTGAGACCAAATAAATTCCTCCTAGAACCTCAAATTACCTCACAAGTGTGGTGGAGTTTCCAATTTATTGTGCTGCTGTCAGGGTTTTAATGGTATCATGCAAAAATAGTGGCAGCTACAGAGTACGTGTTGCGTGAGCGCTGGCTAGCAGGTAATCTGGAGGCATCTGGCCAGCACGCACCACCAGGGTAGGAGCAGGTCTACAACACCTGGTGCCTACAACTGCAAGGTAAAGAGAACGTGGCTGGCAAAGGCCCTGTGGCCTGCCACAAGCCACCTCCGCGGAAAGCGCTCCGGAGCCAGGCCAACTGACCGATCTCCAGCACCTCGTGCGGCCCGACCCAGGTATCACCCGGCTACGTCCTCTGACGCAAGGGAAGGGAGGCAGAGGAAGCATGTTTTCCCCTAAGGCGGCCTCCAAAGTCAGTCTTTTCCTCTCAGCTCCTCTCGACACACTGAGCCCTTTCAGGCGTTATGATCAGTCACTTAACACAGTTCCCAAGCCAACCCCTTACCCATGTTCCCTGCGACCTCTGCCTCGTCTTCATTTTCCACTTCAGATACTACTTCATCTTCTGTTTCTATTACGATTTCATATTCCGGAAAAAGGAAGTTGTGGTCTGGAACTGTGCCACCCAAATTTTCTGAAACAAAAAAAGGTAACTGCCATCAGTAAGAGTTCAGTGATCACTTAACTCTGAAGATGGTCTGACCGTTCCCCGTTTCTAAAGCACGCCCCGTGCAGAAAGTTTCCCCAGTGAACCAGCACATGTTGAGCTGAGGGTCATAAATGAAACTCCAGACAGCAGGGTCCGGGCATGGCTGATGGGGCAGGGCCCTGCTTCACAAAGATGCCCAGTAAAGGTGTCTTTTCTAACCTCATGTGCATAAAAGACCTGGACACTGTGAAATGGGGCATAAATTTAAAATGATAAAAAATAAATTGACGTACCTGACTCTGCACAAGCCTGCTTATGTCCCAGCCTCCAGTCGAGAGTCTGGTGCTCCTTGCTGCAATAATGTGCCTTGTGGCACCTGGAGCAGGTTTTGGGGCCTAAACAGCCACAGACCCTGCAGAGATGAGGCCCGGACTGGAGCTGCAGGCATGGGGAGTCCCCCGTCTCTGGGGGAGGGTCCTCAGAAGGCGGTTCATATGAGAAAAAATCATTTTTCCTGGGCAGCTGATTCCTAAAAACTATTAAAAAATTAAAAGGAACGTTATGCATATATTAAGTAAAAGACAGTGATTCCAAAATTGCAGTCTACCTGCAAGACTGAGAAGATACTCATTCCTTACATAAAAGGAAATTTTTGCCATTGATGAACCCATTTTCTGGGAAGAGATTTTGAAAAGACAGAAATAAAACTTTTAAAAGCCCGGAAACTACAGCTTTTGAGCAGGTTCAAACTGACCAAATTAATAGAGTGTCCATCAGTCACACAACAGGCGACCGCTATCGGGACCCAACCGTGGGAAAACGAGCCCCCCATTCCTAACACCGATCGATCCCCAGAAAGCCGGGGGCGGGGGTCGCCTAGAGCAGCAGCCAAGGCGGAGCGTGGGGGACAAGAGGGGCTGCGGGGTGGGTGGAGGCGGACGCGGCAGACGGCGGCTCCCGGCGCGGGGGACCCGGCCCCAGCGCCCCGCCCGCGCCCCCGCCCCCCGCGGCTCACCGCGCAGGCCGGCGCAGCAGGGCGGCGCGCGGCAGCAGAAGAGGAAGAGGCCGCGGTGGAAGGCGTCGGCGCGGCCGGGCAGCGGCGCGTACAGCTGCAGCAGGAAGGCGAGCGGGCGGCCGCACTGCGCGCAGGACAGCGCCGCGGGCCCCGGCAGCCCCGCCGCGCCCAGCCACGCCGGCCGCCCGCCCACCTTGCTGGGGAACTGCTCGCGGCGCAGCCGCCACGCGGGCGCCGCCTGCGCCAGGCCCAGCTCCGCCGGCTCGGGCCGCGCGGCCGCCATGGCGCCAAGGCGGAAGCGGCGCCCGAGCGCGAGGAGCCGCCGCGCACGGGGGCGGGGCCAGGGCGGCGTGGCCCCGCCCCCGGCCGCCCGCACGCCGTGACGCCAGGCGCGCGCCGGCCGGCGGGGGCGTCGCCAGGGGCGCCGCGTGGCGCGAGTGGGGTGCCCCTGCGTCGCGGCTGCCCCTGCGTGGGCCTCGACAGCCGCCCCGAGAGTTTACCAGACGCGAGTCCCCGCAGTGGCGCCTCTGGCAAGCAGAATATCCAGAGAACATAAAAACGTAGTTAAATTATTGAATCGCGCGTTCTAGACTTTCTTACCTTGAGGAAACAGGCGTTTGCGGCTCCCACGGGCACACCATGTGACCATCACGTGGAGAGCAAGTAGACTCCGCGTGAACGTTGCCTGGACACCGCCTGGACACCAGCGACTATTACGGGGACACGACATGCCCCTCAGTCCAGCGATTGTGGCTGTCAAATGGGTACCAAACGGGCTGATGAGTTAAAACTGGTTCTGGTTGGATAAAACTGATTCAAATGGGTTTTGAGCAGATACAGCTGGTTCTGACCAGTCCTGACTTGTTCTTACGGGAGGAAATTGGCTCAAACATGTTCTGACCAAACTTGTTCCAACTGGTTGAAACTGGCTCTTGACTAGCTCAAACCATTTTTGACAGGATAAAACCGCTTCAAGCTGGTTCAGACCAAAGGAATGCAGTTCAAGCCACTTCTGACCAATTCTGAATGGATAAAGTATGTTCAGTTTCAGACTGGAAGAAATTGGTTCAAGGTCCAAAACAGCTCTGACCAGTAAAAACAGCCTTCAGCAGGTTCACATGAGAGCTCATGCAATAAAACCAGTTCAAACTGGCTTTGACTAGTTCGAATTGATTCAGGCCACTTATGACCAGTTAAAACTGGTTCAGAACAGGGCCACCCTGGTGGCATGAGTGTTAAATCTCAGCACTATGAAACTATCTGCAGCACTGCAGCAGGAGTTTGAAATCTGGTCAGGGAGTTGACCCACATGGCTCAGCAGACCTCTCCTCTCCTGACTGGCTGGCTACTCCCCTCAGCAGTGTATTTCAGACAATTCGCCTGTTCTGTTTTCCACTCTGTGTGTGTGTGGGGGGGGAACCTTTCTCTCCCCCACACCTCTGGCCTGTACTCCAGCTCTTGTATTCATAAATAAATAAAGAAAAGAGTTTGTCATGTCCCCAAAATGTCACAAATAGGAGTACCATATGCATGATCATTTCCTCACCTGGATATATACCACAAACGATTGATACCAGGCATTCCAGCACAATTGTGTACACAAATAGTGATCGCTGCTCTGTTCATCATAGCGAAGGGTAGAAACGGTGCCAATGTCCACTGGTGGGTGAGTGGAGAAGCAGAAATTGGTCAATCCCTAAGCTCCAATATCACTCTGCCACTTAAGAAAGTCAATCGGTGCGGCTGCTGTGGAGAGTACCACGACACATAGGACCTCCCCTGGTGGTGCAGCGATTGAGCGCTGGGCTGCGAAGCTGCCTGCAGCCTCTGCAGCGCTGGTTCGATCCCCGGCCACCTGGTGAGGGTCCCACATGGTGCGCAGACCTCTCCTGCCGCCCGCTGCTCCCCTCAGCAGTGTATTTCGTCAGTCTGTCTGTTCTGTTCCCCGCTCTGGCTCTGGTGAATTCTCTCACCCTCCCACGCTTCTAACTGTACCCAGTGCTTGTAAAAATAAATAAATAAATCTTAAAAAAAAATCTTTAAAAAAAAACGACACATAAAATTCACACGGGATCCAGCCATTCCACTTCAGGAATGTGTCCAAAAAACTGAAAGCGGCTACTCAAACGGATGATCTACACACCGTGTTCACAGCAGCATGTCACCGTCCATCAGTATCTAGAAACACTGCTGTCCACAAGATGAACAAATGTAGCATCCAAATGTGGCACAGAGACAATGGCACAGTCGCCCTCCAACAAGGGAGGAGGTTCTGATACTACAACTGGTAGAAAATGCAGAGTCATTACAAAAAGTGCGATAAATTGCCCAGATACAAAAGGACAAATGTTGAGAAACTCCACTTTGGTGAGTATCCAGATTTGTCAGCTTCAGAAAAAGAAGTGAGAATGTGGTTGCCAGAGGAGGCAGGAAAGAGGGATGGGAAGTTTGTGATTAATGGGTAGGATTTCAGGAGGGAGATGAAAAGGCGCTGGTGAGTGGAGCTGCCCAGCTCACCTCCTCCACACACTTATCACCAAATGACACCTAAACCCAGGCAGCAGGCTGCGTGCCTACTGAGAGGCCTGGGTCTACAAGACACAATCGATCCACGTGTTGGAACACTGTTCAGCCACGTGAAGAGACAAGTGTTTCCCATGGACAACCCAATGCAAGGAATTGGAGGGCGTCCTTCTGTAACAGGGTGGTCCCCAGGAAAAGGGGAGGTTCCAGGTTCCCTCCAGGTTCCTCCCCATACCAGGAGGGTGGAGCTGAGCAGGATGGAGGGGAAGTGGGGGAGGAGGCTGGGGGAGGAAGGAAGCAGGATGGAGCCAGGAGGGGCCTGGAGGAGGTACGTGGAGCAGAGAGACAGGTGTAGAGGCCACACTTGCTTCCTGGTCTTGGACTGGTTGAAACCGACATGGGTGAGACACCTGTGGGGAGGTGACAGGGGCAGCTTTTATCTAGATTTTGATTTTTCTCTTTTCCTCCCAGACTTGTCTGGCTTTTTCTGACCCTTTCCGATGGGTCCCCAGCAGGAGGGGCCTTAGACTGGGGCAGGCTCTGGAGCCTCAGTGGCCCTAATTTGGGCCAACCCTGTTTGGCTGGGACTTTCCCCACGTGGGAACGGGGAACTCTGGGTGCTGGATTTGGAAACTTTTTTCTTCCCCTCTTCTACCTTGCACACTAAAGTTCTTTTCCATGAAAGATCTTACACACTAGAGGATGTCTTGTCTCGATACTCTGGATGGCAGAACCTATTTGGGATGGGCAGATTTGGGGCTGATGGGGTGTCCTCACTTTGTAGGAAAGCAAGTGAGAATGACAAAGACAAATATCGGCCGCTGACATAGCAGGTGAGAAAAAAAGTAAAATTCCGAAGACTCTAAGAAGCCAGCGAGGTGCTGGGGTTCAGAGGAAAGGGGAGAGCAGACAGGCCAAAGGGAAAATGTCAGGGACCAGTAAGTCTGAGGAATGGAAGGTCCGGAAAATAGATTGAGGTGGGGGGGGAATGGGGGGGAGTGGGGGGCTGGTGCTATTCCAGAGTGATCCTAGAGGGGCTCTAAGGAGGATTACTGGACAATGAAGGGAATGAGGTGACACAGGCGGCTGTTCAAGCAGAGCGAGCCTCCCGTGCAAAAGTCCACACGGAAAATGTGGTGTCAGAGAAGCCCACAGGTCCTGTGTGTGCATGTGGGGGGTGGGGCGGACAGTGGCAGGAAAGCTGAAATACCGCCCTGTTTTTGCCAAGGTGATCAGATAACCGCCATAGAAATGGTGATTTGATTTCCCCTGGGGGACACCCCCTAGGGAGTCAGCCCCGAGTCTGGGAAACAAACTGATCAGCAGCCACGAGGGAAGAGGGAAATGAATAAATAAATAAAAGTTGCAGGGACATGAAATCTAAAGCGAAAGAGTCAACGGAAAAGACCCTCACGGGGCCTCCTTGGGGCGCAGGGGTTAAAGAAATCTCAGTCCAGCTCTGGCGGCCGCTGCAGCAAGAGATGGACCCCTCCCCCTCCCCTCCTCCCCCCAGCAGAGCACCCGGCCCAGCAGAACCCCCCCCCCTCCCCGCTGCTCCCCGCGCCTGGGAATTTCAGTAGATCCGCCCGTTCTGCTCCCCACGCTCTCAGGTCCACACCCCACTGCGTGTACACGCAATAAACAGCTCTTGAGAAGAAGAAGAGCCCCCAGTGCAGGCCGGGCGCGCCAGGAGCGCCAGGAGCAGCTGCCGAAGCGCAAAGTCAGCAGCCAGGAGGCTGCCCTCCCCGGGGCAGTGTTGGGGTGAAAGGGGCCGGGACTGGATTCCACGTGGGAACGGGATGATTTATTTTGGGGGCGATGCGCTGGGTCCGGGGAATATTTTGGGTCAATGCACGTGGAGGTCGGTGGTGGGAACGCGCGGCGCCGCAGGGGGGCAACTGCGGGGAGGCGCCCGAGGGTGAGGCGGGGCGCCCCGGGAGACCCGCGCGGGGGCGGCTCCTCCAGCCTCTCCCGAGACAGACGAGTCGCCGCGATGCTCCGCCCGGCCCGCGCTGGGGGGAGGGGGTTCGGGCCGGAGCGCGGTCTGGGGGTACAGGCCGCGGCTCCCGCCCGCCGCCGGGGCTCTGCGGCCACCACCTGGGCGCGGGGGGCGCGGGGGACCCCCGGCGCGGGCGGAGCGCGTGGAGGGCGTCTCCGCGGGGGGCAGCGAGGGCCCCGCGGCGAGGGCGGGGGCGGCGGCGGGAGAGGCCGCGCTCGGCCGGAGGGGGCGGGTCGCGCGGGAGCGCCGGGGAGCGCCCGGGAGAGTCAGGATCCCGGGAATGGGGCCCGCCCGTCCTGCAGCCCCCACCTCCCCGAACCCCCAGCCCCGGCCCCTCCGCCCCGGGCGCCCGGCGGCGCCGTCGGGAGAGCGCGAAAGGCCCTCGCCAGCCCCGGAGCCCCGGGACCCTCTGCCCGTGGGCCCGGAGCCCCCGTAGCCGCCCCACGGCCGGCCTGGGCGGCAGGACCCGGCGCGGACCGGGACGCGGCCCCCAAGGCTTCGGCGGGAGCGAGGGGCGCGGCTCCTCTCTGCGCCCACCGGACACCGCGCCGAGGGGGACGGTGCGCCCGGCGGGGGCCGCGGACGGACTTGGCTCCGCTCAGGCAGGTCTGGGGTGAGCGTCCCCCAAGCTCTGCCGGGGCGGGGGGGGACGACCCTGGAGGCGCCGCGGCCCCCAGAAGGCGGACGCGGCCCGGGAGCGGCCCGGGGAGACCTGGGGGGAGACCCGCCCGGGACCCCGAGCCGCAGACGCAGCGGGGGAG